TTAAGATTTATTTATTTATTTATACAAGCACTGGGTACAGTCAGAAGCGCGGGAGGGTGAGAGAATTCACCAGAGCCAGAGCGGGGAGCAGAGCAGGCAGAAGGACCGAAGTACACTGCTGAGGGGAGCAGCGGGCGGCAGGAGAGGTCTGCGCGCCATGCGGGACCCTCCTCTGGTGGCCGGGGAGCAGCCTGGGATCGAACCAGCGCTGCAGAGGCTGCGGGCAGCTTCGCAACCCAGCGCTCAACCGCTGCGCCACCAGGGAGGCCCCACAACCAATTTTAGATCCTTTGTGGAGAGAGAGCAACTCTCCTAGCCTGAAATGCCCTGGTTCTCCTGGACTTACTCGTGTTTGATCTTTCATTGTTCCTCTGCTGTGCATTTGTTTATTCATCAAATATTTATCAAGTGTCATTTGTGTGCCAGGCACTGTTTAAAGTACTAGGGATAAATCATTGAGGGATAGTCCTGCCTTCAAGAAGCTCTTATTCTGATGGAGAAGACAGAGTACTTGGACAAAGATATAATCAATGTCAGGTCACTACCTGATTCTAAGTGCTGTGAAGAAAAATAAAGCAGGGTAAGTTGGGTATAGAATGATACCAGTAAAACTAGTGTGGAAAATCTTGTCTGTGGGAGAGATCTTTGAGCAAAGACCTGAGTGAGTTAGCTATGTGAATAGTTGAAGAAAGAGCATCTTGGTAGAAGGAATAGCATAGACAAAGTGTTATAGAGCAACCCCGATATTAAACGGGTTCCTGGCTGTGGGTCCTCACCCGCGCCCTTTAAAGGGACTTATGAATACTTTACTACAGACACACACAAAAGGGTTAATAAAAGGTTTATTTACAAGAGAAAAAGAAATAAGGAAAATGTACAACTCAGGGAGAAAATAGGGAAATAAAGTCTTTAATGCGTCCTACCCGATCCTACGACCTGGAAACCCAAAGTCACTCTCAGAGCTGGCCGGACGCTGCGAGCTGGCGGAGAGCCAAAATGGGGGATCCCCAAAGCCCACGTGTCTGCCTTTTGTATCCACCTGGCTGCTTAACCCCACCCTCCGGTCCCAGCCACCTTCCCTTTGGTGGTGATGGGATTTGGAGTTCCCAGTGTCTTTGGCTTTGACCTGGGGTGGGGGTGGAGTCCACAAAGCCTGTATAGAATTTGCTTTGGGACATCCTTTTCCCCCTAACAAAAGGACCTTATGCTAGAATGTTCTTGAGGTGCATAAGGGATCCAGGCTGGTTCTGGTGGAGTAAGTAAGGGGGAAAGTGTAGGAAATAAGGTCAGAGAGGTAGCCAGAGGCCAGAAATATTTAGGGTCTGGTAAACTAAGGTGAAGTATGTGGATTTGGACTTCACGATAGGAAGCCACTGGAGAGTTTTGAACAGTGATGAGCTGATCCCATGTGTATTTTATTTGTTTATTTTTCCTATATGTATTTTAAAAGAAAGTGATCTGCCATGTTGTGGAAAAAACTGTAAGGGGCAAGACCTGCAGAGGGAGCACAGGTAGTTACAGCCATGATCCAAATGAGAGACAGTGGTGACCTGAACTCAGTGGTGATGGTGAATGTTTACAGACTCTGGGAGGGAGGGGTGGGGGGCCCTGGTTTATAGTGTTTGCTGATTTCCTTGGTGTCTTGGTGTAAGTACCCCCACCATGGTGATCTCAAGCTTCCAAAGTACTCTCGCTGAATGTGGACGTGGGAAGAGATGTTGGTGATCAGCAATCATGAGCCAGTACAAGCTGGCTCCTGCACACCACTGCTTGTTCTTGGTTTCATTTGGCCTGTGGTGTGTTTCCAGGGAGTGTCCAGGTTTGTCTCCATTTTCAAGGGTAGATGGAAGCTGTACCATGTTTTTGGAAAGAGGATGGGGAGAAGGTTATGAGAGGGAGTCAATTTATAAAAGTTCTCTGTGGTAGAGTCTTACCAAATGAGCTTACATGTTGGAGGCCTAGCAGGAGCTCTGGACTGTCAGATCCTTTGAAAGTGGAGCTCAGCTCCAAACCTCCCTGCAAACAGGAAGCTGGTTTGAGTTAGAACATAAAATAAAAACCAGCTGATGCCCCTGAATGTTTTTCCCCTGTTCCTCCCCCTGCACAGAGCCAAAGGAAATGGCCTTTTTTTTTTTTTTTCCTCCCTGGATAGTTGCTCAGAAAGCTAGAAAAAAGCCAAAACCATAATTCTTTTGAAAATAACCCAAGCTTGAGCCCAGGCAAACTCCTGCCCTTGGGGTTTTTCTAGCCTGGAAGTCTGTTCCTTTGCTGAGAGTCCTAGGAGGAAAATGACTGAGGAACGCAGAGGTGTAGAGATCAGAGACTGAAATCTATGCCCGCAAAAAGATGGTCTGTAGCAGGATGCTTCAGACTGGAGCTTCCAGCCATTTCTAGGTCTTGGAACTCAAGAGTGGGCCATGACTACAATTATTTTTTAATGAGATAAAACACAGTAGAAAATAGAGTATATCATATGCAATAAGAGTGATTATTTTGTTGTGAAGCTTTCACTTCAGTTTTATGCACATGCCACACATACACTTATGTTTATCCTGTGTCATAGAACCTATTAGGTCTCTTACTGTGTGTGAATTGTGGTCAGAAAGTTTGATAAACCATGGGCTTCCCTGTGGCGCAAGCGGTAAGTCTCAGCACTATCAAGCTGTTGGCAGCCACTGCAGCATGAGTTCAATCCCTGGCCAGGGACCTGACCCACATGGCGCAGCAGACCTCTCTTGCCTTGCCCACTGCTCCCCTCAGCAGTGTATTTCAGTCGATCAGCCTGTTCTGTTCACCACTCTGTCTCTGGTGAATCCTCTCACGCACCCCCACACCTCTGGCCTGTGCCCCAGTTCTTATATGCATACATAAATAAAAATAAATCTTTAAAAAAAAGAAAGTTTGATAAATCACTGGTCTTTAGGATCTGATAACTCACATCTCCTTCCTGCTTTAGATTGCTATTAAAACGTCCATGCTGGTTTCAGAATTAATTCTCCGTGGCACTGGATCAGCCCCCCACAAAACACTGACCCAACATCTACCAAACTCCATCAGAGGAGAACCAACAGACTGACCTGATTTTTGATATCAAAATTGAAGCATAAGGGAGGGATTGACACAAAATTGAATCTAAAGGTTTTCCTGAAATCAGATTAACTTGAGGAGAAAAGCTCCCTGCACTTGACTTTGTGACCTTTCCTGTCCCTGTGGGTAGTGCTGGCCTGGGACTCCTCGCTCCCTCTTCTGGGCAATAGGCAGTTGTTACTGCAGGAATGTTCCCCCTCCCCGTGGGGTAGCCAAAGGCACAGTGCCAGGATTGGGTGGAGTGCCCTGAGCTGAGTATCCCCTGGACTCCCCGGGGTTATTTTGCAACTCTCCTGTCAGTGCCTGGTGCTCAGGCTTTGCAGAAAGGTGATTGGGTGCCAGGGGGTCATTGCGCTAAGAAAGAGTGTGGAAGGAAGCATAAGTTGGGTAAACTGTCAAGGATGTATGGAATAGTCTAAAGTTACTTTGTCCCACACTAGGTTTAGTGCCTCAGATAGGCCCACAGGTAACTGGCAAGCACGGTGCTTGCCGAGTGTCTGTGGCTGGGCTTGGCGCCCCGGGCCTACACACGTGCCCTCAGTGAGTGCACACATGTCAGGATTCCTGGTCCCTATCCCCAAGAAGTACAGCCGACTCTTGGGGACCTTCCTGGGGAATAAATTTTAACTATAACATCCCAGGAGACTTATTTTTGGCTACCACAGGCATTTTTTTCTAACCAAATTCAAGCTAAAATGGCCCTTAGAGATAAGAATTTAAACAGGCCTTCTAGGAACCTTTGAATTCTCTAGGACAGTAAGAGAAAAGGAAAGATTCTTAAACTATGCTGATTCTGGGCTTCCCCTCTCTGGAAGCCACCTTGAACTAGGAACAGACCATCCTGCCACAGAGAGGAACAAGTGTTGCTGGATCGCATCGCCCCCATAGGGCCCCCAAATCTCTTCTTAGAGTCTGAGCTCTCAGAGCAGAGTCTAGTCTAGCCTGTCTACATGGCCATTCTGCATTCAGAAGCCCCTGTCTAAGCCAGTGGAGACCAAGGACTCGCCAGAGGGGGCCAGTGCCAGGGTTCCAGACAGCGCTAGAGGAGGTGTACTTGGCGTGGTGAGTGAGAGGTTACCAGGCAGTCTGATTATCACATGGAATCATCTAGCAGAAAGCAGTGAACTAATTTGAGGTTAGTGCACTGTGGGTTCCGGGGCTGCAGTTGGTGTAGGGTTACAATAGTGACGATGAGAGTGATTGGAATGTCTCCTGTGGCTATGTCCTCTCATCTCAGAATCCCTGAGTACTTTACACATGTTTCCCTTTCATCTCTGTGGGAGTTGTGGCTTAATAATAATGATTAGAGTGCTCTCAGCATCTGTGCTTTACAGAACACACCATTAAGCCATGTGTCTACCTCCCCGGCTCATAGTCTGTATGAACTGCAGACATTTGGGAGCGGAGTCCTCCGGTGGAGAAGAAGAACGTGATAGAATGCACACATCAGGGATATTATGAGTCACTTAATTGACACCTAACATTCTTCTGGCTCTTGGTAGATCAGAGTGGCCTTTCCCATGCCTGCCAAGGCACGAAGATCAGTGACCTCCCTGAGTCTCAGGGACCCAAGAGCCCAGTGTGGGAACCCAAAGCTTTATCTTGTAAATGGAACCTTCCCAGATCAGGGGACACTTGTTTCTCTGTAGTCATGAGCTGTAACCACATCATTTTCTTGCCCATGGTCCCAGTACACTGGGTTCTGTTGAAAGCTGCTGATGCTGATGGCTTTCCCCATGTGAACAAGGGATTCGGGGTCAGAATAGAACCTGGAAAAGTCAGTCGCCCCATTTTCCTGAAGAGACAGGGACATCTGAAAAAGAGCCAGAACTGCAGGATGGTCCATGTGCCTTGCCGCTCTTTTCCAGCCCCACTCAGTCTATAATCTGTCACTTCTTTGTCTGCTCTAACAGGTGATCTTGGAGAAGGTGCTGGGAATAACAGTGTCCGGAGGCAGAGGACTTGCCTGTGACCCCCGATCCGGTTTAGTTGCCTACCCGGCTGGGTAAGTGCCTTGGAAGAGATCCTAAGTGCGTGGCAGTTTATAGCCATAGTACGCCAGCTGCGGTGAGCAGGCTTTTCCTAGTGTCTTGTGGAAGATAGATCCAGGTTAATATTTTGGTGTTGTTGGATGTTGTCCTTATTGCCATCCTGCCCAGCTTCTTAGCCATCCACCGTGCCCACACATACAGAGTCACACTTATCTTACACACCACTCCTTACACCATCTTCAGTGTCTTCCTCCTAGTCATTAAAAAAAATACCTTTATTGATATTGAGGGCCTCCCCTGGTGGCGCAGCGGTTGAGCGCTGGGCTGCAAAGCTGCCCGCAGCCTCTGCAGCGCCGGGTCAATCCCCGGCCGCTGGCGAGGGTCCCACATGGCGCACAGACCTCTCCTGCCGCCCGCTGCTCCCCTCAGCAGTGTACTTCATCAGTCTGCCTGTTCTGTTCCCTGCTCTGGCTCTGGTGAATTCTCTCACCCTCCCGAGCTTCTGAGTGTACCCAGTGCTTGTATAAATAAATAAATAAATCTTTAAAAAAAAAATAGCTTTATTGATATGTAATTTGCATACCATACAATTTGCCCCTTTAAAATGGTGCAATTCAGGGCCTCCCCGGTGGCGCAATGGGTTGAGTTCAGCGCTGTGAAGCTGTCTGCAGCGTCTGCAGCATGGGTTTGATTCCTGGCCGGCCAGGGAGCTACCCACATGGCGCAGCAGACCTCTCCTGTCTCGCTCGCTACTCCCCTCAGCAGTGTATTTTGGTTGTCTGCCTGTTCTGCTCCCCACTCTGTCTCTGGTGAATCCTCTCACCCTCCCATACCTCTGGCCTGTACCCAAGCTCTTGTATAAAAATAAATCTTTTTTTTTTTTTTTTTTAAAAAACACTTTTTTTTTATTTTATTTATTTATTTATTTATTTTATTTTATTCTGGGTACAGTCAGAAGCGCAGGAGGGTGAGAGAATTCACCAGAGCCAGAGCGGAGAGCAGAACAGGCAGAGTGACAAAGTACACTGCTGAGGGGAGCAGCGGGCAGCAGGAGAGGTCTGCGCGCCATGTGGGACCCTCGCCGGGTGGCCGGGGATCGAACCGGCGCTGCAGAGGCCGCGGGCAGCTTCGCAGCCCAGCGCTCAACCGCTGCGCCACCAGGGGAGGCCCTAAAAATAAATAAATCTTTAAAAAAAAATAAAATGGTACAATTCAGTAGTTTTCATACATTCACAAAATTGTGCAGTCATCACCATAGTCCACTAAAGAATATTTTCACCCAGAAAGAAACCCCAGATCCAGTAGTAGTCCCTCTCCATTTCCCCCATGTTCTCCAGCCCTAGGCAACCATCTACTTTCTGTCTTTACAGTGTAACCTTTTCTGGACATTTCACATAAATAAATTCATGCAATCGTTGGCCTTTTGTGACCAGCTTTTTTCACTTAGAATTTTTTTTGCTTTACATTGTTCATTTTTGTATGGTATTTGATTTCTCTCCTCAGGTGTAGCCCCCATAATTCTGCCACCCCCACATCACCTGTGCACCATCACCATGGTCCCTTGTGCTCCTCCCTCCCCTGTTTTGACCCCTTACTCTCTCCCTCCCCTACTGGGTGCCTCGGATCTATGGTTTGCCTGCAAGTTTTGCCTTTTTCCTGACCCTTTGTTCAGTTTCCTTATATTCCCTCTATAAGTGAAACCTTCCGATATTTTTCTTTTACCTGCTGACTGACTTCACTTATTATAATCTCTTCCAGCCCCATCCACCTTAGCACAATGTTTTCAGGGCTCATCCATGTCACAGCAAGTATCAGTACTTCCTTCTTTTTTATGGCCAAATAATACTCCATTGTAATGGTAGATGAGTATACCATGTTTGTCTTCTCATCATTTGATGAGCATTTGGGTTGTTTCCACTTGTCACCAATTCTGAATAATCCTGCTGTGAACATTAGTCTACTCGAGTCACTTTAACAGCCATGGGGGCAAAGTGGCAGGCTGGGCTGGTACTTTTTCTTATGATGCCTTTTTACTCCTCCGCTCCTACAAATAAGTGTTTGTTTTTGTGGGTTTTTTTTGTGAGCCTCTTTTCCTTGCTGCTGGGTACAGGGCCTCAAAATGGGGTGGGCTCTGCTTCTCCTGCCACCAACATGGACGTGCCAAATTCCGTACTGTGATTTCCACAGCTACTCCTGTGTTTTTTGTACCAGATGCATGATTTTTTCTTTTTCTTTTTTTTTAGTTTTACCATCCATCAAAAAAGCTACCTTAATTTGTCAACAATTTATTTGCCTGGTACTTTATGAGTTATTTTATTTAATACTCATAGAAACCCTCTGAGGCTAGTAGTATTACCACCCCATGCTTTAGAGGAGGATAGTAAGATTCAAAGAGATTAATTGGTTTGCTCAAGGTTCTACCGCTAGTAAATGTTTATGTTGGGATTTTAAACCAAGTACGTTGACATCAGAGCTGCCCTTTCTCTGAAAATGGCATGGGGTAGGGGAACACCAGACTTTCTGCTTATTTTTAAAAGTTGCTTTTCCCTTAAGCTGTCTACTTGCCATTTGATTGAGAAGAGCCCAATTTATGGGCAGCTCCCTCTATGCCAGGGGAGACTTCTGTGGGATGATTGTCTCTCCTGAGTGGTCTTCTGGCTTTTAATGTCTGTGGTGGGGGTGCTATGGGGCCTGCACTGGATTTTCCCTGGAGAAGCTGAGCTGGTTGCCTTCTCCCCCCAGAAGCAACTTGATGAATGGTCTCTGTTGCTGGATGCCCTATGCAGCCTGCCTCAGGGGAATTCCACTCATGCCTGCCTCTGCCCGGGAAAGCCAAGTTCCTTCTTGTTGGAGGTGGGGCTGGGCTGGATGCAGAATGGGTAGAAAAGGGCCTTGGGTGCTGCTCTGTGTGTGCTAAGCCCAGTGTGCCTACCTTGGGCAGTGTGGAGCTCTGTTCCCTTCTCATCCCCACACCCCACCCCTCTTTGGCCTCAGGCCTGGCGCCTTTAAGGGTGTGTGCTTCTGTTTATTGGCAGTTCCCAACCTGGCGCGTGTGCTGGGAGTCATTATCCTTCCAGGTGGTAGATGGAGGCCTCCTGCTGTTGACCTAGCAGCCTGTGCTTGGCTTGGGTCAGCCCTGGGCAGTGCCCTGATGTACTCTCTGACCTTTTGATTTTCTAGGACTTCAGTTCTTTCTTAGTAAATGACCCCTTTGCAAATGCTTTAGTTTTGTTCTCCTAGAACTTCCTAAAGTGTGTGGGGGTGGGGTGGTAGGGAGTGGGGAGGGGTAGGGAGTGGGGGGTGGGCGATGAGCGGGAAGGTGAGGTCTGGGCCCCACCAAAGTCTGTAGGAGCAAAGCGGTCTCTTTCCCTCTCCCTTCCTATCTGGTGATCCTAACCCCACCCCCCACCCACGGTCTCTTGTTCCTATTGCTCTTGTTGCTCTAGGAGAAGCTCAGGTATCCTAGAAACAAGAAGAGAAACAAAGCTTAGAAAATTCTCCCAGAGGCCTAGAGGCAAATATCAAACCAAAACAAACTTTTCTGAAAGGAAATGAAACAGCTCAGGGCAGGGTGGGGTGGAGGGACGGGGGGTGTGTCAGGCAGAGGTCTGAAGTCTGTGGGCAGAGACCCCTCAGTTTTAGTGGCTCATGAATCTTCTCCAGAGTCCTCCCTTTGCTGTAGCTTTCCCCACAGGAAGTCTACTCCCCACCTGTCATACAGCAAGCCCTCTGCCCTGGGATGCCAGGCTGGTCCCCAGACACCCTCTTTGAAGGACTTAGTTTAGTTCAACACCCACGGTTGCCTCGGACCCCTTCTTTATTTTAGCTGGCTTGGTGGAGGGTTCAGGGGCTTTAGAGCCCAGCACAGCCGCTGTTGCCAGTGTGGGGCCTGTCAGCTGTGACAGTAGGTTTCTCTTGACCCATAGCCCTGAAGTACAGGGTGGGGACTGGGGGAGTGCTCTGGGCACAGTGCTCATTGCCCCCTGGAGTAGGCGTTGTCCTGGAAAGGAGACTTACCTGTCCAGCAGCCATGGGGCCTCTTGGTTGTTTCCTGTAGGAAGGAGGAGATGACCCCAGCTCTCCTGAGAAGACCATTTCGTCAGCCCATGTTAGAGTTTGTGCTGTCGCCCGCAGCGCCAAAGCACGTGGACAGGTGTGAAGCCAGACTTTCCTGAACTGTGTTTCGCTGAGCTGAAGGAGCACAGAGCTGCCTTTTTACTCCGTGTGGCAAGCCTTGCGTGGGGGTTGCCTGGGAGTATGTGGGGGCCGTGGTGAGACCAGGTGGACCTGAGAGAAAGAGGATGCTGGGACTCACTGCCCTGATAGGCATGAATTGTGTCGGGACACTGCGCTCGTCAGTCCCCTTGCCTGCTTTTCTCCTGCGTTTCCTGCCCGTCTCACACCTGAAACCAGCGTCCCTTAGTTCTTCCCCAGTTTGTCCATATATTCATTCATCTGTTCAGATACTTGTTGAGAACATGCTCTGGGCCAGGCCCCGTTCCAGGTGCCGGGGATACAGCAGTGAATAAAACACACAGGCTCACTGCTTTGGTGGGGTTTAGGCTCAAGAAGGGCGAGCAGACACCGGCATGTACAAAGACTATATGGGAGGGTAGTCAGTGTCTGAAGAAAATTAAAGCTGGCGAAGGCAAGGAGAGTGGGTGAGTAACTGCGAGCAAGGGTGAGGCTGCCTCACGACTGGGCTGTCAAGACTCAGTGAGAAGTAACGTGTGAGCTATCTTGAAAGAGAAATCTGACATCAGAGATCTGACGTGAGAAGATCTGACATTAAAGTGTTCCAGGGGGGGAGACCTCAAGTCCAAAGGTCCCCAGGAAAGGAGCAGTCAGCTGGAGCTAAATAGCCGGCCCTGGGGGCTCCGCTGGAATGATTGAGACGGTGCTCAGACACTGCCATTTTGACTGACGTACAAGTCTTGAAACTCACGGCGGTCCATCTTTTGTCTGGAAGGGAATGTGCTTAGAGAGTCTGAGCAGAGAGAAGCATACGACCCTGGGGCCGTGTTATTCATTGCATTAGTAGGACCACATCTATTTCATGCTTTTGGCAAGTGGAAGGGGGGCTTATAAAGAAACAGAGATACCAGCGGTTTTCATGGCCTGGCCTGGTCACTGAGTTGGAAAGCGTTGTACTCCACATATCCTAGGGAATTATAACCAAGGGTGCCCTGGGAAATACTCTGCACTCATTATCTTGGGGTAATTAAAGCTATACAATTTCTGCTTTGGGAGTGAGTCTGGGCAGTTTGCAGTTCCACACCTGGATGAGGACCCTAATGCGTCACATCCCGCATGTGACGGGATACCAGAGTTGCTTGGAATTTCAGCTGCAGTTGCTCGCCCCCATAGCCCTTTGCTCACTACTGGTGCACCCGAGTGGCCTTCAAGAAGCTTAGGCGCACCATGCTGGTTACTTTGCATGGTATCTTCTTCGAGTCTCCTAAAGTTTATATGAGGTAGATTGTTATTCCTATTTTACAGATGAAGAAACTGAGGTTCAGAGGAGTAAAGGAATATGCCCCAGATCACACAGTATATTGGCAGACAGGTCGGCCTGACTCTATTTTTCTTGTTTTTTTTATCATCACACTGCCCTAATATGTTAGTGAAGCCTGTGGGCCTGAGGTAGGAGAGAATGGTGACTGCCCCAGGGGTCTGTTTCACAGGTTTGCTACCCAGGAGCTTCCTGGGCAGTCTGGGCTTTCAGATCTGGTAGTTAGGGACTTAAAGATTTGTTTACCCATTCACAAATATTTACTGAGGATCTCTCTTCAGCCCCTGTGAACAGCACAGCAAACAAGACAAAGAGGCCTCCTTCACAAAGCTGGTAATCTAGTGGTGGAGATAGACCCCCCTCTCGCACAAAGAAGTAAATTTTATAGAATATTACAAGTTGATGTGTGCTTTGGAAAAAGTGTAAGTAACAAGCGGTGAAAGGGATCTAGGGACTGTGGGGTCATAATGTTAAATGGGGCTAGCAGGTGACATTTGAGCACATTGAGGACTTTGTTGTGCCTCCGTGAGTCACCTTTCTCATGCTGCCTGGTCTGAAAGAAGGAATTCGAGGCTGCAAGATCTCTCCTTGGACTTTCTGTGGCCCGCTCTGTCTCTGTGCTACTCCAAGGTTCATTTATGTCTGCCTTCTGGAAGATAGAGAGCTGTCAGAGTCAGATCCTGTGGGAATCCTGGGCTCTTTGTGGTAGCAGGCCCGGACCTGCCCTGGGCAGGGGGCTGTAGGGACCTTGGCCCTGCATGGTTCAGAGTAAGTCCTGGGCAAGGGGCCCAGCCTCTGGTACTCCGCCATGTGACTCCCGGGTGGAGGCCCTGAGGAACTGAGGCCTCTCTGTCTCCTTGTGAGAAAAGCAGTCGTTCTGCACCTGCACCCTGGGGTTCTGAATGTCGGGCCTCAGCCCAGCTCTTGTTATGTTGGGGATTTCAGCCAGCACTGCTGAAGGGCCCACGTGAAGATGACTGCCTGCTGTGCTGGGCAGGGTCAAGGGATGTGGCGGCCCAGGGCCAAGGATTGATGCAAACTGCGCCCCACCCACCTCTCCCTAGCCAACTGAGGAGCTTGCTCAAAAGGCAGCGAAGACTGAGGAGGCCTCCCCCTCAATGTTTTTGAGATTCTCTTGGGAGGACTCAACAAACTAGGCATAAGTGGGACCTTGACCATCTTTGCCAAGTTCTGCCCTTCTTCCTTGTATGTACTGTTGGGCCCACAAGTGGAGCTGTGACTGTGGGTTGGCCCATTTCTCTTTCTCTGTGTTGGAAGGTTTCCAAATTTGGATAATTAGACGAAAAATTTCAGCTTAAGGGTGATTCTCTCCTTAGCACAGATCTTCCATTCCACACCTAAGAATTTCCCAGTCAGATGGGGGTATGTGTGGAGGGGCCTGGGGGTGTTAGGGAAGGGCTGGGTTACCTTGTAGCCAGTTATCTTTGTATTATTGCATGTTTACAAAAGGATGTACCTACACACACTCACGCAGCTTTCCCTCTCCCGCTGTGGACTCACACTGAGGGGAAGGAGGAGACAAAAGCTGTGGCCCGGCAAGATTCAGAATTTGTGTGTTGTGACCCTTGGAAGGTGGGTCTGTGCACTGCCCCTTAAAGGTCCTGATGCTGCTTTATGATGAGGGTTTAAAGGAAAACTCAAAAACTTAGCCCAGAGCCCTTATCACCTACTTTCTCTGGATTTGGCCTGTGGCCGGCTGGAATACGCGTCAAGTCAGTTCACGTCAGATCAGCTCTCAGCTTGAAGGTCTTTGCATGGTTTATCAGTAGCCGATCAGAAAGCTGGGGGTCTGTCACCTCTCAGACTAGCAGCCTTTGCTAGAGAGATGAGCCCTCAGAGGTTCTCCTCAGCAGGTCGGCACAGATAGCAAGAAGGTTCAGAAACAGCCTGAAAACCTGCTGGACCTGGAGGGCAGCAGTTCTGGGGTATCTTCTTGATACACTGAAAAAGTATTAAAATCTCAATGTCTAAATCTATGAACTTTGAACCCTATAGCTGTTATCGTTCTTACATATCTTGGTTTCATTTCCAAAAATTCTGTAGCCCACATTCATTTCCCCTCAAAATGCCTCAAGCTTCTCTCCCACTCCTCAGAGGTGCCTACCTGACGCCTCGCACGTGAGGCCAGTGTGCTTCCTGTGCCTCCCGCCTCTCTTCAGCGTCAGTGTTCTCTTTAGTCACTCCGCTTCACTCTGCTCTGCTTAGAGTACTACTTCTGAAACCCTGACTCTGTTTTGCTCCAGCTGAGTGACCCTGAGCGGATTGCCTCACCGCTCTGAACCAGCGTCACAAGGTTGGGGCAAGGATTAGCCAAGACCAGACATCTGAGGTGCTTAGCGGGGTGCCTGCTAAACCGAAAGCACTTGATAAATGGTAATTTATTTTTGGGCACCACCCTGTGAGGAGCAGTAGACCAGTTACTGAAGAAACGTGTAGGGTTCACTGAAAACTCTTGTGCGGTGCTTTCTAACATACACAGCAGATGTCACTTCTGTTACCTTTCCAAGCGGCTGTGCTGCTGCCCTAGATTCTTGAGATAGCTTCTCCCTCAACATTTCCCCCTTGCTACCTTCCAAGCTTGTCTCCTAAGTGAACCAAGACACAGATACTTTCTTCCCTCGAGCCTATCCTAGCTCTATTTTTTTGGTTGCCCCCCTCCAGAACAATAGGACTCACCTTCTAATAAGACTCGTCTCAGCTCTTCCAAAGGAGAAGCCTGACTCAGCCCGGAGCCCCTTGTTCCACACTGCCGGGACCCCTTTCAGCTCCCTTGCTGTGCTCCAGGAGTAGTTGTATTAAGATTCGCTCTTCGACTCCTACTGTGTCTCAAAAAAGATCATTTAATCTTCACAGAAGTTGTTTGCTAGATCCGAGTGTCTCCTTTTTTCCTGGAAACAGGCTTGTGTTTAACCTGGGGTCACAGAGCTTTACACGTCAGGATGAGGGCTCAAACCCTGGCCTCTGACTCCAGAGCCCACACTGTCCCCACTGGCCCACATTGCCTCTAGCGTCGCCTTCTGCAGAGACAGGTGGAAGCGCTGCAGTGGGGAGGAGAGCTGGGGGCTGCTGATGCCCCAGGGGACTGAGGGAGGTGTTCATCTAGTCAATAAATGGTTCCTGAACAACTGCAGAGGGCCAGACTCTGCTTGGCACTGGAAACAAGGCAGTGAGCAAAACCAGATTCAGTTTCCACTCTCATGGAATGCAGTCTAGTAGGAGAGACAATCACAAATAAATGTAAAATTGCATCCATGGTAAGTAACAAACGATTGATACACGGTGCTGTGAGAGCACATTCTGAAGCTGTTTGACCTGAAATCTGAAAGAGGACTAAGGATCAGCTAGCTGGAAAAGTAGGGAGGAATGTTCTAGATCAGGGAAATGCCTCCAGCTCCCGCGAAGGCCCTGTAGTGGGAAGAGCATAGCAAGTTAAAGGGAGTGAGGTATGTGGTGCGAGCATGGTGCCGGCGAGGCTGGGGAACGGGCTGGGCCATTAGCAGCGCGTGCTCTCCTTTGCTTCATGTTTCTAGCAAATAGTGGGGTTCATTTATGGGAACTGCATGGGTTTCCCACTAAACAAGGCTGGATCTGGGCGATGTGGCCCCCTGCTCATTCTCTCCACACCCACCTTTATCTGGTGTAATAGACGCCACCCTTGATCTTGTCAGCTCGGGGCATGCTGATGAAGCAGTGAGGCAGAAGGGGCAGCGGGCCCGGGCCTGCTGACAGCTAAGAGCCCGAGGAGAGCACTACCCGGCTGTGGCTCCTGGCTTCTTGCCTCTGACTCCTACCACCTGGCTTCCCCTCTGGAGCTGCCTTGGGAAAGCCAGACAGCCTCTGATCTGTCAGCCTTGCTCCTGGCAGGAGTGCGTGCTCCCCCTGGCACCTCGGGCAGAGTCTGGTTGTCTTCTGGCAGCCTCGGGCTCCCTAGGGCTGGGGCTTCTCAGGGCTGCGCTCGGGAGCGCCGAAGCACTGAACAGGCTTCCCCAGGCCCTCCCAGGCTCTCCTGCCTCTCCGCCTTGTCTTATGTCTTACGGAGTCTCCTTGCAGTCTGGCCTTCTGTCTCCCACACCCGTCCTTGGAGCACAAGTGCTTGACACGTGCCACGAGCCTGTGAAGTACCTGTGGCCTGCTTTGCCCAAATTATGTGTATTCTTCCTTCCTGCACCCCCTCCCAGGCTACGTGTGGGAGTCGTAGGGAGGTGTCTGTCCCTGCGGCCCTTTGTGGGTATAAACAGAGATGGTGCTGGCATTTAGAGAGCTGCTGGGGATAGGCTGCCAGAGGAGAGCTCTGTCACCCTCACAGGGCTGTAGAGAAAGAAAGCAAGAGGAACAGGTAGCTAGGAGAAGGCAGTTGCCCTCAGTCATTAGTGGAGCCCCTCTGGCTAGATCCAGCTCTCTCTGTCAGGTGACCAGAGTTCCCAGGTGTCCTGGGAGCTCCTGAGGGAGCTGCGTTTGGTGGTAAGTCTGTTGTCTCACTTGTCTCCACAGGTGTGTGGTTGTGCTCTTCAATCCTCGGAAACACAAACAGCACCACATCCTCAACAGTTCCAGGTAAATGGGTCTGGGCCCTCAGGGTGCACCTCTTTCTCCTGGAAGCTGTGAGAAGGGCTCTGTCTGGGGCCTCTATGGCTCTGGGGACTGGACCTGGTTGGGCCAGACAGGGAAATGCCACATGTGCCATTGTTGTCTGCTGGTCTTACTTTTGAGGGGACTGCAAGGGAGACTGGCTTAGGCCAGGCTCTGAGCTGGCCCCATCTCTTGCAGGAAAACCATCACTGCCCTTGCCTTCTCCCCTGATGGCAAGTACTTGGTCACTGGAGAGGTGAGTGAAGAGGTTCAGGGGCCTGCCTAAGCAGAGAACCATAATCAGGCCTAGTTAGGGCTGCTGCCACTTGGCTTCCTGGTTTTTGCTTACCTTGAAACAGTGGCTCTTAAGCTTTAATGTGCACCAGAATCACTTGAAGGGCTTGTTAACATGCATATTGCTGGTTCTGGTTCTATAGGTCTGGGGTGGGAAAATTTGCATTTCTTACAAGTTCCCTGATCTGGCTGATTCCACTGGTTTGGGAAGCGGTGTGGAAAAAGGAGTGCCTGACATCTCCCTTATCCCTGGAGGCCCCCTGCTGGACACACGAGGAACTCTGCCGCCTCTCAGTGTCGCTGCCCTGGCAGTAGGGGCAGGAATAGGCCTGAGTAAGAGTGGTTCTCAACCCTAGCTGTCATCAGCACCACTCAAGGAGCTTTCAAAAAGCTCAGCGGTACAGACTTTCACCCTGAGATAGTGAACCAAATCTGGGGCTATTTGCCCTTGATGATCTTTGTCATATTTCTTCTGCCCTCTACTCTGGACTTTTGGCCAGGGGGTCATTAGAGAGCTTGTATCCAACAGTCGGGGAGGTGATGGTCCCAACTCTGACAGGCTGGAGGATACTGTGCTCTTGCCCTCACTTCCAGTTCTTGTTTCCCTGCAGAGCGGGCACATGCCTGCCGTGCGGGTTTGGGACGTGGCTGAGCATAGCCAGGTGGCAGAGCTGCAGGAGCATAAGTATGGTGTGGCTTGTGTGGCCTTCTCCCCGAGCGCTAAGTACATTGTTTCTGTGGGCTACCAGCATGACATGATCGTCAACGTCTGGGCCTGGAAGGTGAGTGGGCTGGGTGCGCTGGCCTGACAGCCTCAGGGGGCCCAAGGGCCGGTTGGGGATCCAGGAAGCTACTGATCTGAACCCTTTTACTCTGCTGATCTCAGTTCTTTCTAGAAAATGATCTGAAGCAGAAAAGAGCAAATGGCCAAACATGTTGGTAGACAGAGACTAAATTTATGCCTTCTAGGACCACCAGAGGAAACAAGTCTCTTCAACTCCTCTAGGAATTCCCCCCCCCCCCCACACACACCTTTTTCTGGCTAGTAAATCCTAGAAAGAAGTTTTGTCTGGTGCAAATCCTGTCTAACCCTCCTCTACCCTCTGAGTCTTTTTCTTCTGCCTCAAAGAGACAGAACCTTTTTGATTCTTCCTGTGTCTTTCCTTCTAGAAAAACATTGTGGTGGCCTCCAATAAGGTGTCTAGTCGAGTGACAGCAGTGTCCTTCTCTGAAGATTGCAGCTACTTTGTCACGGCGGGCAACCGACATATCAAATTCTGGTACCTCGATGACAGTAAGACCTCAAAGGTGAGATGCTGAGGCTGGAAATGGACACCAGGGCCAGGAGGGGCTCAGCCCACCCTATGAGAGCCTGCTTGCTGTGGCCCCTCTCAGCTTGCTCAACAGCCATACAGAAGTTCTGGAGGAGCTGGAGGAGCCAGATGCTCTCTGGGCTGAGGAGTGGTCTCACAGGGCAGGAGGGCTTGCTGCTTCTCCTCCCTCTCCCCACGGCAAGCTCTGGGGGGAATGGGTGGATGACGAGGGTTGTGTCTCCACAGGTGAATGCCACTGTGCCCCTGCTGGGCCGCTCAGGGCTGCTGGGCGAGCTGCGAAACAACCTTTTCACTGATGTGGCCTGTGGCCGGGGGAAGAAGGCAGACAGCACCTTCTGCATCACATCCTCGGGGCTCCTGTGCGAGTTCAGTGATCGGAGGCTGTTGGATAAGTGGGTGGAACTGAGAGTAAGTGCTTCTGCCCTGCGGGGAGGGGCTGCCGTGTCTCAGTTCAGGGGAGAACAGATACATGTGGCTCCACACCAGGGGCCAGGGCCTCTGTGCATGAGGGACCCCAGGAGAGAGAGGCTTGGGGGAGCCAAAGCTTGGTCAGTTCTAGCCCGTGGACAGTGATTCAGCTGCCTCCTCTCTGCTCTCATTTTCTGCCTTTCTCTCCCTTGCTTTCCTCTTCTGCTCAGAACACAGACAGCTTCACAGTAAGTGGTGCCTGGACTCTCTTTCTCATGCTGTTTCTTTTCCTTTGCTGCTGGGCTTTGTCCACTTTGCCAAGACCTCTGGTGCCTTGGAAGGGCCCCTGGCTCCCATCCCCCAACTGCATGTGGCTTGGGCCCTCTGGCCACCTGCTGCTGGAGGGAGGGGCGTCTCTAGGTGACAGCTGAGGAGCTCTGACCAGAGCAGCTGGGTTGCTTTTCCCTCACCCCTGCCTTGGCTGTTCTTTACTCCTGGCAGGTGACTGGTGAGGAAGGCTTGGGCAGAAGTCCCTTGCTGACCCGGGGCCCTTTCCTTGCAGACCACCGTGGCCCACTGTATTTCTGTAAGCCAAGACTACATCTTCTGTGGCTGTGCTGATGGCACCGTGCGCCTCTTCAACCCCTCTAACCTGCACTTCCTCAGCACTCTGCCCCGGCCCCACGCCCTGGGGACGGACATTGCCAGCATCACTGAGGCCAGGTGAGCTACGACCCCGGCTTCCTTTCAGAGCCTTCCCTGGCTCTGCTTCAGGAAACGAGGCAAATTGATGCTCCAGCGATTCCCTCCATAGAGAAGCAGGTGTGTGTCTCTTGGCAGTTGTTACAACTAAGGAGACCCAGAACTGTGAAGAACCAGGGAGTGTCCCAGTAAATGGTGTCAGGAGGGGCTTATTTTAAGATTTGGACTCGCATTATATGAATTTAGGAATGGTCCGAGAGATTAAAGTGTAGCTCTGGTTGGATGCTGTCAGGAAGTGGGGGCGATTCTACAGTTGGACATCTTAATTTTATTTAAGGGTGGAAGGAAATGTATGGGGCTAGAACGACAATTGGTAAAGAAGCAGCAGTCAACCGCGATAGCGGGGAAAGGGTGTTCGGTCATCTTTGTGGTTTGTGCAGTGATCTTACATCTACTTGTGCTCAGGCATGATGACAGCGTTGTCTTGTTTTTGTTTTGCTCTGCTTCTGCAGTTACCTTGCCTGACATTGGTGTTCTGTGGCAGTGTTAGTCTTCATTGCCCAGTGTCAGACACGAGGCCTAGCAGCTAGTGCCAGGCCAGCTGCCAGGGTCTGCCTCCTTTTTTTTTTTCTTTTCCAAGCAACTGGTTCTAAACCCACTGGTTTGGAGAGGACCCCCCCCGTGCCCTACTCCTTCCTCTTCCTTTGTGGGTTGGCTGCTTTTTTTATTCCTTCCAATCCATTATTTCATCAGCTCCTCACCAGTTTGTCCTCTTCTCTTCCCCACAGTCGCCTCTTCTCGGGAGCGGCCAACGCTAGGTACCCAGACACCATCGCCTTGACTTTTGATCCCACGAATCAGTGGCTGTCTTGTGTATACAATGACCACAGCATTTATGTGTGGGATGTAAGGGACCCCAAGAAAGTGGGCAAGGTGTACTCGGCTCTGTATCATTCCTCCTGCGTCTGGAGTGTGGAGGTATGTGGATGGGGCTGGCTGGAGGTTGACCACGTTTTCTGGGATACCGTTGTGAGCATGGATAGTGAAGACCCCCCAGGTAGAATATTCTGTTCTGCTGCCTCTTTGTTTCGCCAACAATAGCCCCATGTATCTGCCCATCCTCAGATGGCTCCTAAGGATTGAGCTTGAAGGTTAATAAGAATATATCTCAGGTTTCTTCCAGTGTACCCTCTCTGTTCTTAACCTTGCTTCATCCTGGACTGGGTAATCTTGGGCGAGTTATGGGAACTTGACTGAGCCTTAGTTTCCTCAACTGTCAAGTGATGTGCCAGTTCATTCAGTTGTTCTAAGGATTAAATAATCTAAACAGGAGACATGCCTGGCACATAGTGCGTGCTTGGCTGATGGGCTCTCTGGTGGTAACGGTGAAGGGAAGCTAATAGTTATGGCTTGTTTACTCTGAGACAGACACTGGGCTATGCCTTAGCCTGCATAATCTCCTCCTCTTCCCTCTCCTTGGGTGGGCAAGGGACTGCTCCCTAATTAGAATTCTGACTTTGTCTCTTCTGTCCCTGCAGGTCTACCCTGAAGTGAAGGACAGTAACCAGGCCTGCCTGCCCCCCAGTTCCTTTATCACCTGTTCCTCGGACAACACCATCCGCCTCTGGAACACAGAGAGCTCCGGGGTACATGGCTCCACCCTGCACCGAAACATACTAAGCAATGTGAGCCCTGAAACCTTAGGCCCCCACCCCACACTTAGTATCCCCATCCCCTTAGCCTTCACTCCTCCTTCTCAGGCGCTGGGTTCCCAAACCTTGGTCTTCCATTTGGCTGGGCTCTCTGAACCAGGGTTTATCTCGTCCAGCATTTCTCTGCCCTTGGCAGCTGTACTGGGTCAGGCCTGCCTTACCCACCTCTTCTCCTGACCTTCTCCACTAGGACCTCATTAAGATCATCTACGTAGATGGGAACACTCAGGCCCTGCTGGACACCGAGCTGCCTGGGGGAGACAAAGCTGATGGGTCCCTGATGGATCCCCGCGTGGGTATCCGCTCCATGTGTATCAGCCCCAATGGACAACATCTAGCTTCAGGAGACCGCATGGGCACACTTAGGTAATGCCAGGCCTGGAATGGGTGCTCACCACCCTTCGTGGTGCAGGCTGGGGGAGTTAGGTCCCAAGGACAGAGCTTTCGGAAGGTTTGTCTCAAAAAGATTTGGAAACAAGATATTCATTATATAAAAAGTTACTGTATAATAAACTCACAAGGCAGAAATCATCTTAACCAAGTGATCAAGTGTAACTTTCTGAGCGCGACATCACGAAGCCCGTACTAAGAGGAGATCACATTGTTTCTGCAGTATTTTTATCACAAATTTAAAAACTGAATCCGGTCATGAGAAAAACCAGATAAACTCAAATTGAGGTACATAGAGAGCAGAGTGTGCCTGGACTGACCTATAATCTTCAAAAGTGTCGAGTCACGAGAGATAAAAGACTAAAGGATTGTTAGAGACTACAGAAGACGAAGGGACAGTGACAACTGAATGCGGTTTGGATTCTAGTTAGGATCCTGGATCCAGAAAAAGGACGCTGGAGAACCGATGAAATTAAAATCGTCTTTAATCAGTGGTGTTGCCCTAATGCAGACTTCCTGGTTCTGGGCATTGAACTGTTGTTACATAAGATGCTAACATTGGGGAAAGCTGAGTAAGGGAAATATGAAAACTGTATTTATTGCAACTTAAAGTTCTATGCCTTAAAGTTCAAAAAGAAATTAAATAAAAAATTTAGGGGAGGCGATACAGCAGAGGAAGGCATGTGAGTCTCTCCTCTTGCAGACTGGCAGTGACCTCTTCCCTCCTCCTCCTCTTTGCAGGGTACACGAGCTGCAGTCTTTAGGTGAGATGCTAAAGGTGGAGGCCCATGACTCAGAAATTCTGTGCCTGGAGTACTCCAAGCCAGACACAGGTAAGGAGGGTGCCCGGTACATAGCCCAGAATGGCAGAGTTCCTCCAGGCCTCCTCCTGCCACTTACGTCTATCCTGCCTCTTGGGTGTGGAACTCAAAATCCTTTGAATTATTGGTGTCTTGTAAGTTAGAGGACAGCTGCCATCTCTTCTCTGTGTTCGCTTGTCTTAGGGCTATGGGAATCGGTTCCTTCAAATCTCCTTACCAAGCCCAGATAGGGGCCTGCTCTGGGCACATGTAGGCTGATGGAGTTCTTTCAACCACAGGTCTGAAGCTTCTAGCGTCAGCGAGCCGGGACCGACTGATCCACGTGCTGGATGCTGGACGAGAATATAGCCTGCAGCAGACGCTGGACGAGCACTCATCCTCCATTACTGCTGTCAAGTTTGCAGGTGGGGGTGGGGGCAGGGCAATTGAGGGCAATTGACACATCCTGTCACCTACCTCCAATCCCCTCCTCCCCCTGACCCTTGCCATGCTTTTCCATGAGAAGGCTCTGCCAGTCATGGGGGAGCGTTGGACAGCAGCTGGGAGGCCTGAAGTTGGTGGGAAGATGGGAAGATAGGTGGGCTGTAGGCTCTCAGTCCAGGAGTCTCAGTCCTGAGCCAACCGGATTGGCAGAGACAGGGGAGAAAGAAAAGCTTTGGTTTAGAGGGAAGCATCCTGATCTAATTGATTGTCCTGATCATGTAGAGTAGCTCCTGGGGGGAATTATGTAGGGAAGGCAGAGGAAAAGCAGGCCTCATTGTGGTGAGGGCAGTGGGAACAGCAAGGCCCCCCTCCTCCATAGCCAGCGACGGCCAAGTCCGCATGATCAGCTGTGGTGCAGACAAGAGCATCTACTTCCGCACTGCACAGAAGGTGAGGGTACTGGGAGTCCCTGAAGGGGGTGTGGGTGTGGGGTCTCTGCCATTCTCCTATCTTGAGGTTACAAGAGGTGAGCGGGGGTTGGGGGGCGCTCTCGCCCCTGGTGAAGCACTTGGGCATGGGGTCTGCCCACATGCTCCACCCCGCAGACTGGAGATGGAGTACAGTTTACACGGACACATCACGTGGTGAGGAAGACGACCCTCTATGACATGGACGTGGAGCCCAGCTGGAAGTACACGGCCATCGGCTGCCAGGACCGAAATATTCGGTAGGCGGCCCTTTCTCAGGCCATCCGACCACATTCTTCATGCCCAGGGGGGTCAGTTGTGGGCAGCTCAGTCCCCACACCTGCCTTGTTGTCTAGGACTTTGTAGTCCCCTTGAGCTCACAGCACGAGTACTGCCCTAGTGGGAGGAGCCCCTTTGATGTTGGGGAGTGGCTCCCAGAGAGCAGGGTACTGTGCCCCCCAGGTTATTCTTGATCGTGACCTCTCCTCTTGTGAATGTGAATGTGTTTCTTTATAGGATCTTTAACATCAGCAGTGGGAAGCAGAAAAAGCTGTTTAAAGGGTCACAGGGTGAGGACGGCACTCTTATTAAGGTAAGGCCCCAATAGGACGGGCACCAGGCCAGAGAGAGGAAGCAGAGGTGGGTCCTGGCTGGGCAGGCACTGTGCCTCCCGGCCTCTTGCAGCTGTGTGTCCCGCTTCACAGGTGCAGACAGACCCCTCGGGTATCTACATCGCCACCAGCTGTTCTGACAAGAACCTCTCCATTTTTGACTTCTCCTCAGGCGAATGTGTGGCCACCATGTTTGGCCACTCAGGTGAGTGTCACCCCAGAGTTCTACCCCTGGAACATCACTTTTTCTTCCTTTAGTTTCTTGGGACTCAGCAGAGCTGCCCTCTCCTGCCCTCCAGCCAACTGCCATCTCCACTGTTGGAACAGAAGCTTGGCTGGGAATTCAGGGTGGCTTATAGACCACCTTACTTGTTCTTCACAGAGATTGTCACTGGCATGAAGTTTAGCAATGACTGCAAGCATCTCATCTCTGTGTCAGGGGACAGGTGAGCACAGTCTAGCTTCCTGAAACACAGATTCTTCCCCTCCCTCCTCCCCTCTCTTCCCTTGAGGGGTATCTCTGGGAAGTAGGACTGAACAGGGATATTTCTTGGCTGGGCCTGACCTGGCATTCTAGGGTGCCACCCATAGTGCCTCTGTGCCCCTGTCTCACCCACCTCTGACTCTCCCCAGCTGCATATTTGTGTGGCGCCTGAGTTCTGAGATGACCATCAGCATGAGGCAGCGTCTGGCTGAGCTGCGCCAGCGTCAGCGAGGGGGCAAGCAGCAAGGACCATCCTCTCCCCAAAAAGCTACTGGACCCAGCCGGTGAGAACAGAGTACGGGCTGGTGGTGGGCGTGCCCACAGCTCCCTGTGCTCTCGTGGCTCCTCTGCGCTCGGCACCTGCCAGCCAGCCACTCTCTCCTGACACCTGCTTCTCACACAAAGACCCATGACAGTGGCCTCTTCCCCACTGAGCACCCTCTCCCCCGACTTTTCTTGTCTTGGACTCAGGCACGAGGCCCCTTCGGTGCTCTGTCCTGGACCTGCTCTCTCATCAGACAGTGACAAGGAAGGAGAAGATGAGGGTACTGAAGAGGAGGAACTGCCAGCCCTGCCCGTCCTTGCCAAGGGTACCAAGAAAGAGCCAGGTTTGTGGAAGTCTGGTGTGGAGCCGGATAGGTGCCGGTTGGTGTAGTGGCTAGATATGCCCTTTCTGGGACGGGGTGACAGCAGTGTGAGCAGAGGAAACCCAAGCATCATTGTGGCCACCCAGGTTGTGGGCTGGGATGGGATCAGGGCTCCCGGGTGGTGGGCAGGGGACGCTGTCTCTGACTTCCTGTCTCTGTCTAGCCACCATGCCCAGCCCAGCCCTGCCCCGAAGCCTGTCCCACTGGGAGATGAGTCGGGTGAGTCACTTTGGTTAAAATGCCCTTCCGAGGTTAAGAGGTGAAGGAAGGTGAAAGCAGGGCTCTCTGGTATCGGTGAAGCCTTTGGGTGCGGGGTCTGCCCACGCGCTGCATCTCTGGCGTCCTTGGAAACACCTGTGTCGGGAGTTTGTGTGGGCAGCTGAACTGGTCCCAGCGTAGGAATGACAGGGCCTGGGGTTTCCTTCCTGTGGGTCAGGTGAGGGGGGCTGCAGGGCTGGTCACTACTAGGGGAAATGCTCCACTTGTTCGGCTGCCAGGAGTGAATATGAACAAAGAGCAGGTTGAGGCGGGGAATAGGTAAGGGGTGTGTGAGCCACGCTAAAGTTCAAGAAAAGCGAATGTCCAGAGAGCAGAAATCTAGAGGAACCTGCCCTACAGACTCCAGGTTAGGAGGTAAGCTCAGAACTTCCATGAGAGTTAGAGGGTGAAGGCATAAGACCAGTAACTGAGCGGCCATTTCTGGGGCACCCGTGCGAGGATAAGGGCTTTCTGAGCAGCCCCTTAGGGGCCTGGCCCACATGTGTTCTGGGTCAGGATTTCAGGCACCAGCACCCTTCATTGTCAGCAGCAATGTCATTGGACAGTGGTGGCGCAGGTCTCTGGTGCCTTGTGACCAGACCCTATTCATTGGTCCTTGAATGGACTTGGGGGCCCTTTTAGAGATTTGAAGCTCTGAGGTGTCCATGACACCAGCTGAAGACAGACTAGAAGGTCCTCTATGAGGGCGGTGGAGAGAAGCTAAGAGTGTAAAAACTCTGAGTCATTACTGGCTTGTGGATGGACCACTTACTGTTCCTCGAGCCCTCTGTGCTTCAGTTTTCTCCTCTAAGAAGGGAGTAAAAGGACCCGCTTCATTAGGTGGTCATGGGGACTGTGTGAGCGCGTATGTGCACAGTGCTGGGCATGCATACAGGATACACGAGTGCTAATACTGTTGTCTGGTTGTTACTGTTCCTCTTCCCCCACCCCCGCCCCACCCCAGGCACGGGAGACAATGGAGTTTGCTCCAGCAGCCAATCAAGGACCCAGAAAAAGGGGGCGCTGGGCTCAGCCAGGCGTGGAGCTGAGTGTTCGTTCTATGCTGGACCTGCGGCAGCTGGAAACATTGGCCCCAAACCCTCGGGGCCCTAGGCAGAACTCACTGTCCTTGAACCCATCTGGTCTTGGGAACCGTGGTCAGCAGGCCTCTGAGACCTCACCTGCTGGTCAGGTGAGCCAACTTTGTCCCAGCTATCCCTGCAGCAAGCCCCTTAGCACAGGGGTAACCTGAGCTGCAGGATTCACACACTACTAGGCTGCAGGGCTTGGTGATGGCGGTGGGCAGGGCAGGGTGGGGAAGCAAAGGGTGGCCTTTTTCCCAGGCTGGGTTCCTTGAAGGGCTCAAGAGATCAAGCTATTTGTCTGGCCTGGAGGCTGGCAGCGCAGAGTGCTAATGCAGTTCTTCTAGAAGCTCAAGAACAACAGTCCAGCCTGGCTTTTGGTTTATGTCCTCGGAGTTGGAGTATTTGGCTTAGCCTAGAATGGGAACACATGAATCCTTGGCCACCCTTGCCTATTTGCCCAGATCCTCACTCACATCGGCAACCTCAGTAAGACCCTCTGTTTGTTCCCAGGATGAAAAGCCCCCTCGACCTCATGCCTCTCATCCCTGTTCCTGCCCCCACATCATCCGATTGTTATCTCAAGAGGAAGGGGTCTTTGCTCAAGATCTGGAGCCTGCCCCCGTTGAAGATGGTATTGTCTACCCAGAGCCGAGCGATAGCCCCACCCTGGACACCAGGCAAGAGTCCCGCCCCCACCAGTCCTCTGGAGCCATGCGGTCTCCCGTCATCCCTTCCCTCTGAGGGCTTTCTAGTTAGGGGCGGTTTGGCCCCAGGGTCCTCATGGCTTGCCTGCTGCTTCACCACTGCCTTGTCCTTAGTCCTGCTCACAGGTCGGGGGGGAAGAAGGCGGGACTCCAGTGGGGCTGTTGCTCGCCTCTGCTCACTGTCACCTGTTTCCCCTGTTGACCTTCCCGGCAGTGAGTTCCAGGTACAGGCTCCAGCCCGAGGGGCCCTGGGACGAGTGTACTCAGGCGGCAGGGCCTCAGAGAAGCACAGCCCTGACAGTGCCTGCTCTGTGGATTACAGCAGCAGCCGCCTTTCTAGCCCTGAGCACCCCAATGAAGGTGAGGCTGCAGCACTGAGGGAGGGCCAGGCCCACGCAGGTCAGTGGACAGAGGTGGGAGTGGAGGCTGTGGCAACAGATGGGTGCAGCGTGATGCTTCTCCCCTCCCCCACATCCAGACTCTGAGAGCACGGAGCCCCTGAGTGTGGATGGCATTTCCTCAGACCTCGAAGAGCCAGCCGAGGGTGATGAGGAAGAGGAGGAAGAGGAGGGAGGCACCTGTCCCTTTGGCCTTCAGGAAGGCAGCCCCCGGACTCCGGATCAAGAGCAGTTTCTGAAACAGCACTTTGAGACACTGGCCAATGGGACTGCTCCAGGTGTGGTCAGCGGCCAGGGTTGGGTCACTGCCGTCTGCTCTTCCTCCTTACCTGCCTGAGAGGAAGAGTCCAAGAGCAGGCCAGGGCCTGGGGTTGCCTTCTAGGGGAGGTGGGACTGGGGATAGGGCTGGCCTCAATCTGTGCTTTCTGTCACCCTGGCAGGGGGCCCAGTCCGGGTCTTGGAAAGGGCAGAGTCTCGGAGCATCTCATCACGATTTCTGTTGCAAGCGCAGACCCCCCCGCTCAGGTAGCTCTCCCACAGCTTCCTCGCCATCCTGCCAGGAAGGCGCTCCCACTCTCCTGACTGCGCCCCTGGGGCAGCATGCCGCTCTCCCTCCAAGGCGTCTGTCCCGGGAGGGGCAGTGGCATTTTGAAGTGCCATTAGTATTTTGCACTTCAAGTTTGGGGACAGCTGGCCTGCCCCAGTCCTCTCTGGCTTTGTGCCTGCTCCCTTCCCCTGATACCTCTCTGGTGCCATGAAAGCCTCTCATGGTGGCAGGGAGGAGCCCTGAGCCTTCTCTGCACCTTCTTCCGCATTTCCTCCCTGCAGGGAACCGCCCCCGTCCTCCTCAAGCCCAGCACTGACAGCAAGACCAGTCCAGGTACCCCAGGCTTCCAGAGCGCAGCTGAGAGGCAGTGATGTCAATCCTCCGGGAGCACCCCCAGAGGTGGAGCCCTCCCCTGGAAACCCCGCACTCCAGCAGGCAGCCCCTGTGCTGTTGCCACGACGCCGACTCAGCCCGGACAGCAGCTGGGCCCCCAAGAGAGTGGCCACAACTGGCGCCATAGGTGGACTTCAGAAGGCCCAGTCTGTGCACAGTCTGGTACCACAGGGTGAGAAGCCTGCTGGGCTCAGCTTCAGGGTGTGGGGAGCGGGACACATGAGCATGCTAGAGGAAGAGGGAGCTGATGAAGCCCTGATGTGTCACTCTGTTTGCCACGTGTGTCCCTTAGTGGGTATGTGCGGGGCACAGCAGCTTGTAGGGATCCAGCTTAGCACTTGGGACACCTTCCTCACCAATGACCTGCATTTGTCTTGTCTCCTTGCAGATGAAGCCCCTCTGCCAGGCCCATTGTCCTCACAGGAGAGGGGAGCCCAGGAGGGCCTGCACTCCCTGCCCCAGACTGATGGCCAGCCGTCCAGGCCCTCCTCCTCCCAGAACCCCGCCACCAGCTCCACAGCCAAGATGTCCCGCAGCGTCTCTGTCGGGGAGAACATGGGCCTGGTGACAGAACCTCACTCTCCTGCCCCCATCCGCGTCTCACCACTCAGCAAGCTGGGCCTGCCCAGCCGGGCGCACCTGGTCCTGGACATCCCAAAGCCGCTGCCTGATCGTCCTACTCTGGCCACATTCTCTCCTGTAACCAAGGGCCGGCCCCCTGGTGAGGTAGAGCAGCCTGGCTCCCTAGCAGGCCTAGGAAAGGCTCACAGTACATCTGAGAGGCGTGCCTGTTTAGGGGAGGGTACCCCTTCCAAGCCTAGGACAGAGTATCAGGCTCAGCCTGGACCCAACAGCCCCTGCGCTCAGCAATTGCCAGTCGGTAGCCTCCTCCGAGACCCGGAGAACTTGCAGCCCCCAACCCTTGCGAAGACTCCCAGTCCTATGGAATGCACCAGGCCAGGGGCAGCCCCGAGCCAGGACTCAGGTGTGCACTGCTTCCAGCTCTCACTTCCTGCCCCGCCCTCACTCTCCCGCCTCTGTTGGCCGCTCTCTGGCTCCATCCCATTTCTGTGCGTCCAGCCTCTGGCATTTTTCTTCCTGTCTGTGCCTGTCTTGGTCCCTAAGTCACACCCCTGATCGTGAGACACTCTCCTGCCAACCTTTGTGATCTCCCTGTGAGCCACTTGCTCCTTCTGTGCCTTCTGGCCACAGGGGCTGGGGCTGGCCTTTTCCTGTGGACTTTGTTTTCTGTGTGGTGTCAGGAGAGGAGGGATGCAAAAAGGAACTGCGTGCATGTGGAGGGGGCGTGATGCCGGGGTAGGCCTCCTGCTCTGAGCAGCCCCTGGGAGGGGAGGCCTGAGAGAGGGCAGCTTTGCTGGGCCTTACTGAACTGTGTCCCTTCTAGAACCAGCGGTGAGCCTGGAGCAGTGCCAACACCTTGTGGCAGAGCTGCAGGGCAACATGCGCCAGGCAATGCGGCTCTACCACTTGGTAAGCATTGGGTACCTCTGGCGGGAAGACAGCATGTCAGGAGCACTAGTCATAAAAGTAGCTGAGTGTCCAGAACAATTATGATAAGGCTTTTCCGCAGATGGGTGGGTGGAGCCATCAGGCATATCCCGGTCATGCTTGTTGATCTTGGAGTGTCAGAATTGCGGCGTGCGTGCTCCCAGCCACACCCACTGCGCATGTAGCTCCTTTGGTGGGCAGACTAGGGATGCAGATGGGCTCCTCCCTTTTATATATGCATTACCAGGCCCTACTGCTGTTTCTTCTGGGGTTCTCTTGCAGGTGGCCAGCTGTAAGACGCCCTCAGCAGAGCAAAGTCGCATCACTCAGCTCCTCAGGAACACCTTCTCTTCAGTGCGGCAGGAGCTAGAGACCCTGACTGGGCCAGTGTTGTCCAGCCCGGGTGGAAGCCCTGGGTCTGTGGGGGCCGAGCAAACACAGGCCCTGCTAGAGCAATACTCTGAGCTGCTGCTTCGAGCTGTAGAGCGGCGTATGGAACGCAGACTCTGAGTTCCAGAAGCCTGTCCCAAGTGAAAAGTCCCCTTATTCCAGACTCTACCCATTTCTCCACTCACCAAAACCCGTGGGGATGCTCGGAGTGGATAGCAGGGATCAGTGCTCAGGGGAAACAGCTTTCCCCCACTGGACCCCTGTATTTATTAATTTATTTCCCTGACTGTTGCCTCACGTTCTTGGACTCCTGCCTCCACAGCCCCTCCAGTGGCTCGTGCATGGGTGGTTCTGGAGTCAGTCATCTTGGTGCTGTGAGGAGGAGGAGGCAGCCTGCTCCACCTGGGGGGGATCGGGAAGGGCTGGCCCTCTCTTCTTAGAAGCCATTTGAATTTACTGCAGGGATCAGCTCCCTGGGGTGGAGCACACACAGGGTATTCAGTGGGGTGTAGGTGAGAGGCCAGGGTGCATTCAGTGCCCTTCAGCCAGCAGCTGAGCTTCACCTCTACCTCCACTTCTCCTCCCACACCAGCTGCACTGCCCTGGCTGCCAGAGCAGGGGTTATCCGTTCTCCCCCATTCCTGGCAGTCCAGAAAGGCAGAGCCCTCTGGCCCTCCAGGGCGTTCCCAGCTATAAAGAGGCTTGAATTGTTATCAAGTCCTGAGCCCCCACATTCCACTCCCATCCCCCCCTCCAAGAGGGCCCTTGCATTGCCTCCTCCCTCTGCTCCCTTTTTCTCTTGGCCAAGACTCTTGGAGCCAGCTGCGGGACGTTGCTGCAGGACAGTAGAGCCCTCTGGTGGGCAACCATGGAGCCCTGGCCATGTTTTCTCAGCCTTCCCTAACCTCCAAACCTGGTCCCCAGCAGATTGTTGGAGCCCGGAGGCCACCTTCTCCCTGGATCCTTGAGTGATGCTCAGTCAGAAGCCTGTGCTGGAACTTCCCTCATGGTTTACAGGGCACCGTCCCACCTTCTAAGAACCTTGGCCACAGATGAAACACACATGCACACACGCACACGTGCGCGGCTGGCTGGTGTGTGCCTGGTTTCCTCTCACATCCTGCTTTGCCATCCTGGTTCACGGGGAACTCCGCTCAAGGAGCACAAAAAGAAATGGAACACACACTGCATTCCTGGCGTCTAGCCTGGCTGGTAGGAGATGGTCCCTGGAGTCCGTGATTCGGCTAGAAGGGGCCTCCTCAAAGGCAGAGCGGGGCACCCAGGCGTGCTCAGACATTTGAGGGGAGGAAGGAACGTGGGACTTCGCAGGGGCCGCGAGACACGTAAGAAAGGTGGTAGGTGGGACAGGTAAGTGGTGGAGGGAAGGCGTAGGTTAGAATCAGAAGGGCAGTTCTTAGGGTGAGAGGCAGGAGGTAGGCAGGGTGGTAGCGCGGGAGCAAGTAGTGAAGCAGTTGAGCGGGGGTGAGGAACGTGTCTCCGGGCTATAGGGCTGGCGGGGTAAGCCGGGGCAGCTGTGCCGCACCTGGTCACAACAGCCCTTGCCCCCTTGGGCCGGCCCAGGCCCTGCGGGCTCTCGGCAGACTTAAGAAGCTGGAATCTTAAGGGTACCCAGCTGCCTGCATGCAGCCGGCACCACGCCGGCAGGTGGAGCGGTTTCGGCCCCACTCTGCGCCCAGCACCTGCAGGGCCGAGCGGAGAGGCGGGGTCTGGAGAACTGTCGCGGCGGGGGCGGGGGAGACCCCTGGCAGGGCCGCAGCGGCCCTCGTGCGGGTGGCAATCCGCCCCCGCTCCCCCTCCCGCTCCCGCGCAGCCCGCTCAGGTCGACCCTCTGGGCTGGACTCGGCTCCTCCGCCGGCCGGGGAGACGCGCAGCAGTTGGCGCTCGCGAGGAGGTGGCCGCGCCCCCCGCAGCCAGCCCCGGGGCGGGGGTCTCGCGGCCCCGCCGCGCCCCCTCCCCGTCTGCATGTCCGAGGCCTCCGGCAGCTGCTGCCCCCGCCCCGCCCCCGCCCAGAGCGGCCCTGATCCTGTTTTGAAAGCCCCTTATTTATAACTTTTATACTGTGCCCCGGCCCTGGCGCTTCCCTCCTGCCCGGGTCTCACGGGGCAGAGGCTGTTTTTAACATGTCCGTTTGTACTGATGTATGAACTCGTCAATAAACAATCATTTGTTAGCCTCGGGATGTCGGCGAGTGGGGCGGGCGAAGGAAGCGCCGCTCCTCGGGCGCCGCGTGGGGCTGCCGCGTCCGCGTGCGCTGGGGGCGGCGGGGGCGGGGGGGCCTTGGCGGCGGGGCGGGGGCGGGGCCGGGCGGGCCTCCCGAGGTAAAGGCGGGCCGCGCCGCGCGGGGGGCGGGGCTTGGGCGCGGCGGCGTCATGGCGGAGGCGGCCCTGGACGCCGTGCGGCGGGAGTTACGCGGCTTCCCGGCCGCGGCGCGGGGTGAGTGGGTTCGCGCCCCGGCTGCGGCGGCCTGGAGGCGGCCGGCGAGCGACTTCAGACGCGAGCGGCCCTTTGGGCGCGCGGGGGAGCAGGCCCCGGGGTCGGGCCCAGCCCGCGGGGCGCCCCAGTTCCGGTCCTCGGGCGCAGCCCCCCGCCCGCGCGGCCTCGGGGCCTCTGGGGGGGCCGCCGCGGCGTACCCCGACGCGCGCGCCGCGGGGCCCCGGGCCGTCCTGGCCGCCCCCGCGGCGCTCCCGGCGCGGGCTCGATGGGCGGGGGCCGCTCGGAGCACACCCCGGCGGGGCTGCGCGTGTCCCCCGCCGGGCCGAGGCGCGAGCCTGCGGCCGAGCTGCAGGTGCGACGGGGGCTGGTTCCCGCCCGCTGCGCGCGCCCGTCGGCGCCCCAGCCCCCGCGCGCGCCGCGGACACGCTCCCGCCGCGGTCTCCGCACCCGTGGACCCGTGCCGCCAGCGCGTGAGCCCGCCCTTGATAGGCACTTCTGTTATTTCCAGCCTGTTTTCTTTTTTTAAGATTTTTTTTTTTTTATTCATACAAGAACTGGGGCACAGGCCAGAGGTGCAGGAGGGTGAGAGGATTCACCAGAGACAGAGTGGGGAACAGAACAGGCAGAAGGAAACACCCTGCTGAGGGCAGCAGCGGGCCAGACAGGAGAGGTCTGCCGCGCCATGTGGGTAGCTCCCTGGTCGGCTGGGACTCAAACCGCGCTGCGGAGGCTGAGGACAGCTTCAAAGCGCTGCGTTCAACCTACTGCACCGCCGGGGAGGCCCTCCAACCTATTATTTTCAATAATGCCGCAGTAACTACTTTGAGTCTTCATTTAGCAAATACCAGTTGAGCACCTCAGTGTGCCAGCCTCTCTGGGTTTGATGAGCCTACATCGCTAAACAAAGCACATCTCTGCTCTCATTGAAGAGCTGACCTAAGGAGACAACCAAGGGCACACTAAATGAATAACCTGTATAGGAGAACGAATTTTTTATTTTCCCCTTAGATTGTTGTTAATTTTTGCACAGCATTTGATTTCTCCCTTCAGGTGTAGTCCACGGTAATTCTTCCACCACCACCGCAGCCATAATCCATCTCTACAGCCCCTTGTGCTCGTCCCTCTTTTCTGACCCTTCTCCCTCCGCTCCCCTCCTGTATTCCTCAGATCTGAGGTTAACTTGCAAGTTTTGTTGTCCTGATCCTTTGTTTGGTTTCTCTATATTCTGCATGTAAGTGAAACCATGCGATATTTCTTTTTCTTTCTAATTTATTTGAGCTGTTCTAATCCCCTCCAGCTCCATACATGTACAGCAAATGGCATGAGTTTGTCTTATTTGATGGCTGAGTAATATTCCATTGTTTATATATATATATATTTATTTGGGTATATATATATATATATATCTTTATGTATCACATTTTTTTAATCCATCTGCTTAGGAGCATTAGGTTGTTTCCATGTTTTGGCTATAAATAGTGCTACAATAAACATGGGAGCGCACTTCCTTTTGGATTAGTACTTTTGTGTCCTTTGGGTAGAGTCCTAGGAGTGGAATTGCTGGGTCATATGATAGATCTCATTGTAGTTTTGATTTGCATTTCTCTGATAATAAATAATGTTGAACATTTTTTCATGTGCCTGTTGGCCATTTGTATTAATGGCCAACTTCTTTGAAAGTGTCTGTTTAGCTCTTGTATCCATGTTTGTTTGTTTTTTTTTAAAGATTTATTTATTTATTTATTTATACAAGCACTGGGTACAGTCAGAAGTCGGGAGGGTGGGAGAATTCACCAGAGCCAGAGTGGAGAGCAGAACAGGCAGACAGCCAAAGTACACTGCTGAGGGGAGTAGCGGGCGGCAGGAGAGGTCTGTGCGCCATGTGGGACCCTCGCCCGGTGGCCGGGGATTGAACCTGCGCTGCAGAGGCTGCAGGCAGCTTTGCAACCCAGCGCGCAACCGCCGCGCCACCAGGGAAGCCCTGTATCCATGTTTTGATTGGATTGCTTGCCTTATTATTTTTTTTTTTTGCTTGAGTTTTGTGTGCTCTTTATAGATATTTGATATCAGTCCCTTATCCAGTAAGTAGTGTGGAAATATTTTCTCCCATGTAGTTGGTTGTCTCTTTGTGTTGGTTACTGTCTCTTTTGCTGTACAGATGCTTTTTAGTTTGATGTAGTTCCAGCTGTTTATATTCTGTGTTTTCCTTGCTTCTGGAGATGAGTCCTTAATGACAATCCTGAAGTTTATGTCATGGAGTGTTTGCCTGTGTTTTCTTATATATATTTTATGGTTTCCAGTCTTACATCAAAATCTTTTATCCATTTTGACTTGTTTTTTGTGTATGGTATGAAATAATCGTCCAGTTTTCATTCTTTGGCACGTGGCAGTCCACTTTTCCCAGTACCATTTACCGAGACTTTCCTTGTTCCAGTGTATACTCCTTACTCCTTTGTCATAGATTAGTTAACTATATCTGTGTGGTTTTATTCTTGGGTTTTCTATTTGGTTCTATTGGTCTGTGTCTGTTTTTGGTCCAGTACCATTGCTGTTTTTATTATTATGGCTTAGTAGTCCAGTTTGAAGTCTGGGAGTGAAATATTTCTGTCCTTTCATTTTTACTTAGGAAGACTTTAGTTATTTGGGGTTTTGTTGTTTGTTTGTTTTAATTTCATCTGAATTTCAGCAGTGTCCATTCCATTTTTTCTCAAATGTCATTGAGATTTTTGTTAGAATTGCTTTGAATCTTTAAATTGCTTGGGTAGAATGGCCCTTTTGATAATGTTGACTCTTCTCATCCATGAGCAAGGAATGTCTTTCCATTTCTTGTGTCTTTTTCTGTTTCTTTTATGAATATTTAATAATTTTCCTTGTATAATTCTTTCACCTCCTGTTAAGTTTATTCCCAGGTATTTACTTTTTGTTGGGGTACAATTCTTAATTTTTTGCTTTTCAGGTTGATTGTGTATAGGAAGACTACTAATTTTTGTGTATTGATTTTTGTAGATTGCTACTTTACTGAACTGGTTTATTCTTTTAATTAGTTTTTTGATGACCTTTTTTAGGATTTTTTTTATATATATATATAATATCATTACAACAAATGATTGCTTTACCTCTTTTTTCCCCAGTTTGGATTCCTTTTATGTCTTTCTCTTGCCTAATTATTCTAGCTAGGATTTCCAATATTATTTTGGAAAAAAATTAATAAATAAAATAAAAAAAGATTTTTAGATAAAAGGCACAATTGCTCCCGTATAGTGTAGGGAAGACTTGATGACATGAAGCTTATGGAGCACTTAACTCACATATTCTTTTTAGTTAGTATAGGGCCTGAAACATAGGTTAACACATACTTATTAAATGAATTTACTGTCAGAATGTAAAGCAGAAATGCGGCTCACATTATGTAAGATATAACATTAATTGCACCATTACTACTTGCCCAAATAGTACTTAATTACATCTTTTGAAATTTTTGTTCAAGCTGTGCCAGGTTGTCTAAAAATAAAGGTAGAAAATATAAAACTGTAAGAAAAAAAATGAAAAGCAATGGTGAGCGTGGGCATCCTTATCCCAGATCTCAATGGAAAATCTTCATTTTTTTCCATCATGAGAATAATGTTAGCTGTGGGTTTGTCACATATGGCTTTTATTATGCTAAGATACGTTCTTTTTATCCTAGGCTTTTCAAAGGCCAACATCAGTGGGTGCTGAATTTTATCAAATGCTTTCTCAGCATGTACTGATATGATCATATGGTTTTTATTTTTCTTTTTGGTGATGTGGAGAGTTGTTTATTGGGGAACTGTGTTTGTTATTTTCAGATATTGAACAGTCTGTGTGTCCCTGGAATAAATACCATTTGGTTATGTCGTGTAATCCTTTTGATGCATTTTTGGATTCAGTTTGCGAATATTTTAATGAGGATTTTTGCATCTGTGCATTCATTAGGGAGATTCGTCTGTAGTTTTCTTTTTTGTGTGTGTTGTCTTTGTTTGGTTTTGGTGTTAGTGTGATGTCAGCCTCATAAAATGTTTTTGGTAGCATTCTTTCTCAATTTTTTGAAAGAGTTTTAGGAGGATATGCATTAGTTCATCTTTGAATGTTCGGTAGTACTCACTTATGAAACCCTTGGGCTTTTGATTTTTGGACAGGGTTTTCATTACTCTTTCCATTTTCTTCCTTATTATTGGGTTGTTCATGTTTTCTATTTCTTTGTTCAGCCTTGGGTGATTGCGTAAGTCTGAGAATTTGTCCATCTCATCTAGGTTGTTGAACTTGTTTGCATATAGTTATAGTAATCTCTGATTAGCCTCTGGAGTTTTTGCTGTGTCATGATTTCTCCTCTTTCATTTATGATCCTATTTATTTGAGTTTCCCCCTCATTTTCTTTGGGTGCCTGGCTAGAGGTTTTGTCTTTTTTTCAAAGGATCAGCTTTTGGGTTCATCCATCTTTTGGACTGTTTTTTTTTTCCCCCCATGACACTTATTTCTGCTTTAATTTTTATTATTTCCTTTTTTTGACAGGCTTTTCGGTGTTTTTTTTTCCTTCCTTCTTCTAGGCCCTCAAGATGGAAGATTGGGTTCTTTCTTGTTTCTTGATATGGGTCATTATTGCAATATAACTTCCTTTTACTACTGCTTTTGCTGCGTCCCATATGTTCTGAAAGATTGTGTCCTCATTGTCACTTGTCTCAAGGTATTTTTTCATCTTTGATTTCCTCATTAATCCAGTGGTCTTTCAGCAGCCAGTCTCTCTGTAATGGGGGGGAGGGTTTCCTTGCTTTCTTCATATGGCTGATTTCTAGCTTGATAACCTTTATGATCTGAGACTCATCGGTATCATTTCAATCTTTATGTTCTTGTTGATGTTTATCTTGTGACACAGTATGTGGGTCACACAGTGAGAATGATCTGTGTGCACTCGAGAAAAATAAGTATTCAGTGTTTTGGGGGGTGCACGGTTCTTGAGATATTTGTTAGGCCCACGTAGTCTAGATCTTTTTGGGTTCATCCATCTTTTGGACTCTTTTTTTTCCTGTGTCACTTATTTTTGCTTTAATTTTTATTATTTTCTTTCCTTTTTTTGTTGATCTGTCCACTGGTGAGAGCGGAGTGTCGAAGCCGCCTCCTCCTTATGTATTTTCTCTGATGTCTATTTTCAGAGGTGATAGTAATTGTCGAATGTATTTTGTTGCTCCCTCATTTGGTGAGTACACAATGACAAGTGTTATGTCTTCCTGGTGTATTGGCCCCTTGATCATTTTATGGCGTTCCTCATGTTTGTCGTCACCTCTTTTAGCTGGAAGTCTATTTTATCTGAGTCTATTTTAGCTGGAAGTCTATTTTATAAGTATAGCTACCCCTGTCTTCTTTATGGTGCCATTTGCTTGTAGAATTGTTTTCCAACCTTTTTTTTTTAATTCAATCTATGCTTATCTTTGAAACTCAGGTGTGTTTCCTGGAGACAGCAGAAGGTTGGAGTCTTTAATCCAACATGCTGCTCTGTTTTCTTTCTTTTGGTAGGTTTAGTCCATTAACATTAAGGGTGATTATTGATCAGTGGCTACCACTGTGTTTATTTGGTGGTTCTATTTAATTCATCGGTCAGTTCATCCCTCTATTGGGTTGATCCTAAGGCTTCTTTTAATATTACTTGGAGTGGGCATTTAGTGAATTTCCAAAGGTTTTGTTTGCCTGAGAAGGTCCTTATTTTTCCCTCATGTGGAAAGGAGAGCTTTACAGAATAAAGTATATTTGGCTGGCGTTTTTTTGTTTTGGAGTTTTTTGAATATGTCACTCCATACTCTTCTGGCCTGTAGCGTTTCTTCATGGGAAGTCTGATGTTAGCCTAATTGGTTTCCTTTATAAATTCCCTGTTTCTTCTTCCCTGTCAGCTTCATTATTTTTTCTTTGTCTTGGACTCTTGGAAGCTTCACTACTATGTGTCTTGCTGTAGATTTCTTTTTATTAAAATAGTTCATGTCCTTTTAGTTTCCTGTATGTCTGTTTTCATTTCCTTCTTCAGATTTGGGAACTTCAGTTATTTCCTCGAATATGTTTTTAGATTCCTTTTTCCTTTCTTCTCCTTCCGGGATTCTTTCCTTTCCTCATGGTGTCGGATCATTCTTGAAGTGTTTCTTCAGTCTTTTTCCTTTGCATATCTTTTTTTTTTTTTTTAAATCTTGGTTCTTTTCATGTCTGCACCTTCCAGATTACTGACTTGTTCTTCCCCATTGTCTAGTCTATTTCCATGGCTTTTTCCAGAATATTTTACCTTCTCTGTTGATCTTTTTACCTCCTTTAGTTCCTTTATTTTGTTAAATCTCAATTTTCTGTTCATCGATTAAATTTCTCATAGAATTCTTTTCCTTTTCTGCTGCTTTTTGTATCTCTGATCTATTTTTCTGAGTTTTGTTTGTGTTGTTCAAACTCCTTGATTGTCTTACTTAAGGCAATTCTAAATTCTTCATCTGACAAGAAGAAAAATTATTCTATGAGAGTGTTGTGGCTTCTGGAGGTTGATTATCTTTCTGCGGTGTATTGCTCCCCAGAGGGCTTCCTTGACCATAGTCCTTTTCCTTCTTCCATTGTTTGCCCTCAGGGCTGCTCTGCTGTAGATATCTGGGGCTTCTGTGACCGTGAGTCTACCTTTCCCACTATTCTGGGTGCTTGCCTGGTGGTGGGTACAGTAGGTGGGACCTTCCCTGGCACCAGTCCGGGTGAGCAGTCGGCCGGCTGTTAGAGGTGTGGGGGTGCCTAGGGCCGGTGGGCAAGACCCATAAACAATTTTGGTAAGTGAAATAGGTAGCGTGTTGGGTGGTGATACATGATAGGGAGAAAAAGGGAAGGAGCTCATGAGTATTTGGAGGCTAAAGTTAAAGTTTATAGTTAAAGTTTATAACTTTCAAAAGGATGGCCAGGGAAGGAAGCGTCATTAAAGTGGTATTTGAGGATGTAAAGGAGACAGTTTGAATGCGGGTACCGGCAGAGGAAAGGAGGAGAGGGTAGTTTGAGCCACATTGTGGACAGAATCAACAGGACATAGACCATGAACAGGGTAACAGGAGTAAGAGAGAAGGAAGGGTGGAAAAAGAGATTTTTATGAAGCGTAAGACAGGACAGTGTTGTCATCCACACAGGTGAGGTGCTGTGCAGCTACCCCAGTGCCCGTGGCACCCCTGGGTGTCTAAGGATGGTGGTGCTTTGTAGTAAGACAAAAAACACAGTGTAGCCCATGCCTTTCCTTCTTCGGTGGTTTTATGTTGGCTGTCTCCTGAGCTGGGTAAGCTGCTTGAGACAAAGGTTGGATCATTTCCTGATGCCACCATGTTGACCAAGGAAATAATATGGTTGGAGAGTTCATTCCAGAGCCATGACTACCCCCCACCACACACACGCACACACACATGCATGCGCACACGCGCGCACTCACACCACCATTGGCTTGTGGCCTTGGGCCTCAGTGGCTGCCTCTTCTGATGGATGCCAGGAGGTCGGCAACTCCAGAGTGAGAAAGCCCAGGGGGCCATGGCGTCAGCTCTGACATGGCCCCATGGAGGGTTTGGGTTATGGGCTGAGCAGCAGCTCCTGGCCCTGTGCACTCTTATGGCTCAGCCTGGTGTGTGTGTGCCTCATACACTCTCTCTTAAATTTCCCTTATTTTCCTATTCCTGGTTGTCCAGAGTCCCGTGGTCTCCAGGGGGCATTGCTCAGTGACTGTGACTTGCTTAGGGAGGGTGTTTCTTATGTAGGCAGTGGGGCAGGGTTGGGGTGCTGTTGGCTTCAGCCCCCTGCCCCTCTCTTCTCTCAGAGCTCAGCGTGCCCCTTGCTGTGCCCTACCTGGATGAGCCCCCAACTCCACTTCACTTCTACCGGGACTGGGTCTGCCCCAACAGGCCCTGCATCATCCGCAACGCCCTGCAGCACTGGCCGGCCCTCGAGAAGTGGTCTCTCCCTTACCTCAGGTGGGGCCGCCCCGGGTGGGATACGGGCGGTGCTTCGTGACTCTGAGTGTGGGCTGAATGTCCATTTCTCCAGGGCCACAGTGGGCTCCACAGAGGTGAGTGTGGCTGTGACCCCAGATGGTTACGCAGATGCAGTGCGAGGCGACCGCTTCGTGATGCCTGCTGAGCGCCGCCTGCCCCTGAGCTGCGTGCTGGACGTCCTCGAGGGCCAGACCCGGCACCCAGGAGTCCTGTACGTGCAGAAGCAGTGCTCTAACCTGCCCACCGAGCTGCCCCAGCTGCTGCCTGACCTGGAGCCCCATGTGCCCTGGGCCTCTGAGGCACTGGGTGAGTGGAGGTGGTGTCGGGGGCTGGGCAGCCCTGCTGTGTCTCTCCCGTCAGTGTGGACGCGGTCCACGGCCTCGGTCCACGGCCTCGGTCCCACAGGTCAGGTGCTGCGCGCTGAGTGCTCACGTCCCCAGCCTTGAGCCCTTGCAGGTCAACAATGAAATGTTGCTGTCCTTCCCCCGCCCCTCAGCTCCTGCCCAGCCTCACCCGCCTCTGCCTCTCCCTGCGCTCTTCCTGGGGGCGCTGTGCTCTTGCCTAGGTTCTGACCCTGCATGGCTGCTAGGTGGTTTTCCTAGCCTGGCATTTGGTGACAACCCCCTCCTGATTTCCTGCTTCCCTCTGGCATGCAGGAAAGATGCCTGATGCTGTCAACTTCTGGCTGGGGGAGGCGGCTGCCGTGACATCTCGTAAGTGTCAGGGGAATGTGAGGTGGGGGAGGAGAGACAAGCCCAGAGTGGAAGGCAGGGCCTGGAAGTTGGACTGAGTGTTCACTGAGATTTCTTCTAGGGTTCTAGGGCTCACCCACAACAGAGGGCCTCCTGGACAGTTCCAGTGGGGGAGAGCCTCATGACATTGGGGGAGTGGGGGAGGCACTCTTTCTTCTAGGTCTTTCGAAAGCTCTCCAAAGACCAGCTAGGCCAGGGGATGAATTCAGGAGAACCCTATTTGCATGACTTCCGTTTAGTAGAGATGAGCTCATGGCCTGGTGGGTGTCGAGTCTGACAGGCAGAGACCTGAAATGGTGCCAGACTCCTTGCCATCTCCTTGAGCCTGCTCTGACTCGCGTGCCCTTCTGTTAGTCACAAGTGTCTTGAGGTATAAGGCCACCCTCCGCCCTGCCCCTCTTGACCCTGCCTGGTGGGCCTTTGTGTTGGCAGTGCATAAAGACCACTACGAGAACCTCTACTGTGTGGTGTCGGGAGAGAAACACTTCCTGTTACATCCCCCCAGTGACCGGCCCTTCATCCCCTATGGTAGGGGTTGTGCCCTGAAGTGGCTGGGGAGCTGGTGGTCTGAGGTAGAGGGAGGGTGCAAGAGCCCCTGGCAGCCTGCTACCCTAGGCCTGAGATGTGGACTCAGTGTCTCCACTGAACTGTGACCTCTGGCTCTCCTGCACCTGCACCCAGGCACAGGTGGGAGTGGGTGGCAAGCTCCAGGCCATTTGAGGGTCCCCACACTTTCTCCCTCTGTCTTCAGAGCTGTATACACCGGCAACCTACCAGCTAACTGACGAGGGCTTCTTTAAGGTGGTGGATGAAGAGGCCATGGAGAAGGTGTCTGCTTTGTTCCTGGGTCCTGGGAGGAGGACGGGTTGGAGCCTGGGCTCCGAGGCATGAGCACAAAAGAGCTGGGGAGGCGGCGCCTTGCTCAGAAAGCCTCCAGTACTGAACCGGGCGGGGCCTGTGCTGCTTACCTTTGGAAGGAACAGGGCTGGAGGGCCTGGTGCTTCAGGCCTGCTCCCTGGCATCTGCTGTGTCCTCAGGTGCCCTGGATTCCACTGGACCCTCTGGCTCCCGATCTGGCCCGGTACCCCTGTTACAGTCAGGCCCAGGCCCTTCGCTGCACGGTGCGGGCTGGTGAGATACTTTACCTGCCAGCCCTGTGGTTCCACCACGTCCAGCAGTCCCATGGCTGCATTGCTGGTGAGGAGCTGCCCAGGTCACCCAGTGTGCCATCTGGGGGTGGGTCGGGGAGGCCGAAGGTTAGAGTAGGAACACTCACGCTCTGGTCTCTGTTCTCTTGGCAGTGAATTTCTGGTACGACATGGAGTATGACCTCAAGTACAGTTATTTCCAGCTGCTTGACTCCCTCACCAGGGCCTCGGGCCTTGAGATGGAACCCTGGTGAACCTTGCCCGGTGCACGTTGCGGAAAGGTCATGTCCCTCCCCGGCCAGGCTCCTCGGGGCAGCCTGAATCAGAGTGGCTGCTGGCCCAGCTCGACTTGGGACCAGTTTGGAGGACCTTAACCCACGAGGTGCCAGGCAGGTCTGGACTCAGACGCTCAGGAAGTTGCCGCACAGCTGAGGCAGCACCTGGGAGAGCAGTTAGGGCTTCAGGTGCAGTGCCTCTCACCACCGCATGACCTGGGGTGAGTTACTGCCCGGAGCATGGGTGCTGGTGCTGGGGTAAAAGGCGATAACGACGGTTGCTGGGCTTGGAGAGGCGTCTGTGTCTGCTGGCGTCTGTAGGGGCTCGCGCAGACGAAGTGTTCAATAAAACACGGCTGTGATTCATGTGTTCTGAGACTCCCCTGGTGGCTGCCTTCCGTCGTCTGGTGAGGCCTGGAAGGCTCAGGTACAGATTTCAGGGTGACCCTGATGTGGGGTGAGGTCTGAGTCCAGGCCTGTGCCTGAGAAGCCTTGCTGCCAGCTCCTGTCCCTGGCAGCCTTCCAGACCCTCCTGGGAGCAGGCAGGTGGACCTCGTCACTCTGGCACAGGCCTCACTGACTCGGCCTCTGAAGCTTCGGGCCGTGTTTATTCTCCTTTGTGTCCAAGGCCGCTGGGGGCTCTGGTGTTGTAAGAGGCAGAAACCCCTGTCCCCCCTGAAGCGGTTCCCCTGAGAAGGGAGTGGGTTTCCTCGCTCAGACTCCTTCCCTCCCCCCACAATCCATGTCTAGAGGTGGAGGAGCCCCTTTTCCTGGAGCCTGTCAGAGGCCCCATCCTTGACCCAGCACCCAGCTCCAAGGATGGGGTAGCGCAGTAGCTTTGAAGGCTGTGTCTGAAAACAAGCCACACCCCTGCTGGGCTGTGGTGGGGCCCGGGCACTCCCTCAGTTGACCAACGCTTCAGGGAAACTGGGCATTCCTGTCTTTCTGGCACCAGGAGGTTGCTGAAGGATGGGGACATGTCTCTTCGCTTGCTGCTGCTCTCTAGACCTCAGTGGCCCCTCCAGGCCTCACGTCCAGTCTGCTTCCTTCCCGTTCCCAGGACAAGCTCTCAGGGGGCCCTGCCCTCTAGGTCCAAGAAGAAAGAGCAGGACTGGGCGGGCACATCTGGGAAGAATTGTCTTGAGGGGAGCTGCACCCTACCACTGGGTTGTCAGTGGCTCCCTGCAGGCTTAAGGTGTCTCATTTCCTGGCCATCTGGAGTGGGTGTGGGGCTTGGGTAGCGTGGAGGCGGTTGGGAGGGACCAGGGAGGAGCTTGGGGCCAGCTGGGGCATCCTTGGCTCCAGATTAAAAAGCTGACAGCCCTGGGTCCTGTGGCCACTGCCTGGCACGCCTGGCTCCTAAGGACACAGCCTCATGGCTCTGGTAAGACTTTGGGGGGCACTGGGCCCCAACTCTGACCCTTCATCCACGGGGGGCCTGCTCACAACTGGTTCTTAAGGGGCCTGTGGGCTTCTCCAAGTAGAGAATAGAGTTGAGCAGCCTTGAGGCTGGGTGAGGACTGGGCCAGAGGAGAGGTGGGGTTTTGGGGTGAGGGACTCTCTCGGATTCTTTATGCCTGGAGGTGGGCTCTGGGCCGAGTTCCCTGGAACTTGGATTTGGGGCCTGTGAATTTAGCCTCCCAGCTCCCGTCCCCGGGCCGCCAAAGGAAGTGTCTGCTCCGATCCTCCTGACTCAGTTGTTCGGGGTGTGGGGCCCCAGCGCTGACCCGGATGGATGAGCTTCCCCAGCTCTGCCCTTGACCCAGGGACTCCCTGGGCTCTGTGCATGGGGCCCTTCCTGAGGCAGGATTGGAGGCCAAGTGGAGGAATCGGCTTACATGGGCTTCCGCGCCCGGGGAACGGGTGTGGACGGAGCCAGCCGGGAAACGCCTCTAGCCTGGCTCGTCGGACCTGGAGAGCTCGACAACTGCCATCCCAACGCCGAAGGACCCCATCTCCAGAATGTTCTCCTGGCCAGGGCTGGAGGGTGTGGGGAACAGCTCAACTGGGGGGCCCAAGGCCAGGCTCCTTTCCCTCTGTCTGTAGCGGCCTCGCCCCCCATCAGCCTGTGTCCGTCACTGCCCAAGACTAGCCTCGTGGTGGCTGCTTGTCAGGGCGTGAGCCAGGGATGCAGAGTAGGAAGACTGAAGGATGCAGGGCCTGGAAGCAGGTAAGTATAGGAGTTGAGAACACGAGTCAAGCTAGTTTGGCCCAGTCCTGGTCCTGGCCCTCAGGCAAGTGACTGCTTAGCCCTTCTGTGCCTGTTTCCTTGTGAGGCCGGTCATAATAAGTAGTCCTCCCACAGGAGGAGGCTGTGTGATTAAGTGAGTTAATGCATGCGCTCCTGAGCCTGAGCTGGCCCAGGGTCCCTTCTGCGTCAGCAGGTGTCATCACGAAATGCCATAACTGCCTTCCACGTCAGGGCTCTGATGGGGTGGAGGGCAGGCCCGTGGCCAGGCAGAGCTGGTCCTTTTGATGGAGGATCAGGCCTTGAGGAGGCATCTTAGCACCCTTCTGGCCACCTTGGCCTTGGGCCTGTCAGTCTCCTGACAACCTGACCCCCTCTCGCCTCTGCAGGCACAGGTGCCCGGGGCCTGCCTGCTTACCATTCGTGTCCTGCAGGCCCACGGCCTGCCCTCCAAGGACTTAGGTGAGTGTCGCGCCCAGGGAGGGCAACAATTCGATTCTGCTGCTGGATTCAGACTGGGCACAGCAGTGGGAAGAGACAGGGCAGGACTGGGTATGCAGGGGTTCTGGGGAGAGTGCCAAGAGGGGGCTCTGGGTGGACTCTCATGTAGGGGCAGAGCCTTTGCTCCTCCTGCCCCAACCCTCCCAGGCCCTTCCCATGGGTCTCTAGGTCTCCTGGGTTTCCTGGAAAGACGAGGACTGTGGTGGCTGGACTGGGAAGGGCCCTGGGCCATCACTGGGCACTCGCCCTTCCTTCCCACAGTGACACCCTCTGACTGCTATGTGACCCTCTGGCTGCCCACGGCTGCCAGCCACATACTCCAGACCCGCACAGTGAAGAACAACAGAAACCCCGTCTGGAATCAGAGCTTTCACTTCCGAATCCACAGCCAGCTCAAGGTGGGCCGCTGCTCGCCGCCGCCCTTCCCCCGCTACCACTGTCCCTTACAGCCCCTGTTCCCCGTCTCATCCCTCCTCACTCTGTTCCCCTTCCAGAACATCGTGGAACTAAAAGTCTTTGATCAGGACCTTTTGACCAAAGATGATCCGGTGTTGTCAGTGCTGTTTGACGTGGGGACTTTGCGGGCTGGAGAGTTCCGGCGTGAGAGCTTCTCGCTGAGCTCTCAGGCAAGGCTGCAGGCCGCGCGGTGGAGGGCCCAGCCCTGGGACGGGGAGGTGCTTTGGAGGGAAGCCGGTGCACGGCTGCCGTGAGTGGGCATCCCGGAGCCCTGCAGAAGCGGCTCTGTACCGAGGAGCTGTCCTCTCCTGACCCGCCTCTGGCTCCCTGAGCCCAGGGCCGCCTGCTTGGTGTTGTCCCGAGCGAGCGGGGGAATAGAGCATCTGGGAGGGGACGGTGGCTTCCCCCACTTCACTCTCCCCAGGCCTCAGTAGCCCCGGCTGGCACCGGTTAGCACCTGCCAGCGCACATGCCTATGCCCCGCTCCTCGCCTTTCTGACTTGCCTGTCTCTCCAGGGCGGGGGCTGCCTGGACGTGGAATTTCAGCTCCGGAGGCTGTGAGTCGGGGCCCCGGGGTGCTGCCCGGGTGGGAGCGCTTCCTTTTGGGAAGGACAGAGACCAGTGTGCCCACAGCTGACACCCGTCCCCGGGAGACAGCCAGGGCGGAGGAGGATGCCCAGGCTTCCTCGGGGGCGGAGAACCTGGGAACGTGGCGTCCTCCTGAGGAGTCCTGGGCTCTTTCCAGGTCAGACTGTGCCGAGCAGCTCGTCAGCAATGGCATCCTGGTGGTGAGTCTGGAATCCTCCTGCGCTCTCCTTGCCCTCACGGGTGTGGGGTAGAACTGAATTGGGGGGGTCCTGAGATTTCAATCTGTCAAGAGGAGGATACAGCCTTAGGCTGATGTTTGGTGATTCAGGGCCAAGATAAGAAAATGCTGAGGAGCAAGAACTGAGGGGCTAGGAGGGTGGCGGTCTCTAGCGGGTGTGTGCGAGAATCTGAAGGGCTCTCTTAACAACAGGCCCGGGAGCTGTCCTGCTTGCACGTTCAACTGAAGGAGGCAGGGGGCGAGACGTGTGAGTCCCCCACCCACTGGGGTAGCCCAGGACCTTGCATTTAGTCTCCCCCTGCTCTCAGGACAGGGGTGGCCTGGGGGCAGGTGCACAATGGGTTTTCTCTCTGGTCCCAGAGGGATTGTGGCGGGGGCTCGCCTTGGCCACCAGGCCTTCACCTGGGGCTGTGGGTGCCTTTAGGCAATACATGGGTCCGTGTGGACTGATACCCCGTTCCCAACGCTGCTTTGGTTCCATTTTCAGGGTCAAAGGGCAGAGTTCAGCTTGTGGTTCCAGGGTCCTGCGAGGGCCCGCAGGAGGTCTCTGTGGGCTCTGGGTCCTTCCACTTCCACTTCCCGGCCTGCTGGAAGCAGGAGTTGAGCATCCATCTGCAGGTAGAGCGCTGCTCCCGCTTGGGAGATGGGACCGCAGAGTCTCCCTGTCCTTCCCTCGGCACCGTCTGTCCCTCTGCCCACCTTAGACCCCCACCCTAACCCCAACACTCCGCGGCAGAGTCACACACTCTGGGAAGAGTATAGGGTCAGCGTGTGCCTCCTGACCCCCTTCCCACTGCTTCTGTCACTGTCAGGGGCAAATGATGGGATCCTTGCTGGGAACAGAGGGTAGAAATTCTAATCCTTTCATCCCCTCTGCAGGATGCCCCCCAGGAGCAACTGAAGGTGCCCCTGAGTACCCTGCCCTCTGGCCAGCTGGTGAGGCTCGTCTTTCCTACATCTCAGGTACTGGTCACCTGGAGGAAGAAAGCAGGTGCTTGGACAAGGGCCGGGTCCCAAGCCCTATGCCCAGACCCCAGGCTTCGAGGGCAGGGCTGCTTCTATAGCAGCTTCGCTCTGACGGCACCTGGCACAGGTGCCGGGCAAGGCCAGCCTCTGGGACGAGGGTCCTCTGAGCTTCCCTGCTTCACGCCTCAGGCCTGGCCCCCGTGGGGATGGCTGGGGGGCTCCAGGGAACGTGAGGACATCACAGGGTGTGGCTTGGACTGGGCTGGAAGGAACAGGGTGCTCGAACCTTGTGACAAGCATTCATGGTTTTCAGGAGCCCCTGATGAAGGTGGAGCTGAAGAAAGAAGAAGGGTGAGAGCCGGGCTGGGCACGGGGAGGGGCCCTGGGCACAGCAGCCGGGGAGAGGGGCCACGGGGCTGGCGCTGCGGGAGGGGCCGCTTAGGAGGTGCGTGGCGCCGGGCACCCGGATGGAGCACGAAGCGAGGACTCCGAGCAGGCAAAGGCTCTTTCTGTTGACTCTTTACTTGTATTTCTCCTTTAGGGATGGGGGGGGGGCATCTGTGGCTCAGTGCCTGGCACTGGAAATCGAGAGTGCCATTTTTTGAGAGGGCAAGGAAGCCAAGGGGTGGGGGAAGTCGCGCCCCTTGGGGCGGCACCTGCTGTGGGTGGACCTTCGCTCACCTGGGGGAGACGTGCCTGCGGGACTGCCTCTCACCGCGGACGTGGGCGCGTCGTGTTCGGGTGGGTGGGGGAGAGGAGCTGAGTGTGTGGTGGGGTGCATTGCGGGGTCCCGCTCCGGACCCCAGCTGGCCCCGCCCTGCCCCGTCCAGTGGCTCTGCCGTGCTGCAGCCACCAGGTGCCGCGCGGGGGTCGGGGCTTGCCTCTCCCCGTCACACGCCACAGTAGTCAAGCTTCCGACACAGGCGCAGGGAGAGGGTTGAGGACAGGAGAGCAGTGATGGCAGCTGACTTGGTGGGAGGCCCACCCAGCTCTCCTTTCTCCGACAAAGCCAGGAGCTGCCTCATGGTCTCTTCTTCCCTCTCAGACCAAGGGAGCCGGCCGTGCGGCTGGGCTTTGTGCCCTGCGCCGAGGAGCAGGCCTTCCTGAGCAGGCGGAAGCAGGTGGTGGCGCGGGCCCTGAAGCAGGCCCTGCAGCTGGACGGAGACCTGCAGGAGGATGAGGTTTGGGCTGGGCTGGATTGGGTGGGGGTCCTTGGGCTTGTGGAGCCCGGAACCTAGTGCTGCAGCTGGAACAGGTTGTTCCCTGACCACACGAGGACTGTTGCCAGCCCGGGCTTGTGTCTGCCGCTGCTTCCCTCTCGCGTGATCACATCAAATGCAGAGCCTTCCACGAGGCACTGGGGCTTGCAGATGGACGTGCCCCACTGGACCTGTGTTCCTTCTCAGTTTTTTTTTAAATCATCCCTTTGGACTGGATGACGTCCATGTTTCTGGGAAGACTGGGCGTAGGCAGGAGGCACAGGGGTGGAAAGAATTCACCAGAGTGGAGGTTGCTTGGTTCAATTTTTGAGATGGGTCTGGTCTAACTGATAAGTCCTGCTGTCCAGGGCAGTCCCTGGAGGTCCAGACCAGCCTGGCTTGTCTCCTAGTGAAGTAACCTCACGAGACGGGAGGGTGGCTATGTGGGAGATTTTCAAGATGGCTTCCAGAAAAGAGTTACCAGGCTCTTTGGAGGCTAGAGATGAGGCCTAGAATGGAATTCTTAACAATCAGAAGGCTGGCCATCAAGAGGCTACTTCTGATTAGACCCTGTGCAGGCCTGCCTGGAAGTGGGCCCAGGAATCCCGATCAGTTTTGGCCGGCTTTAGCCACGCATCTTACTGCCTCTACTTACTGGGACTTGGCCATCCCCTTCCCCAGGCCTCTCCAAGCATGCTATCATCTCTTCCAGATCCCTGTGGTAGCCATTATGGCTACTGGTGGTGGGATCCGGGCAATGACGTCTCTGTATGGGCAGCTGGCCGGTCTGAGGGAGCTGGGCCTCCTGGATTGCATCTCTTACATCACAGGGGCCTCTGGCTCCACCTGGTGAGCTGGTGGCAGGTGGGTGGCTCACTGGGTCGTGGTGCTGGTGGTAAGGCTCTCTTAGGCCCCATAGGCCTCTCTGACCAAATTGGAAGAAGTGGGAGAATGTACGTGCCGGAGCGATGTGCTCTAGGACACCCTAGGACGTGCCTGCCAGGCTCTGTCCTGGATTAGAAAGTCCCAGGTGTGTGATGACATCACTGAGTGATGACCCCCTGGCTTTGACTTTCCCCAGGGCTTTGGCCAATCTCTATGAGGACCCAGAGTGGTCTCAGAAGGACCTGGCAGGACCCACTGAGTTGCTGAAGACCCAGGTGACCAAGAGCAAGTTGGGTGTGCTGGCCCCCAGCCAGCTGCTGCGGTATCAGCAGGAGCTGGCCGAACGTGCCCGCCTGGGCCATCCGCCCTGCTTCACCAACCTGTGGGCCCTCATCAACGAGGCGCTGCTGCATGATGAGGTGCGGGGCGGCTGCGGCCTGGGGAGCAGCCAAACCAGGGCAAAGTCCAGAGACCAGGAGCAGCCCTGGGCAGCAGGGTGAGAAAGGGCCCGGCACCAGGTTCAAATCACTTTCTCCCTCAGCCCCATGACCACAAACTCTCAGACCAGCGGGAGGCCTTGAGTCGTGGCCAGAACCCTCTGCCTATCTACTGTGCCCTCAACACCAAGGAGCAGAATCTAAGCACCTTTGAGTTTGGGGGTGAGTAGCCTGGAGCTGAGAGCAGCGCTCTCGTGCTTGGTGGGATGAGGGGTGACGGCCTGAGTGTAGGGGCCGGGTGCCCTGGCATGCAGAAGCTCTTGTCCTGCCAGAGCCACTCAGGCTTTGGGATGGGAGTAGCAGCCAGAGGCCCTAGCACCAAGGGCTGAGTCTCATGGCACCAGGCTGCCCTGCAGTGAAGCCCAAGGTGGGTGTGTTGGGACCCAAGGGGCCTGAGTTCTGGGACCCAAGATGAGTGTGTGTGGCCTTCCCACAGAGTGGTGCGAGTTCTCCCCCTACGAGGTCGGTTTCCCCAAGTACGGGGCCTTCATCCCCTCCGAGCTTTTCGGCTCTGAGTTCTTCATGGGGCGCCTGATGAAGCAGCTACCCGAGTCCCGCATCTGCTTCCTGGAAGGTGAGGAAGGCTGGTGAGCTGGGCTGGGGGGAGTATGCCTTCCTAGCTCAGTTCCTGGCGTGTTTCCTGGTCCAGGATGGGCTGTGGAAGGGGTCAGGTTGTGACCGGGCAGGGGACTGTCCTCCCTCGTGTCCCATCGTGCAGGCATCTGGAGCAACCTCTATGCAGCCAACCTCCAGGACAGCTTGTACTGGACCTCGGAGCCTGGCCAGTTCTGGGACCGCTGGGTACACAGTCAGGCCACCCTGGGTAGGTGCCTGGGCTCCCTTGTAAGGAGGAGAGGGGGCGTCTGGCAGGGGGGCATGGCTGGGGTGGCTGTCAGGTTGTTGGGTGTCTACAGAGTCTGGGGTGTAGTATAGTTCCAGGGGTCTCCATTTCCTGAAAGACTCCCCTTCCTTCTGTGCAGACAAGGAGCAGGTCCCTCTTCTGAAGATAGAAGAGGCTCCCACTTTGGCCGGCAGGATAGCCGAGTATTTTACTGACCTTCTGACACGGCGCCCACTTGCCCAGGCCACCCACAATTTCCTGCGTGGCCTCCATTTCCACAGGAACTATTTTGAGCATCCTCATTTCTCTGCCTGGAAAGGTACCTGCTTTTCTCCCCTGCTCCCAGCTCTCTAGGGTCCTCCCAAGGCCCCTGACTCAGGTACCTCCACAGCTCCAGATGCGCTGAGTTTGGGTGGGAGACACTGTTCCTCTGCTCGTCCTGGGGTCCAGGGCATGTCTGCGGGCTGTGGGAAGGGACGTGCTAACGGGAGGGAGCGGGGCCAGAGGGCCTTGTGTCCTCAGCACCCCTTTCTCTCATTCTTCCCAGCCACCAAACTGGATGGGCTCCCCAACCAGCTGACGCCTGTGGAGCCCCACCTTTGCCTGCTGGATGTCGGCTACCTCATCAACACCAGCTGCACGCCCCTCCTGCAGCCTACGCGGGACGTGGACCTCATCCTGTCGCTCGATTACAACCTCCAGGGAGCCTTCCAGGTGGGCTGGGCCAGTGGTCTGGCTGTTGGCGCAGGCGTGGGAGGCGGAGGACGACCCCAGGCCTGGCCTTGCAGAGGGCGCCTGGGAGGTGGCTCAGTCCCCAGAGGCTGAGGCCGTGATGCCCATGCATGGAGGACTGTGGCCTCGTGGATCGCCACCAGGGGGTGGGGGCAGGGAGGCAACTTACTCCACAGGGGGAGCTGATGATTTATAAATTTGGGTCCGCTGTTGGCCATGGACCTCTGGGGCCCCTTCTGTTGGGGTTGGTCCCGTGAAGTTTTCGGATTCCAGTTGCGGGAGCTGCATCAGGACGGTGGTTGGGTTTTGAGCATTTTCCGGCCCGGCCTGGCTCTCTTCAGTCCCGTGCAGACTGATCTGGGCACTGGTGCCACATCCTAGTGGACCTCCACGTTCAGTCGGCCTGGCGTCTAGGACATGGGGGAGTCCCGGGGGCCCATCCCTCTGACGCCATTTCTGCCTGCCCTGCAGCAGCTGCAGCTCCTGGGCCGCTTCTGCCAGGAGCAGGGGATCCCGTTCCCGCCCATCTCGCCCAGCACCGAGGAGCAGAGCCAGCCCCGGGAGTGCCACTTGTTCTTGGACCCCCACCAGCCCGAGGCCCCTGCCGTGCTGCACTTCCCTCTGGTCAATGACTCCTTCCGGGAGCACTCGGCCCCTGGTGGGTCACCGCCTGCCCCCTCCACCTCCCCTCCCGGGGCCTCTGGCCCCCATCCCGCTGCCTCCCTCACGCATCTGCACAGGCGCGCCCAGGTCCACCTTCCATGCCCGACTGTCCTCTGTCTGCAGGGGTTCAGCGGACACCTGAGGAGAAGGCCGCTGGGGAGGTGAACCTGTCTTCACCCGGCTCCCCTTACCACTACTCGAAGGTCACCTACAGTCCGGAGGACGTGGACAAGCTGCTCCACTTGACACGCTACAACATCTGCAACAACCGGGAGCAGCTGCTGGGGGCCCTGCGGGGGGCTGTGCAGCGGCGGCGGCAGCAGCGCAGGCGGCACCAGCCCTAGTGATGGTGGCAGGAGAGGTGCCTGCCCGACTCCCCCCCGATCTTTTTCACTTCCAGGCTGCTGTTTGAGTTGGGGCAAAGACCGTCATCCCCAGGAGTCTCAGAGCTTGCGAAGGCTCCACTAACAGGTGTGCCCAGTATCCCCGATGTGGCACTGAAGATCCCACCAGCTCTGCTGTAGAATCCTCGGGGCCGGTCAGGGTTTAAACGGGCATGGGCTGTCAGGCCTGCCCGCCTCAGGTCCAAAGGGGGGACGGTGGCTGGAGCCCACAGTGGTGACCACAGTTCTGCAAGAGCTCAAAACCCAGCGTCTCTGTTCCCTTCTTGCCCCCTCTTCCCCCCAGCCCCCCTCCCCCGCCCTGCCACGAGTCATTGTATCGCGTGAAATAGAGCACTTTATGGATTAGGGGCTCATGCAAACACAAGCGTTATCTGAGGTGATCTGTCATTGCTGCCCTGAAGGGCCTTGTCCAGGCTGTTGTATACACAGTGAGGTGCCTGGGAGTGTCCACTGCGGCAGCCCTGGCCCTGCCCAGGTGAGCAGACTCTGCTAACCCCCTGTCCTCTGTACCTCAGGATGAGGCCAGAGGGCTGCTTACTGTCACATGCTAGGGTGACCAGCATGGGACCAGATGAGCCAAGGAAAGTAGCAGCAGGGCCAGACCTGTTGGGAGGGCTGGGAGGTGTCACTAGTTTTGGGCCCTGGTGCCCCAGGCCTGCCTTGGAATCCTCTCCCTCCTCCCTACACGCGCGTGGAATGTGGCTGTAGGGAGCTGGCAGGCAGCTGTAGGCGTGACCTGTGTGTGCGGTGGGTGGGAGATGGCCCGCCCTGCCCTGGGCACAGTTCGGGTAGTCACAGAGAAGACCTTTCCAAATATAAGCTGGCCTAGGCCACAACTGCCCTTGCCGTTTGGAGGAAGAAAAAGATAGTGAAGGGTAATCGGTACAGGAAGACAAGCACTTGGAGAGAGGAAGTTAGAGGTATGTGCTACTCCGAAGCCTGCGATGGCTTTGTTACTAAGATGTGTTATGCTTGCAGCCCATGAACTCTAACCCTGGAGTGGGTTACACACAGGTTTTCCAAATGTTTTGGATGTTTGCATATCGCCAGATTATTTCTGTGACTAAGCATGTAATTTTTCTTTATGCATCTTAGTACTGCTGAAAACTCCTAGGACTGTTAACAAATTCCTTTGAAGAAAACCAAAATAGTGGCCAGTCAAATGCTGTGTGCTGATTTTCATTTTGCAATTGCGTTATTCTGTTTGCTCTGCTTAGTTCTGTTTTATTCACTCTTGCTGAGGCACAGATTTCAGTTCTCTTTGGGGTGAAGTATTTTCCAGAACCGGTATAAAAGTAGCCAAAATAAAACTTTCCACACAGAAAAATCTGTCTTTAGTCTTCCTTTTTAAGAATATAAAGATTAAACGCATAATTATCTCAAGGACATTATAATATTGCTCATGGTTTGAATGCTTGACTCGTACCCTTTCTAGGAAGTCTCCCATGATAGTGCTCAGACTACTGTGTGCATGCGCCCTTGTGGCAGTGCACCCTGTGTTTTGGTGGGGGTGTGTGGCGGGGGTGTGGCAGTGCACCCTGTTTTGGTGGGGGGTGTGGTGGGGGTGTGGCAGGGGCATGGTGGGGGTGTGGCAGGGGTGTGGTGGGGGTGTGGCAGTGCACCCTGTGTTTTGGTGGGGGGTGTGGTGGGGGTGTGGCCGGGGCATGGTGGGGGTGTGGCAGGGATGTGGTGGGGGTGTGGCAGTGCACCCTGTGTTTTGGTGGGGGGTGTGGTGGGGGTGTGGCAGGGGCATGGTGGGGGTGTGGTGGGGGTGTGGCAGTGCACCCTGTGTTTTGGTGGGGGGGTGTGGTGGGGGTGTGGCAGGGGCATGGTGGGGGTGTGACAGTGCACCGTTTTGGTGGGGGGGTGTGGTGGGGGCGTTAATGGGGGTGTGGCGGGGGTGTGGCAGGGGTGTGGCAGTGCACCCTGTGTTTTGGTGGGGGGGTGGGGGCGTGTGGTGGGTGTCTGGTAGGGGTGTGGCCCGGGGGCTCCTATTCCCACAGTTTGAATCAGAGCCTAGGTCACAAACCCTCTCCTTCCCACGGTGGGCCCTCTGCCTTTCACATGGGCCTCCCGCGAGGTGAGCGGTGCCCAGGGAGGCCACATTCTGAGGCGAGGTGAAAGGCAGGTCACCACGGCCACGTCACCTTTCTCCTGCCAGCGCTACCCGAAGACCTGCTCACGCGCGCGGGCCCATCATCACCTAATGCCAATGAAGCAGAGACGGGAATCGAATTTTAACGTGGACTTTAATCAGACACCGGCAATCTGGAAGACGGGGGCTGAACCCCCCAAAGAAACCACCTTAACATTTTCATTTCCAGCGGCCTCTTTATGGTGAGTTGAGTGGAGACTGCCGAGCAAAGAGCAGCCCTCCTTGCTGCCAGGAGGTGGTGATGTCTGGCCCCGAGCGCCTGCTCGCCCTCCCCCCTGGCCTCCTGCCCGAGCTGGGCCTCAGCAGGGGCTCCTGCACCCCCTGACGTGTCCTAGGGAGCCGGAAGAGGGACTCGGAGCACAGGCCAGAAGCACCATGAGCGAGCAGATCTGCTGCTCCCCGCGCCGTCTTACCTGCTCCCTCCCCCCAGCCCTGTCACTAGTCTCCCCACTAGTCCCAAAACTGGCTCAGGAAGCTGCCCCCTAAGGTTGGCAGATGGGGAGCCTGGCTGCTCGGAGCTTGTGCTGGGGTGGGGGGCGCGGGCCCAGCTGCCGCAGGCCCAGGGGCCCCAGGTGAGTGGAGCTGGGGAGCAAACTACAGGACAAAACCAGGGCCCCCACCCCCACCTGGGTGGGGCAGAAACTGGTAGCCCCAATAGGTCAAAGCTCCGGGAGTGGGGGGGGCCTGGGGGGGCTCTACCTCATCAGAGTGCCAGGGAAGGGCTCTCCTGGCATTTATCTGCCCCACACTCATCCCCTCCTGCCCCCCCCCCCCCCAAGAACTCCTGCTGAAGCTTCGAAAACCCCTCTCGGCACCGTCTGCATCCCGAGCCCAGAGGGGCCCAGGAAACCGCAGGGACAGCACAGGGGCTGGCGCCCGCTCTGGGACAGGGCTGGGAATCCGCTCCCCGACGCCCTCCGGCCCCCGGCCCCTCAGGCCCCTCGCGGAGCCCCCGGCCCCTGGGGTGTGGGCCTACCTCCTGGGCGCGCCACCACCACCACTGGGTTCCTGCCCACCAGCCGCCTGCTCCGGGGGCACAACGCAGGTGACGGGCACAAGCAGCCCGACTGGGGAGGCGGCTCGCAGGCCCCTCGTCCCGGCTGACGGTGCTTCGGGCCGCCAAGCTCCCAGGCACCTCTGCCCCGTGTCTCTCCCGGGCTGCAGCCCCTTCACCTGCGGCTGCCGGCCCATCTGGAGGCGGGGAGCGAGGGAGCAGGTGTGGGCCTGGGGCTGCGCGCCCAGCCTTCCGCCCTGCGCTGTCCCCCCAAGGCCTCTGCCCCGCTCCCGCGCCCGCTCTTCCTGCCGCAGCTCAAACCGCCCTCTCCTCCCGGCCCCCTGTTCGACCCGGGTGTGGGGCTGATGCTTCAGCTGCTAAAGGAAAGAACGGGGGTTTCCTGTAGGGTCAGAGGTGGACTGTGGACTGTGGGGAGACCCGGGCCGTCTCCCCGAGAAGCCCTGGGGTCCCTAGTTCCTGGGCACTTGCCCAGCATCTGCTCACCCCCGCCTCCGCCTCCCGCTGCAGCTGCGCCAGCGTCTCCGCCCGGGCCGCCAGCCGCCTTTCCAAGTGCAGGTGTCTGCAGAGCTGCAACTCCACGCCCGGCAGCGAGTGCTGGGGAGAAGCAAGCCCAGGTGAGCCGCGGTTCCTGGGGGTGCCGAGAGCCTCTTCTCACCCCTCGCAACCTGCCCGGGAAGGCCAGGCAGTGGAGGAGCGGCAGGCTCTGGCCCTGGCAGGAGCGGCCTGACAGTGCGGCGGGTACAGGTCAGGGCCTCAGCTCACCCCACAGCTGGGGTCCAGAAGGAGGCCTTCCTGGGAGGCCAGCCAGGCCTCGGCCTGGTCCAACTCCTGCTGCAACTTCTGCAGCTCCCAGCTCTCCTTGCAGCGCTTCTGGCCCAGGGCCCAGGACTCCTTGAGCGCCTGCAACTGCCCCTCCTGCTCCTGCAGACATGTTGTTACCTGGTGGGGGCGGGGGGGGGTGGTGGGGAGAGGTCTAGCTCAGGTGGCGCCACCCAGGTAGGTGAGAACAAGGCGATGCCCAGCAGAGGAGATGAGGAAAGGTTTCAAGGCCTGGGCCTTCCCCTCCTCTGCCTCCTCTCCACCCCTTGCCTTGCCTTTCCCTGCTGCTATTTTTCATGCCCATGAGGGGTTTGAAGGCCTTGAGTCACTGGGCTCCATCCCCAGCTCAACCCCACCCCACCTCTCTGCTTGTACCTCCAGAGACATGAAGTGACCCTTGTCCAGCAGCTGCTGCCCTTCCTGCTGGACCTCCTGGGCTTGCAGGCACAGCTCCTGGATTTCTTGCCCCAGCAACTCGTGCGTCCCCAGGAGCTGCTCAGCCCCTGCCACATCCCTGGCCAGCTCCTCTGAGGACACCCGCACCTGGGTCTCCTGAGCCCACGCTCTGCAGGGCGGGGAGGGGAAGCTGCTGTCAGGGCTGGGTGGGCTGCCGTGGGGGCGGGGGCGGGGTATGAGTTGCACAGCACTGGGGGGAAGAGTCCAGTTCTATGAAGAGCTGGAGTGACCCCCACCCCACAGGGCAGAGCTGAGCTAGCAGCCAGGGCAGGAGGCCACCTACAGCAGCTCCTGACAGCGTCCGAGGAAGGTGTGGCCCTGGACAGCCTGCTCCAGCTCCCTGCCCCGCTGCTGGGCCTTCGCATGCAGGGTGGCCCAGGCCTCCTGAACCGTGGTCAGCAGCTCAGCCAGGCCCTCCTGAACCGTAGGTTGTAGCTGGCCCAGTCGGCAGGCCTCTGTCCTCACCCGTGCCGCTTCCTTCTCCATAGCGGCCAGTTCCCTCTGCCACCAGAACACGCCATCAGGCCTCCCTCACCCCACCCTGCCAGGTGCTCCTCCCTCAGAGGGAGCAGTCCTCTCTGACAAGTCCGCCCCCCCCCCCCACCACCTTCAGGGAGAGGCAGGCCACGGGGCGAGTCCTCACCTCCAGGCCCCTGTGCTGCTGCTGCAGGGCCTGCACCGATGGCAGGCTGTGGACACGCGCGTTTCTCGCCACCACCAAGCCGGCCTTCTCCTGCATCCGGCCTCGGAGGTCGGCCGCTGCCTGCTCAAAGCCGTGGACCTCACGGGCTGCAGCCAGTTTCTGGAAGAGGAGGCAGAGCTCCCTGAAGTCATGGCCTCCTTTTACACCCTGAAGACCATGGGGCTTTGGTGACTTGTTCGCAGCCACCAGGTACAGTAAGTCCTGCTGTGGCAGCCGCCCCATGAGCTGGGAGGAGCTTACACCCCGGGGGCACTCTGTGGGGAGAAGGCCTTGCGTGCGCAGTCGTGAGAAAGGCAGAGGTGGAGGCTCTGAAGCTGCGCTGCGAGGGGTCCACAGGAGGGAGGAGCTGGGCTCCGGGGAGGAGGCCCCTGCAGCACTTCTGGTGGGGCGGGGAGGGGAGGGGTCCTCCGGAGCTGCTCCCCTGGGGCCCTCAGAGAGCATCGCCCAAGTGCAGTCTGTCAGGGCGTGGGGAGCCGGGCAGCTTTGCTAGAAGCCGCCATGGTGAAGGGACCCAGGGTTGACTGGCCGCGCCCGCGGCGTTTACATCAGGGGGAGTGGGCGCCGGAGGCTGGCCGGCCGGGCCCGGCTGCGCGTGTGGCTCACGGGCCATCCACGAGGCGCGCGCCTCAGTAAAACGAAGCCTGCCTTTAGGGAGGGCGGCGCAGGATGCAGAAGCAGCCCGCCGTGTGAGCTGCGCCAGGAGGCAACGCTGGTGGGGAGGCCCGGAGGGGACGCGGGGCTCCTGCTCTGCTCGCGGTGGGAGTGGGAGGCAGTTAGCGCCTCCTTCCACACTCACCCTCACACACCCACCGTTCTGACTCCCATTCGCACACGCTCTCTGTCGTGCTCACACTCCTGGGGGGTCTCTTGTGCCTGGCCCGGCCGGGAGGCACAGTCATGCCTGCGCCCCGGCTGGCCCCCAGCGCCTACCTGCGCGCGGCCTTCCACGGCCCTGTGCAGCTTCTCCCACGTGGCCTGGACGCGGTCCATCTGGACTCGAATCTGGGGAGAGCACCTGGGTGCGACCTGCTCTAGGGAGCCTGCCAGCTCCCTCAGGGCCTGTACCCTGGCCTGCCCCGCGCTCTGGACTTCCATTCTGAAAGCATCAAACTTCTCTTCCAGCACCTGAGAGGGAGGAAGGCCAGGGAGAGCACTCTGGGGGAGGCACCAGCACCCAGGCCTTGGCAGTGGCTGACTGTTGGGACCTTCCTCAGCCCTGGAGAGCTGCAGGGATTCTCCCAGAGACACCCCCCACGTCCCTGGTGCAAATTCACACCCTCTCACCCCGAGCACACACTTCCTTGGCTCCGCCTCAGTCCCCTGCCCCAGGCAGGCTGGCTCGGGAGTGACTCACCGCGACGCTCTCCAGGTCCTGCCCGTAATCCTGGGCCGCGGCGGTGGCCACCTTGCTGGCCAGCCAGGCTTCAAGGCGCAGGGCCTCCCGCTCCAGTTGGTGTAGCTGCAGCTGCTCCCTCAGGTCTTGCCCCCGGCCCTGCACCCTCTGCAGCAGCGCCGAGTGGGCCTCCCTCACTGCCCGCATCCCAGCCAGCACCTGGGGGCTGCAGCAGGAAGGACAGCCCGCCAGGGGCTCATGCACTCCATTCTGGAGCAGCTTCACAGGCTCCTGCTGGGGACACCCTCCTGGCCCCCCCTTAGATAGGCCTGGCTCACCCACCTATCTGGGTTCTGCAGGCGCTCAAGGAGGGCCGCGGTCTCCTGCAGCCTCTCCACGCGCGTGCCGAACCCCTCCAGCTCTGTCCTGGTGGCCTCCAGCTGCCGCAGGACGGCCTGCGTGGCCTCGGCACTCTGGCCCACGTCCTGGACGTCCAGGATACAGCCCCGTTCTGCCAGCCAGGATTCTGCCTCCAGGAGCTGGGGGCACAGAGCAGAGGTCTGTTTTCGGGGGGAAGCCCTGCAGGGCTCCCAGTATGGAATGAACAGCCAAGAGCTCGCGAGTGGCGGTTCTCAGCGGAGCCGCACCCCGAGTCTCCTGAGCGCTTTGGAAGCCTCTCTGCCTGGCCGCCACGAGCAGCTCTGGCTTGGTCTGGATGGAGCCTGAGGATCAGGACTTCTGGAAGGGTCTGAACGACTCTGGTGTGAAGCACGGCTGGAGAGCCGCGGGTGGGGAAGACATAGTGAAACCAGAATAAATCCAGTAGCTGGTTTTCTGGGAAGCGTGCAGGGGACGGGTTTGAGAGCAGGAGACCACACAGCGGAGGCAACAGAAGATGCCCAGGGGCCCGGGAGCCCCAAGCAGGGGTTTCTTTCAAACCTGTGTAGACTGTGGGTGTCCTTGTGCCCAGTCCCTGACCTCGGAACACGGCACCCCCTCCTCCCACCTCCCCCTCACCTCTGTTAGGAACCACTGGGCCTCCTGAGCCTGTTGTAGCAGTAGCCGCTTTTGCAAGACCTTGGCCTGCAGGCAGCCCAGGGCCTTCTCCAGCTGCTGCACCCGGGCAGCCACCTCGTGGGCAGCAAAGTGCCGAGCCTGCACCAGCTTGCGCCCTGCGCTCAGCACTGCCTGGGTCAGAGCTTCGTGGCTGCTGATCTCAGTCTCCAGGTTCTGTGGAGGCAGAGGACAGGGCTTGGGATGGTACTAGCCTCTCCCCAGAGATGCCAGGGGTACACTGAAGAATGCGGGGTGCTCCCAAAAGCCCCCCCAAGGCAGAGCTCCTCGTCAGCCAGGAGACTTCCCTAGGCTGAATGAGCCCCACGTGAGGCCGAGGGCCTCTGCCGCCCTCAGGTGCACGCACACCTGGTGCTTCTCCTGCAGGAGCTGCACAGTGCCCAGGCTCTGGCCGCAGTCCTCAGAGGCCACCCGCGCCAGCTTCTCCTGCACCCAGGCCAGCTCCTCATCCGAGTCCCTGAAGAACTGCAGGACGCAACTCTGAGCCTCCAGGGTAGCTCTGTGCTCCTGCAGAGGTTCCCCCAATCTCTTAAACCTGCAGCAAGGAAAGGTGGGACCAGAAGAGTTGGGGGCTATCACTGAGTTTTGGGGTTCCTAGGTTCTTTAAGATTTATTTATTTATGCATACAAGAGCTGGGGTACAGACTAGAGATGTGCAGGGTGAGAGGACTCACGAGAGGCAGCAGGGAGCAGAACAGGCAGACTGACTGAATACACTGCTGAGGGGAGCAGCGGGCGAGACAGGAGAGGTCTGCACGCCATGTGGGTTTTTCTCTGGCCCGCTGGGATGGAACCGGCGCTGCAGAGGCTGTGGATTGCTTCATAGTGCTGTGCTTAACCCCTTGCGCCACCAGGGAGGCCCCGGGGTCCCTAGGTTCTTGACTATGGCCATGAAAAAACTCAAAGCCATGTTCAAGCCAGCAAAGTTAAATTTATTTAGGGACAGTGTCCATGGAACAATTGCCCTGAAAGGTGGGGGATTCCTGACTTAAATGGGGTGCAGAGGGCGGCTCACTTCTCCCTTTGTGGGCTTACGTGCAGGTGCTCCCCGGGCGTTGGTTTTTCAGGGCCGTCAGGAGATTCTAAGCCACCCCTTCTGCACTGAGCAGCCGGTTGGCGCAGGGGTCTGCCTTCCCACCTCTAGGTGTTTCTTATACTCCGGCTTTACCGGGAGGACTGCCTTCCCTGCTCTGGGCATTTCCTGGCTCCCCCCAGGCTTCGTTGGCCCTGGAAAGTGTTTCCCGGGGTCCTGGATATGTTGATTGTTAATTTTCTTTGGGCATTGTCCTTTCTGCCCAAGCTGCCTAACAGGGATCACTTAGTAGGGCCAGGGGGTGCCCCAGAGCCCAGCTCCCTGTGTCCCTCACCGTGGGCAGGGGACCCTGAGCAGAGATAAGCCAGGGGCAGGGAGGAGGGGCAGGAGGATGCATGTAGGTGGGCCTACCTTTGAAGCAACTGCTGGGTTTGCTCTTCCACGTCCTGGGCGAGACAGTGGCCTTTCCGCATAAAGTCCTGGGCCTGGCCCAGCAGTGCCTGTGCCTGCCTGGTCTGCCTGTCCACCGCTGCCTCCAGCTCTCCCTGTGCCCGGAGGAGCTCTTCCAGCCCAGCCTGGTCCTGGCTCCCCACAGGGGCTGTTAGCTCGGCCTCCACGGGCCCCAGCCAGCTCTCCAGTTCTTTCACACTCCGCTGCACACGCAGGACCTGGGGAAGAGTGTGCAGTGGGCGCCCGGGGCAGGCCCAGAGCCCCATCCAGCCTGCTCCTGGCCCATGCAACCTCACCTCACAGGCCTCCTGTAGCTTGGCTGCCCTCCTCTGGCAGTTGGCTTGCAGCTGGTCCCAGAGCTCTGTCAGCTCCTGCAGCCGCTCTTGGATGATCTCTGAGGTGGGGTGACCTCCCTCCAGCAGCCTTTGCCCCTCCTACAGCCGCAATATGGCGCCCACCTCAGGGACTCAGGGCTACTGGTGCCAGGGGCACTGGTGTTGGCTCCAACCACCAGGCCCACGGCTGCAGTCCGTGCTAGCTGTGTGTTCTCGGGCAAGTTCCTTAACCACTCTGAGCTCATTTTCCTTATCCATGGAGTGGAGACGATCATGAGATAACATTTAAAATTCTTAGCAGGGCACTTACATCAGTGGGCTCCCGCCAGGAGACAGGATTAGCCTTTGCAGGTGGAAGAGGGGAAATTTAAAAGGTGCTCTACTCTGGCCCCTTGATACACAGGATGGCTGGCTGTGCCTGACCATCCTCTGATGTCTTTCTGAGATGGTTGTTACAAACGATCAGTCAAAACACGATCTTAAAATTCTTGGAAAGACAAGAATTTGGGAGAAGTTGCTCCAGGGAAGCTCCTGCTACTCTCTCCCCTCAGCGCTCAGCAGGTGCTCACACACAGAGAGCGCCAGAGGAACACCGGCCACTTGCAACCATGGTTCAGAGCCGCGCCAGGCCTCTGTGGGGCTGCCCTGTGTTTGGGGTGCAAGGCTGTCCCACGGCCCCGCAGCCAGGCCCCACAGGGCCTCACCATCTGCAGCCTTTGTTTGTGGTGCGCACTCGTGTCCAGCTCGGCCAGGAGATTCTGCTGGTCCCTCATCTGCGCCTGCAGCACGGCCGGGTCCCGCCAGATTTCCTCCAGGGCCACCAGGTTCTTCTCCCGGAGCCATGTGGTAACCTGGGTGCGTGGGAGGACCAGGCTCTGTTGCCTGGGGTTCTCCCCTGCCCCCTCACCTCTGGGTTGGCCAAGAGGATGGGTGCCCTCACCACAACCACCCCCCACAACCCAGGGGAACCTCAGAGGAATCCTGCAAGAAAGTCTGCAGCTGCCGAAGCTTCTCCAGCTGGCGGCGGCGGGTGCCTGCTCGCTCCAGGAGCGCCTCTTTCCTGCAAGAAGAAGGTCGTATGGGCCCCCAGGTCTGCTCCCCAGCACCTGCGCTGCCACAGGAGTGTGTGCGCGCATGCAAATGAACCCTTCGCCCTTCTTGTGGATCAATATACACCAGGCCTGGACTTCTTCTGAAAAGAGGGGGTTCCTCTCTTTCTGTCTGTTATGGGCGGAATCGGGTCTCCCAGAGTCATATGTTGAAGTCTCAACTCCCAGCACCTCCAGAATGTGACTATGTGGAAATAGGATCTTCAATGAGGTAATTCATTTAAAATGAAGTCTTTGGGTAGATGCTCATCTGATGTGGTCGGGGGAGGAGAGAGAAGGACGTGGACGCACACAGAGGAACAGCCATGTGAGGAGGGGGCGAACAGCTGCCTGCAAGCCAAGGGGCGAGACAGGCGACAGCAGCCCTGGAACCCCTTGATCCAGGACAGCCTCCAGAAGAGTGAGACAGTCAACACCCTGTGTGGAAATCACCCAGTCGCTGGCATCCTGTGATGGCAGCCCCGGCCCACCAGCACGGTGTCTCCAGCTACTTTTCTGATCATGCACGGCCACGACAACTTTCTGAGCATGCCCCACACATGTGCCTCTGTGTGTGTGTGTGTGCTCACTTACACACACGTGCACCTCTGTACCAGTATATTAAGCGCATTGCCGTGTGCCCCAAAGTAGATTAGAAATGAGATCCATATGTGGAGAAAAAGGAACTCTCCTGCACTGCTGGTGGGAGTGCAAACTGGTCCAACCACTATGGAGAGCTGTGTGGAGATTTCTGGACCTACTAAACATAGAGCTTCCATATGATCCAGCAATTCCACTCCTAGGTATTTACCCAAAGGACACAGAAACATCAATTCCAAAGAGCACCGGCACCCCTATGTTTATAGCAGCACTGTTTACAATAGCTAAGCTTTGGAAACAGCCCAAATGCCCAAAAATAGATGACTGGATCAAGAAGATGTGGTCCATATACACCATGGAATATTACTCAGCATTCAAAAAAGATAAACACATGCAATTTGCAGCAACATGGATGGCACTGGAAGGGATCATGCTCAGCGAAATAAGCCAGAAAGAAAAAGAAAAATACCGGATGGTCTCACTCATAGCAGGAATCTAGAAAACTTAAATAAGGGACCAGGAAAATGAATAACTGTAAGAAAGTGAAAATCAAAATCAACAAAAAACTATGAATCAGAGACACTCTATGGGGGTGGGGGCGGGGAGGGGAGGGATTGGGTCAAAATAAGGGGGTTGCAATTGTATGGGGAATATAAAAATAAAATTTATTAAAAAAAAAAAAAGAAATGAGATCCATAAACAAACAGGCAAAGAAGTCTTCATGTTAGCTCCTCCCGTCCCTGGTCTTGAGGTCCATCACTGGTCTGGGCATGAAACTTTGTACTCAAGAATGCCTGAGCCTGGAAGGGATGAGGGTGGCGCTGTTTTGGGGGGTAGCTGGTCTGTTTGGAACCCCCTAACGTGACTGGGGAAGGAGGTGTTATTAAAGACCTCAGGTGGGGTCCATCTGCACAAAGGGGAGGGGTTGGCTGAGTGCCCCTGTGAGGGCACCAGCCCTAGAAGCTTTGGGGCCTTGCAAAGATGGGAATCCCTGTCAGATGGGGAACAGGTTTTTGGGCAAATCTACCTTGATCTGAAAATCTGAGTAACTGGGGCCTCCCTGGTGGTGCAGGAGTTAAGTCAGCGCTCTCAAGCTACCGCCAGCCACTGCGGCCTGAATTCAACTCCCAGCCAGGGAGCTACCCACATGGCGCGGCAGACCTCTCCTGTCTCGCCCGCTGCTCTCCTCTTTGGTGTATCTCGGTGGATCTGCCTGTTCTGCTCCCTGCTGTCTCTGGTGACTCCTCTTACCCCCTACACCTCTGGCCTACACCCCAGTTCTTCTACACAAAAATTAATTTAAAAAATGTCTGAGGGCCTGAACAAGGCGGCAGATGGGCTTTTATGAAGATAAATGGTGGATCCTGATGTCTCATGATCTGTGCGAGATTTAGTTGAACAAGCATAAGGAATCTGCCAGCCCTTCCAGTGCCAGCAGCAGCTGAAAAAAGCAGGGGAGCTTTTCAGTCACCCCAACACCAAGAGGCAGGTATTGCTATCTCCTGGCTAAAGACTGAGGCTTCATGAATAATTTGCCCGGGTCCCGCCCTGAGCAGCAGCAAGGAACTCAGGCCCATCTGGCCCTGGAGGGTGACCCCAACCATGATGCCCTGGGAGTGCCAGCTCATCAAGTAGTTTCTCTTGTTTTCTAGTGCACACTTCCTTGTAAAATTGCCTCAGCTGGATGACCGTGTGCAACCTGCTACTCATCGTGGGCCCGCACACCGCAGTCGAAGAGATTGGGCCCTGGCATCTGACGTCAGCCCTTGGAAAAGGCTGATGAGCCTGGGCCAAGAAGGGGAAGGGCAGGAAGGGCAGAGCTGGGATGCCCAGTGCCCACGCCAGCGCACCCACAATCCCCACCCCCAGGGCCACCAGTACCTGAGGAGCACGGCCTGGCACCGGTCTAGGGCACTCTGGGCCTTGGGGTGTCCATCTCGGCACAGAGCGTGAGCTGCAGCCTCCAGGGCGCTGATCTTTCCTGCCTGTGCCTCCAGGCCCCGCTCCAGGAGCTTGTGCTTCCACAGGAGGGTCTCCGCATCGGCCACGGGGTCCTGGCGGGAGCAGGGAAGCAGATACTGCCCATGGGCTGCCCCCCCATCTCAAGGGTCTACTTTCCCACCTGGAGCCATCCTACCAAATGTCCCCCCAGGGAGCGTGCTCAGTGTCTGACTCTAGGACAGCACCACCCCGGGAGCTGCTGGGGTTAGGGGTCAAGTGTCAGAATTTCCAGGGCTGGCGGAGCTTCTTCACATAACAGGAACACCCTCCTCTGCGTTCCCAGTTAGACCACAGTTGCCGGGATAGGTTACCCCGATTATGAGGCCTCATGAGGCAGACTGGCCCGCCACGGTGCTGGGACAGTGTGGGGAGAGCAAACCCTGGGTGTAAGGGAGTGAGGAAGGCAGAGGGGAGAGGAGGTGGGAGGCAAGAAAGGGCCAAAGTCCACACGCTCACCCTCTCAACTCCCCACCTTCCCCGTGGGGACTCCCGGCGGCTGCGGGGTGCGGACAGTGCCTCGGCCTGGGAGCTGAGGCAGCACTGCTGGTGTTGGCCCTCATCCCACTCAGGCAGAACTGCCCTCACCCCCACCAGCACCTACCCCCAGGCCCTCGCTGGCCAGGCAGGCTTCCTTGCTGCAGAGCCAGCTTTCCATCTGCTCCGCAGAGTTTAGGAACAGCTGTGGGGAGAGGGAAGGGAAAAGGCAAGGAGGAGGTGAGAGGACGGGCCAGTCTCTGCAGGTAGAAAGGCCCTTTGGGAGCGCCAGGGAAGAAACCAGGGGCCTGGGTCCACAGAGTGACTCCGCTGACGAGACTTGTGGTGGAGCTGAGTGCAGGGTGAGGGGGGGTGGGTGGCGTGTGGTGGGCAAGTGTCTGGCCTTGCAGCGGCTCTGCCTTTGGCTCTGGCCAGGAGCAGCAAAGGCAAGATGGAGGGGGCGGGATGGAGGCTGCCTACCTGGAGCTCCAGGGCCTGCTGCAGCTGCAGGTGCTGCTCCTGCCAGGTCTCTTCCAGGCAGTTCAGCTCCTGGTCTAAAGTAGCCAGGGCTTGGCGGATGTCAGGGAGGCCTGACTGCCCAGCTGCGAGTAACCGCTGTCCAGTGCTTCTGACTAGCCCGATACGGTCTGCCTGGGCGTTCAGCTCAGCCTTTAACAAGACAGGGCCCAGGCCTCAGAGGCTGAGGCTTCAGGGCTGGAGGGGGCCTGCTAGGGAGGAGGAGGGATGGGGAAGACCCAAGACCGAGGCAGGTGATGGAAACAAGACCCGGGAGAAAGTTGGTGGTTGCAGGAAGGGGCAGGGCAGAGAGGGAAGGCCCCAGGGTCCCGGGCGGCTCACCTTTCGCTCCTGGTGCTCCTCCAACATGCGCCGGGCCTCGGCGGGACTTCCGGGGGCACTTTGGGGGCACATCTCAGCCTGCAGGCCCTGGGCCCAGACCAGCAGTTCCTGCAGCATTGCCTGGAATTTCTGTGCTTGGTGCAAGGCATCCAGGGCCTCTCTCCTGCCCATAGGTTCATCCACTAGTCCCGAGGCCTCCGGGCCCCTGCTCCCCTGTGCCCACCACTGTCTTCTGTCCCTGGGGCCCCTCAGCCAGGGAAGGCCCACGGGCTGGGAATTAATGGGATGACAACACAGATGGTTGTCTGAGGAATGGGAAAATCTCTCGGGGGAGAGCAGAGCAGGGAAATGTGGGCCCTGAGGTGCAGAGGAGACAGGTTAGTGCGGGCAGTGAGGACAGACGCGCAGGGAGGCTGTACCGCTTCTGAGCCCCACTCTGGAGCTGCCGCCATCTGTCCATCATCTCCTGCTGCTTGCGGCTGAGGCTGTGGGCTGCCCCGGGGCTTCTCTGGCAGAGCTGGACCACCTTGTGTTCCAAGGGCTGTGGGGAAATTCGGAGTCAGGGGCTGGGGCATGAGAGCAGGTTGAGCTCGGGAGAGCCTCCGGTGGCAGGAGACCCACAACATCTGGGTGTACAGGTAAGTGGCCCTGGCTGGCTCTTGAGGCCCCAAGGCCCCCGGCCCTGTTCATGACTCCCCAGGGTCCACCGAGGCGGTACTCGGGGCCTGCTTTCCCTTCCACACCCAGCTACACACCTCCAGCTGCGCTTGGATGAGGCCCATCTCCTGCTGCAACTCCTCCTGCTTCCACAGCAGCCTCTGCTCACTCTGCAGATTTTCCCCACAGTCCAGGCCCTGGATCAGAGTGGCCTGGGGAGAAACGGGGCATTAAGGACTTGGTTTCTGCTCCATCTCCTCCCTCCCTAGGGAGTGTGCTCCGGCTACAGGGCTTCCGTGTGGAAACCCAGCCTGGGTCCCTTCCAGGGCTCTCTGTGAGCCAGAGCAGGGCCCCGGCCCTGCCCAGAGTGCCTTTCCTTCTGTGAAGGAGGAAGGTTCGAGGAGAGCCATGGCGTGAGACTTTCCTCCTGGCCTCATGTGACCCTCCTTCCTTTGAGAGGGCCTGAGCATGGACAGCCAGGTCGGGCTGAGGCAGGAAGCAGAGGCGAGGGCAGCTGGGCAGAGTCCTCTGCGTGCTCAGAACGGGGCACCATCTGTTTCACGCGGGCCTCTCAGGCCGGGACCATCTTCTTTACTCCCGCCCCTGCCAGTTGAGCCCACGTTCTTTTTGCAGAGGCTGACACAGTCCTGGGGCAAACGCCCTGTGGTTCTGAACTTGCTCAGGGGCGATGGAGACAACTGTGTAGGGGGTGCTTCTGGGGGACTAAAGAGCCAGGGGGGCTGGCCTCTGAGCCTGCAATGGAAGCTTCTATGGTCTGGCATTGATCCTGATGTCCCCTGGCGGACTCCTGGCAGCTTCTACCTCCCCCTAAGCAGACCAGCTGAAGGAGAGGGGCAGGCGGGGGTGAGGCCCTCGGGAAGGCCTGGACAGCTCTCCCTGCTCCCCCCACCGCTCACCTTCTCCCTGATCCGCCTGATGACGTCATCCAGGTCTCGGGACAACGTGTGCATCTCCAGGGCCCCTTCAAGCTGCCTCTGGTACTGGAGTAAGTTGCCATGGAAACTGTTCCACCTGGCAGAGGGGGTATGAGGCTGTGTTTGAGTGAGGCGGCCGCCCACTCCCCTTTCCTACACCCGCTGCTTCCCCCGCCCCGGGGCTGGCCTGCTGTTGAGTTGGTGTCGTAGCTGGCAGACGGTCTGTGGGTCCGGGGCCCTGAGCTGCAGCGCTACGTCATTGATGCTCTTCATGTGTCTGTCCTGTGGGGGTGCAAGGTGAGGGAATTGGGGACACCTTCTCTGAGTCCCTCTTGGCCCTGTCTGCAAGAGGAGCAGCTTGTGTGCAGGGCGGAGGCAGCGGCCTCTGCTGTGGCCTTCTCCTCCCATGCCAGGTGCGCGAGCAAGATAAACTTGGGGTCTGAAACCCCCAAATCATCTGTAAGTTCGGAAAGTGTGCTTCCCTGGTTGGGAACCAGGCATGAGGGGTGGGTGGGCATGAACTGATGGGCATTTTAAAGTTAAAAATGCAGCTTCTCAGGATAAGAAGAGCAAAGTGAGAGAGTGGGGGTTTGTGGGCCCCGCAACCCCACTGGGGGCGATCGTGGGCTTCCTGTCCCTAGCAAAAGCCGCTTGCATTTACAGAACTTGTTGTCATTTCCAAAGTAGTTCCCTGGGCAGTGTTACACACGAGGTCATCAGGGGAGGGGGTTCCCTCCTTGTGTGCTCACTGGAGGGGAACCCGGAGGCTGACTTGAGCCTCCCCGAGCTCCTCCAAGTCTAGCTCCTTCTCCCAGAGCATCTGGCACAGAGGCCGTGGCACCCCAGCAGTGGGGCCCTCTCAGGATGGAGCTCTGTGGTGACAAACCCTCCCCCGAAGGGCTCCTTACCCAGGCCCCAGTTCCTTGCAACTTGCGGAGCTGTCTACGGAGCTGCAGGCAGTGCTCAAGGTCCTGGCCCAGGTCCCCGACATTCACTGTCACCTCCTGTGTTGGTGAGGGTCAGAGGGTACTACTTGGTACCAACCAGAGTACACCTAGCCCCTAGCTGCTGGGACAGGTGGCATTTTTTTTTTTTTGCCAAGGCTCTGTTCTGTCAGGGAGGCAGGGAACTGCAGGTCTGGAACTACCCCTTCCTCAGCCCAGCCCAGCCCCTGCCTGACTGGGACTCACCATCTCCTGGATCCAGGCCTCTGCAAAGTCCACTCTCTGTAGAAACTCCAGGAAGTTCTGTTTGTCCTCCAGATCCTGGCCCTGCATGGCCACCATCTGCCTCAGTTTTCCCCAGTGCTCCTGGAGCATCTGCAGCCTCTGGGAGATGTCTCCCCGCCCAGGGTGTCTCTGTGCCAGGAGAGCTTCACCCTTCTGGGGAGAGAGGGGCCAGCTAGATATACTGTCTGGCCTCCATCCTCCTGCATTTTGCTATCACAGGCTCCTGCCACCAAAGACCTTGGCAAGCCTGGAGTCCACACTCTAGGGTAGAGGTTCTGTTACCTTGGTGACAGAGGTTATGATTTCCTCACGGGCCTGGACCTCGGCCTTGAAGTTTTGGTGTTTCTGCAGGTGTCTTAGTATATCTTTCAGGTCCGCAGGAGGGATTGACTGTGTCAGCTGCTGGATCCGCTCCTGGATCCAGTCCTCAGCCTGGTGGGGGTGGGAACGTGAATCCCACGATGCTGCAGGCCTCAGTCTACAGAGAGAGACTGCACGCCTACTCCTCAGGGGCCCAGGTAGCTGACTGCAGGCCCCGTGGGCCTGGTAAATGAGAGCAACGGTTCTAGCCTCCCTGGCCCCAGACACATACAGGGTCGGGCGAGGGCCTTGGGTGGCACCGCATGACGGAGGTGATGTTTGCCCACTCCAGGACTTGGGCTGCTCTGCTCTTCCTCCTGCCTTTTTGCCCCGGCCCTGTGCCAGACAATTCAGGAAGCAGCGGGGTGCCCACATGCTGCCTTCTCATCAAATGTCTGGGCTCCAGCATGGCTTCTGGGAAAGAGCTCTAACCCTCCACGAGGCAGGGGTGTGGTGAGGCCTGGATGAGCCCGTGAGCGTCACGTGTAAATTGTAAAATGTGGCCCAAGTGGCGCTCGGACCTGGGTCACGTCCCCGATGAAGACAGCCGTCAGCAAGGAGGTGCGCAGGGCGTGCGTCCGGTTCTCTGCCAGCTCCTTCACTCGAGCCCGGCGCTCCTGCACCCTGTGAAGCAGGTCCTGCGCCCTGGGGCCCTGGAGTGTCTTCACCTGCTCACACAGAGCTGCCTCCTGCAGGTAGGGGGCCCAGCTGGCACAGGGGCTGGCCACGGAGCTGGCACAGGGGCTGGCCCCCGGGGAAGCCCTTCCTTCACCCCTGCGTGCTGGAGGGGCCGATCCTCCTACACAAGCCTCCCAGTGCCCCGGTGGCCGCACGATATGGACAGAGCCGAAGGGCCGTCACGTCCCCGTAATGCGGCCCACTCCCTCCCAGGCCCTCTTCTTGAGCCACATGTCCCACTCGGCTCAGTCAGCCTGACCAGGTGCCTCTAGCCCCCCGGGCCATCCCCCGGGCCACCCCTGCACATTAGCATTGCCTCTGGGTACTCACCAAGCAGCCCGTGTCCCCCTTTAAGGACTCCCCAAAGTTCCCACCCCCTCCCTCTCCCCCAGCTCTGAGCAAGCCCAGGGCGCCCCAAGCCCATTACCTTCTCTTCCTGGGCAGCCAGCACCTTCCGGAAGACCTGGTGCTTGCGGGTCAACTGCTCCACCTCTTCCACCGAGCTCCCCAGGGCACTGTTTCCCAGGGAGACCTGGGCCAGCCCACGCGGGGTCAGAGAGGCCGTCAGGGCCTGTCCGGCTGGCCAGCCAGCAAGGGGGCGGGCGGGCAGATCCCCAGGTGAAGCCAGGGGCCTCGGAGTGGGGCGGGGCTGAGGTGAACATGGAGCATGGGGGACTGCAAGGAGTGGGGACCCCGGTTAGCAGCCAGAAGCCCTCAACTCCTGCAGAAAGTGGGAGGCATGATCACCCTTCAATTCCGTTGGGACTCGGTCAGTGTGGGGTTGAGGAGGGGCCCTGCCTGGCCTGGGGTGTCGCTGGAGGCGCAGGTCCCAGTGCTCCACACTGGCCACCTGGGAGCCACGCCAGGGGAAGAGCCAAGCCCCAGGAAGCAAGGGGCAATTCGGGGAGCGGGGAATCAGAAGAGGGTGTGTGTGTGGGGTGTGTGTGTGGGCGAGGGGGTGTGGTTGTGTGGGGTGTATGTGGCACGTGTGTGTGGGTGGGTGTGTGGCGGTGTGCGGGGTATGTGTGTGGTCAGGTGAAGGGGACCTACCTCCTGGGTCATAAGGATTTCTTCCAGGTGGCCACACTTTCTGAGGAAGAGCTGCTCCCGGTGCACAGCCTGCAGCCTCTCGTGCTTGCGTTCCCAGGCCTGGAACACCCGCTCCCGTTCACCCTGCAGGGCTCGCAGTCCTTCCTGGACCTGGGGGTGGGCATGTGGGGAGCCTGTACTGGGGAGCGCTCCCGTTCACCCTGCAGGGCTCGCAGTCCTTCCTGGACCTGGGGGTGGGCATGTGGGGAGACTGTACTAGGGAGCCTGTACTGGGGACCAGGTGGTGTAGATCCCCCCTCTGAGGGGAGGCCGACATGGCCCTGTGGGGCAGGGCACTTGGTGGGCAGGCTAGGCCAAGGGAGGTGGGGCAGCAGGGAATGGGGCCTACCTCCATGATGGATGTCCCCGAAGCCAGAAGAGCCTGCTGGCCTGTCTGGGCCGCCCACTGGTAGAGCTCCTCCCGAGCCTCCAACTCGGCTCGAAGCTGTTTGTGGGCGCTGAGGCTTAGCAGACTGCCGCGGGGCTCCTGCGGGCTCTCGTCCACCTGCAGCTCCTGCCAGATGCCAGTGATCTGGGAGACATAGTCCTGCGCCTGGATCGGGGGGCGCAGGGGAGAAGCTGGGTGCAGAGAACCTGCCTCTGAAGCACGACAGCCCCTCTCACACATTAGAGCGACCCCCGGTTGTCCTCAGGGGAGGCTCGCGGGGAGCCTCCTTCCTCCGTGGACATCCAAGCCAGTCCTCCCAGGCCCCACCCGCCTCCTCCTCGCCGACGCTCTTCTCCACCCTTTGCTTTTGCTGACGCTCCTCCTGTCCATCTGTTCCAAGCGCGCCTGTTCTTGAAGGGCCGCGACCTTCTTTGAAACCTCCTGAAGCTTCCCTGACACCTTGACCTCTCACTGTTTGCCTCGGCCTTTGAATTTCCAACACCATACTTAGCACCCTGGTTTGTGTTTGTGTACAAACAGCGTTAGGCGGCAGGGCCCCGAGTCCCTGTCCAAACATCTCAGTGATGAAGATGAAGGGCAGCGGCACGAGCGTGAGGAGGAGCTTTGTGAAGGCAGGCGCTCGCAACAGGGAGCAGCATCCAGGGCTAAGAGCCCCTCAAGTCCACACTGTTAGAAAGTGGCCGAGCTGGGCCTTGGGCTCGAGCCTTTGTGCAGGGTCATTGTTGGGGCTCTACCAGGCATGGGGACATCGGACTCACTGACTCAGTCTGCCTCTCTGGGGTACTGGGCTCATCTCTCCAGCCAGACTCCAGGAGGGTAACGATTCCCTCTTATGTACCTTTCTTACCTCCTTCTACTCCCACCCATAGCTCCTTGCAAAGAGATAAACACAGATGCTGGCTCCAGCGTCACTGTCTAGAATATCTGAGTCTCCAGTTACACTTTCTTTTCCTTTTTTTAATAAAGATTTGTTTATTTATACAAGAACCGGGGTACAGGCCAGATGTGCGGGAGGGCAGGCTGACTGAAATACACTGCTGAGGAGTCAGGAGGCGAGACAGGAGAGGTCTGCCGCGCCATGTGGGACCCTCGCCAGCCGGCCGGGATCGAACCCGCGGTACAGAGGCTGTGGACAGCTTCACAGTGCTGTGCTCAACCGCCTACATCACCAGGGAGGCCCCTCCAGTTACACTTTCTTGGGCTGTTTTTACTCCCCAGACCCGACTAGGAGCTCTGTTCTCCTGACAGGCTGTCGCTCACCTAGACGGGCATTGACTAAAACATAGTCACTGCTGTGCCCCAGGAGCTCAGCCCTCATGCCAGCAAGCCAGCCACTTAGACTTGTCCATGTTCCTCCTCGTGGCCACGCTTGTTTCCCCTCTAGAACGGGAGGTCCTCGGTAGCGCACGCGCGTGTATGGAAGCACATACTCTCTGTCTCTCTCTCTGCCCCAGGAGGAAGTCCTCACCTCTGCGTGGAAGCGGGCAAGGAGCCATGCCTGTTCCAGCTGGGCCTTGCGTTGCTCCGTGCGTAGCTTCAGGGCCTCCCAGGCTTGCGCCAGAGCCTGCTGCTTCTGCTGCACCATGTGGGTCTGAGGCCCTGAGCCCAGCTTCTGCACGGCGCCTCCAGTGTCCAGCAGCCCCTGTAGCTGGGGTCCGGGAGGGCGCAGGGAGGACAGGGTCATAGCCTCCTAGAGGCTGGGGCTCATTCCACCCTCCGTGCTCATCCCCTGCCATGCAGTTAGCCCAATGGAGGCCCCAAGGGAGTGTGGGAAATCTCAAGGAATAGATGCGCAGGCCTGAGGGGGTCGGCAGGACTGAGTGGGAGAGAGCCAGACCCCACCTGCTGCTCAATGCCCGTGAGCTCACGTTGCAGCCACTCGTGCCTCCTCAGCTGGGCTGCCAGCCCATGCAGGTCCTGGGCCACGTCGCTGGGGAGACCTGTGGCTTTCTCCTGAGAGGAGATGGGCCAAGGGGTCAGGACTGGAGGGTGGGGCTCTGGAGGATCCACCTCTAGGAAAATATCCCCTTCCTCCTGGGCTCGCACCTGGACCTGGACGAGGGCTCCCGACAGATCCCTGTGAACTCTGAGGGTGGCCTCGGTGTCTTGGAGCAGGCGGCCTCGGGCCTTGGTCAGCTCCCACAGCTCCGCCCAGGCAGTCCTGTCCCAGCGTGCGCAAGACCAGCAGCAGGTCAGCCCTGAGCCGGCTTCTCAGTCCAGCCTCTCACCATTCCTCTCCTCTGGATGGGGTCTAGGACTGGCCTGAAGCTCCCCGTCTCACACTCTCTCCCACTTGCAAATCTTCTTCCGGGGACTCTGTTTTTCCAGCTTTACTATGAGTTTATTGCATGGCTGCCATCATGCTCCACATTTTATAGATATCTCTGCTTTGTGATACTTATTATTATTTTTTTTTTTTTGTAGAAGAACTGCTGGGGTGTAGGCCAGAGGTGTGGGGGTTAAGAGGATTCACCAGAGATAGGTAAATCTACTAGAAATACACTGCTGAGGGGAGCAGCGGGTGAGACAGGAGAGGTCTGCTGTGCCATGTGGGTAGCTCCCTGGCTGGGGATTGAACTCAGGCCACAGTGATGATAGTGCTGAGACTTAACCTCTAGGCCACCAGGCAGGCCCAGCTTTGTGACACTTCTCAGATCTTTCATGTTCAAGCTTTAAAACATCAATCAGGTTGGAAGCACTTGAGGGCACAGGCCCCGTCTCTCTTTATTCCTCATATACTGAGCACTCACTGAGCTCCTGAAGCTTCTGCCAGGCCAGGCTCTGGGGCTCATGATTTTGCCTCAACATTCAGAGGATCCAGGATGGGTAGGTAGCTGGGCAGTCTCTGCTCACAGCTCCTCCTCTAAGTCCTGGGAGCCAGTGGTTTGGAAAAACACTCTTGGGGTCCTGGCAGAGCTGCCTGATCTGCACACCCAGCCTCGCCTCCTTTCACAGGAGGCGACCTGTGCCAACCTCCGCTTTCCTGGAGCGGGCCTCTCGCCAGATACCTGTGGGCAGTGTGGCCCTGGAGCATGCTACCCTCTCTGACACCCCAGCAGCCTCCCCCAAACCTGTGTCCTGAACTGGCCCACCAGGCACTCACTGCAGACCCTGCTGCCTCTGACGGGCCATGGGGGCAGCGCTGTGTCCACGCTCCTGCAGGTCCTCCACCAGCTGCTGACAGGCTGCCACCTGCTGGCCGCCCATTTCCACTTGGTGCTGAAACCTTGTAAACTTGGTGTAGAGGTGCTGAGGGGAAGAAAGGAGTGGGGGTCAGGCTGGCCCCCAGCTGATGAGGCAGCAGGCAGCCTGGGAAGCGAGGCGCCTCAGGGACATCTGGGCAATGTGGGGTCGGATGACTTTTGTGTCATCCCCTCCTCTCAGAAGGCCTGTCCACAGTCAGGGCTCGCGGGAGTCACGGCTGGGAACGCAGCCCTGGCCAGCTCCCCGCCTCCCCCAGCATTCATCCTGGGGGCTTCCTCCTCGCCCCAGCCTCTCCTCACCAGGACGTGCTCATGGTCCTCTCCGAGGTGCTCCCCTGCCCTGGCCGCCTGCTTCTGGCGAGCCAGCCAGCTCCACAGCTCCGCGGCTTCCTTCGTGAACTCATGCACCTTCAGGGTCCCTTCCAGCTCCCGGCCCCTGTGGTGACAGCCATGGCTCCCCAGAGTTAGCTGCCCGCGGCCCCTGGGGACAGCCGGCCCAGTCCAAGGGGGTAAACTCCAGGGGGTTACTCACGGTCCCCGCCCCAGAGAGAATTAACACAGAAAGGCGGGGGTTGGGGGGAGAGTCAATGGTGGGGTGGGGGACAGATGGAGAGCTTGGAGGTGGGGGTCCATATTCCTGTGCGAAGGACCCTTGCTGAGGAATTTATGGAGCGAGGACCCAGCAAGGACTCTTCCGGCACATCCCCATGGCTTTCCCGCTGAGGGCACGCACAGGAAGTCAAGGCCGGCCCCGCTCCTGGAGAGGGCGCCAGGCCACTCACCGTGTGTCTGCCAACCGCCGCAGGGCCCGCAGCTGCTCCCGGAGCCTCTCCTGCACAGCACCCAGGCGCTCAGGGGCCTCGGGGCAAGGGAGGGTTTGGGCCCTTTGGCCAAGCATCTCCATGGAGGCCCAGCGAAGATCTAGCTCCTGCTGCAGACTCTGCCAGCGCACAAGGACGCGTACCAGGCTCAGGCCGGGTGACTCTCATCTGTCACCCACCCGTTCACCCCCTCGTCCTCCTAGTTACCCCTTTGATCACACCCCATCCACCTTTCACCAGCGCCCCATTCACCCCCGCGGCATCGCCACTGCGTTCTCACTGTTCTGCAGAAGTGGGGACACGCTCAGTGCCCTCAGAGGGCTGTTCAGTGGGGAACACTGAGTGCAGGGCGGGCTGGCCCGGGGAAAGGCGGGAACGGGAGGCGCTGCCCTGCCCCGGACACTGAAGCACAAGATGAAGAGAGCCGAACCAGCTGCCCAGGGGGTCCAGGGGCCCGAGCCGGCGCGGCCACAGCTGCGGGCTCGGCCCTTGGCAACGGCTCATGGAAGTCCTGGCCCGGGACACGGACACCCCGGCTGCTCCGGCTACGCAGAAAGGATGCCCGGCGCCGGGAGCCTCCGGGGGCAGCAGGAACCGGGATTGCTGCAGGGTCCCGAGCACAGAGCTCCGGGGTGCTCCTGAGTCCGATTCCAGGGAGGAGTGATGTTCTCAGCCTCCCCCAGCCCCCTCCTTTGATTAGGGGTGCTCGTGGGCGGAGCCATGCCGTGGAAGCCGTGGAGAGGGCCAAGCCGGGGGCCCTGAGAGCGTGGAGAGGGGAGAGGCGGCGGGAGGGAAGTCCTGAGCCCCCAGGGCCGCAGGCAGGACGCGAGGTCGGAGAAGGGGAGAGGCGTCACCAGAGGTCACCGCTGAAGAAGCGATGCGGAGGGCCCGGAGGGTTGGGCGGCTGGTGGGGAAGGGGCGGCTGCTGCCAGGACAAGCAGGGCTCCCCGTCTCCGAGAAGCAGGATGTGGGGGAGAGACAGGCGCCTTCCCACTGCCCATGTGGCCGGAGCCCAGCCGCGTGGGGCTGCGCGGGACGCGGTACCTGGTGCTCCTCGAGGAGCCTGCAGGTGGCTGCCCCATCTCCTCCGTAGTCCCGACTGCTCGCCAGGGGCCGCGTCTCCTCCGCCCAGTCCTCCAGTTCCGCCACATCCAGAAAACACTGCCAAGAATGGTGCCGACTCACCTTGATGAGCTCAGATGGGACCCTCCAGTGCATCGTGCCAAGCTCTCCAGCGGTCCGCACAGAGGGGTTTCTGTGCCCATGGCGGAGGGGGGGAACAGCCAGGTCCTGGGCCAGAGTTCCCACCGCTTCCCCACCTCCCTGGGGATCCCCGGTCCCACAGCCCTCACGCACGCAGCCTGCCCGACTACTGTCACTTCCCAACCCCGTGACTGCCGCCGCCTACCTGCTGGAGAGTGGCAGCCTGCTGCAGGCCCCGGGCCCGCGTCCCACACGCCTGCTCCAGCTCTGCCCAGTGGCCCTCCAGCTCCAGGCACCGCTCCATGACATCCTGGGCTCGGGGGTGCCCTGAGGCTGCCAGGCTCCGTCCAGACTCCAGCACCTGCTGCACCTGTCCCTGGTGGGCTTTCACCTCTGCCCAGAGTTCCTGCCACAGAATAGCATGGGCTGCTTCCAGATTCCCTTAGTCACAGGGTGCCCGGATCAGAGCCAGGCAGGTGGCTCTGGGCCCCAGGCATGACTAACCTCCCAGTCAGAGAATAGCTGGGAGCAGATTTCTGGGAATTGGGGCATTGGCAGAGGGTTTCTAAAGTCTGGGAAGGGGGCTGGGAGGAAATGGGAACAGCTACCTTGCCCTAAGGGTCACTGCAGGGGGAGGTGCAGCACTACCTGGTGCTTCCGGCACAGGCGCTGGGCACCATCCAGGCACTTGGCAGCACTGCTGGAGCTAACACTGGCCATGTGCTCAGCCACCCAGGTGAGCTCCATGTTGCTCAGGTGGCAGAACTGGCAGAGCTCAACCGAGGTCTGCAGTTGCTGGCACCTGGCCTCCAGATGTACTTGCAGGGACTCATATCTGGGTGTAGGCCAAAGAGAGGGGAGAGGCTGGGGACAGTTGAGGCTCAGTCATTTTTCTCAGCCTGGCCAGGGAGTCATGAGGAACAAGGAGGGGGTGGGGGGAGCTCATCTGAGGAAGGGGAGGCAGCCAGAAAGGGCCCAGGGCCCAACCTGGTGAACAGTGACCCACCCGACTTCACACTGTGGGTGCTTGGGACACCCCACTGGGATTGCTGGCCTTTCCAGCCCTGGAATGAGTATTCAGGAGGGAAGGAGATTTGGACTTCAGGTCCTGCAGCTGCCGCCCTGCTGGGCTCACCAGGTGACGAGCTGCCACGTTCCCATGGGGGGGAAACATGCACAGTGGGGCGAAGACGGCGTGGGCGAATACCTTTGCAAGTATTTTTGGATCTCCTCCATGATGGCCTGGGAACTGACCCCCTGGTGGGCCCGGGACTTGAGGGCTGCCACCTTGCCGGCCAGAGCCTGGCTCTCTCCCTCCAGCTGGCGCTGTTGTCTCAACAGCTCCCGGCTGGAGCACAGATCCCACTCCATTTCTGCACTCTGCAGGACCCCCTCGAGCTGCTCCGTCTTCCCCTTGGCTTCCTGGGGAGGCACACAGGGCGCTGCCCCAGGCTCTCCACACAGGCCCGCAAGCAGCCCTTCATCTCGAAGACTGTAGTGCTCACAGCCCTCCTGATCCAAAGGGCCACGGGGGCCTCTGGGCCCGCTGCTGTCTACCCCCTCCCAACAGTGCCCAGGTCTTCCCCCAGAACCTCTTAAGACCCCATCCCACTATAGCTCAACTGGGCTGACTGCCCTCTGGCACCGAGGAGCTGGTCCTGCGTTGGCCTGCTGGGGGCGGGAAGGCGACTCAACGCGCCATAGGCCAGAGGCCATCACGGGCTGCAGGACTTCCCAGGGCCACAGAGTCATCAGAACACCTAGACCCCGCCTCCCACCCCCATCCTGCCCGTTCCCAGCCCAGCCCAGCCGAGGCTGAGGCTCCTTCCAGCATCCTCAGGCCCACCTGCAGCAGTCCCAGGAGCTGCTCCTGCTGCCTCGCCTGCCGGAGCGCATCCCCACACTCTGCCATCTTGCGGTTCAGCTCTTCCCACTTGCTGCTCAGGCCCTGGAGCACAGCCTGCACGTCCTCCTGGGCATGGCACCCGCTGCTCAGCAGCTCTGTCCCGGCCTGCAGTGGAGACAAAGAGCAGAGCTTTTTGGAGCTGCAGCAACCGCAGCCGAGAGGCAGAGGTGGGGTGGCCAGCTGTGAGCTACATTCCTAGGCTGCATGGCTCAAGCTGTTCCTGTGACCCCAAATCTGTGGGCAGAGGTGGGAGGGCTTTTCTTTGATGCCACAGAAGTAGTACAGGGTGAGCAGTGCCTGGCGTGGGTGGCTGGGGAAGGCTGTGTTCAGGGCGAGATGGTGGGACTTGAGAGAAAGACAATGGAAACTTTCTGGGCGGGTTTGGATGTCAAGACCAGGGGCTTCCTGGCTGAGCAAAGGGGGAGCTAGGGCACCCTAATTCTGTGATAACTGAGGCTGAGTCTTCCTTCAGTGGGTGTGTCCCATGAAATACGCCATTGGGCTGGGGTTTGAAGACGAGTAGGTCCACACTCTGCCCAGTGTTCCCCACCTGCTGCAGCCGCTCCACGTGCCCACTGGATGCCAGCAGCTCCCTCTCCACTGCTGCGTGCCACCTGAGCTTCGGCGGGATGCGGCTGGGCTGGTAGGGGGGCTGCTCTGCCACCACCAGCCCCTTCTCCTCCAGCCACAGCATCAGCGCTGCCACATCCTGCTTCCATTCCTGCTCAAGAACCAGAGAAAGTGGGTCTCACAGACCAGGGGTGGGGAGGGAGTCTCAGAGACCCCCCTGGAAAGACCAGAACCCAGAGCCAACTCTGGGGTGCATGAGAGGTGGGGCCTGGGGTTACTGCTACCAGGTGGGGCCAGGGGAAGCTTGAGAGGGGAACATTGCGGAGTCAGGGCCTAGGCTCCACGGCATCGTGTACCCGGAGAGAAGGAACCCCTACTACTCCCACCTGCGTCTGAGGCCATCTCTCTCCAAACAGGCCTGTAGTGTGGCTTGGCCCTGGTCTGAGGCCTTCTATGGTTCCAACAAATACCTGACAAAGCCAAGGTCTAGAGCTCGGCGCACGCCAGAACCAGAGTGTGGCCAGAACTAGGGGAGCAGCCAGATGAGAAAGGGTGAGGGATTTAGTCAAGAAGCCAAAGATTTGGCTCCAGCTCTGCCTCAGCAAGCCTGCGGCCTGAGCCTCCACTTTCCTCATCTGGAAACATCAGAGGCACAGAGGTGCCGTGAGGGTCTAGGACACAACAGGCGAGAGCACGCTGTGTACGCTGTGAAGTTCCCCACAGCGCACTGGCGTCCATACACAGGGACTAGGCGCTCCCCTTGGGGAGCCTGCCTGCACCGGGCCCTCACCTGGAGCTGGAGGGAAGCCAGCAGCTGTCTCCGCCTCTGTTCACTCCTCCCCTGGACCGCGGTCCACTGCGCCTGGGTGCGCTGCAGCTGCTCTCTGACTCTGGAGGGCAGGAGGAGGGGGACAGCGTGTGGGGGACACTCTACTGACCCCCAAAGATGCGGCCTACCATGTAGGATGCACACCTCAGCCTCACTCCCCGCCTACTCTCCTAGCCTCAGGGCACCAGCCGGGCAGTCTGAGGAAGAGCAGGCGCACCTGAGAGCTGTGGGGGGTTGGCTTTGAGCCAGCTTCTGCCCACGGGCCTGCAGAGCCTCCATCCGAGGACCCAGGGAATCCAGGAGCTTCCCAAACTCGTGGTGCCGCTGCAGTAGGAGCTGGGCCTCCCCCACATCTTCCTGGGCGCCCAGAGATAGGCCGTCAGTGCCCGGGCGCTTCGGGAGCAGCACCATCTCACCCGCTGCAGGCACAGGGGCCTCCCGCCCAGCCTGCCTTCTGGGTCCACGAAGAGCTTCCTCCAGTGCCGGGGAAGCAGCAGCCCAGAGGTGCATCCCGGCCCCTACCCCAAGCTGAGTCAGCTGCAGGAAGGCCCCGTGGCTGGCACAGGTGGCAGTGAAACCGTCCACTTCTCGGCTAAATCTCTGCAGCTCCTGCTCCTCCTGCAGCCGCTGCTTTCTCTGCTCCCAGGCAGCCTTCAGCTCCTGGCCTTGCTGCCCAAGGAGACTCAGAGTGCTGGTCACCTCTCGGGACTCTGGGGAGTCCAAGGCTGCCACGAGCTGGCCGTGAGCCTCCAGTTGCCGCAGCCTGGCCACAAGGACAGACAGAGGGTCACACCTCTTCCTCTCCCCTCACCAGCCTCTTCCTCGTTTGCCTCCAGGGTCAGTCATTTTGCAGCCTGACGTGAGGTTGACCGGCAGGGGCTGTGAGGCAGGTGAGCCTAGCTGGCTTGGTCACTCTGTGGGCTAGCTCTGCCCCGGGGACTAGCGTGACACTGAATGCAACAGGCCAGACCAGTGTCAGGACCCAACAGGGCCCGAGCTCCTTGTCCCAGCTGGCCACGCCAATGGTTGATGCCCCGGCCAGGAGGTGCACTGCACAGCACAGAGAAACGACTCAAATGCCATCCGTGCCTGACTGCAGGGAACATGAGCCCATTGGAGACTTGGGCAATGAGAAAGGGCATCCCTTTTAGCTGCGGGTGGCCCAGCGGCACACAGCCTAGGAACAGCTCATGCCTATGTGTGAATTAGAACGAGGCTCCACTTCCTTGGAGCATCAGAGCTGATGCAGCCCTGAACTAGGAGTCTGAGAAGATGGGACGGATTTCAGTGCCCACTTGGCCATCTGCCAGGCTCTCCGGTGTGTGGTGTGATCTACCGGTTGTATCAGGGCCCCTGCCAGGTGGACAGGCCTGTACATTACCCCACGGGAGGAGAGGCATCACCACACTGAGGAGGTGGGCATCTCAGCCCCATGCTGTTGCCTCCAAGGGCAAGTGGGGTCTACATTGCCCAGAAAAGCTGGAGAGGCAAGGCTGTCCTGACAACAGCAATCAGGCTCACCGGGATAGCATGTGGCCCAGCCTGGACTGGATAGAACCTTCCAGGCAGTTCAGTCTTTGCCTTGGCTCTCCCTGAAGTACGCAGAACAGCTGACCCAGTCCAGGTTCCAGCCACCTGCCTCAAAAGCACTATGCCTGACACCAGCCCGGGCCCCCCGGGCCCCTCCCTGAGTGATACACTGCTTTTGGCCTCCCCCTTTCTAGTGTCCCCATCTCTGAGGGTCAAACGTGTTCAAAATGTGCCCTGTACACCCTCCAGTCCTGACCTCTCCTGCTGCAGGTGGATCTCCTCCAGCAGGTCTCCGTGCTGCGCCAGTAGCTGTTGGGCTGAGGCCACATCCCCCGCCTCCTCCTCACTGTGCAGCTGAGCCTGGACGCCCTCTGTCCACAGCAGCAGCCGCCGGCTTTCCTGCAGGAAGCTCTGCTGGGCCTGAGCCTCAGCCTGGACCTGGGCGAGGTGGGCCACTCTCTCCCGCACTTGCTTCAGCAGCCCCTGCAGCGCCTCCACCTGTTCTCTCAGGGACCGGCTGGCGGCTGGGCCTGCCTTCTCGACTCTGGGAGACAGGCCCACCATCCAGCTGGCACCCAGGTGGGGCCCCCAAGGAAAGTGATGGTGACTCAACTCCCACCTTTCTTGACCTGGAGCAGCAAGCACATGGGGCTCCTCCTTCTCCCATGAGCCTTTTCTCATGGTTCCCTCCTCCCCTGCCCATCCCCTCTCTCCCCCGCCTTTCTGTCCCTTCTTCCTTCTGTAATACCGCCCAGGCCTTTCCTCCCAGGTTATCACCATCCTGCTGTATCGGGGTCATACTTCATGGCCACACTTTCCAGGTTGTGGATGCTCCTCTCCAGGGCTGGCATCTTCCACTGGGCCAGCTTCAGGACACGGGGGCTGTGCCCTGAGCACCCTGGCTCCAGGGTTTCCAGCTGGAGTAGCAAATCTTGCAGTTGGACCTGTGTGGGTCCGCATTCCTGCAGGAAACTGCACACATCCACTGTGCATGCCAGCTGCAGCTCCTTCTCTTTCTTCAGGGCCTCCAGCTGCCCCCACCTGGCCAGAGGTTACAGGGATGGTTCCACCACGCGCTGCTTCCCTGTCCACCCTGGGGCCTTGGCCAGAGCCTCCCACAACAGAAGCTGCCAGGCTGGCCATCCCCATGGTCTCTCCTCCCTGTCTCTGGCATGGCCAGTCCTTCCCTTGGCCTCTCCGGAGGCAGGTGTGCAGGTTCAGGCCTGGGCACTATGTCTGGCCTGTACCCAGAACCTGCAAGCCCGCCTTATTCTCACCTCCTCTTCAGTTCCTCCTGCCACTGCTGGATTTTGGTGGCGTCCCCAGGACCTCTCTGCTTTAGCTGCTCAGCGGAGCTTCTTATCTCTGCCCAGTGGCCCTTCCCCACAGCCAGGGCAGCAAGGAAGTTCTGGGGAAAGAGGACCCAGGTCTTGAGGGGCCTTTTTTCTCTTCCCACAGTGCCTTTGAGACTACAGATGACCCCTGACAGGCTCTGCTGTGGAGAGCATCCCTCTGCACACTGCATCCCTCTGGAAGGACAGGGTCAGTGTCCTCACAGCGCTGGGAGGGCTCTTTAGACACTTAAGACCAGATCCCAGCTCCCCAGGCAGAACCCCTTCAACTCTGAGGGGCTAGTACCTCATATTTGAGCTGCATGGCCTCCAAGTTGTCAGCCTGGGGCTGCACTGTTTGAAGCAGCAAAGTCTGGTTCTCTAGCCAGGACTGGAGCTCCCCACACAGGTCAGAGAAGTCAAACAAGGCCACAGCCTCTTGCAGCTGGGCCTGCCGGAGCTGCGGAGAGACCAGCCTACAGGTGAAGGTCGGCGCCCCACAGGGCACTCAGGTCCCCATCACCCCTGCACCCCTCAACCCATACCAGCAGAGGCCCCACAATAGTGGTGCCTGTCCCATTACTGGGCCCAGTGCCCATATGAGAGGTCACGGGGAGGGAGCTGGCAAGCACTGAGGGGGTGGTGGGGTAAAGGGTCTGACAAGCACGTTACACTCTGTGCCATGGGGCCTGCCTCCTCCTGCCACCCGCCTCCTCCCCAGGCCCCCCTCTAACTTCTCCCTATCCCCAGCTGCCTCTGTGCTCCAGGCCGTCCCTCTTCCACTGGGCCTCGGGCCCTCCTTTGCATGGGTGCAGCATGGTCTCCCTGCCATCTCCCCAGTTTTGCCCACACTCCGCTACTTGCTCAAGTCTCAGCCTTTCCTTTCCTCAGAGATGCCCTCCCCGGCCTGGCTGGCCTCCCTCTCTACGCTCCCATCACACCCACATCCACTTCGTGACTTGGCCCGCGTCTCCTCTGCTGTGATGAAAGCTCCTTGAGGGCAGGGGCACATCGAGTCACTGCTCTGTCCCTGGGTTCAAGGCGCGGGGTCTCGCACAGGACAAGTGCTCCCTGAACAAGTCTTTAGCGAGGAGCATTACCTCTGCCAGGGCCCGTAGGGCCTCGTAGTCCTGGCTCAAGCGGGCCTGTGTCTGAAGTATGGTGTCAGGGTCAAAGTCGGGGTCAGGCTCAGCTGAAGGGGTCATCTTCCAGGTGCCCCAGGGGCCAGAGTGGCAAGAAGCCTCAGACCAGGCCCCTGGGTTCCTCCGGCCTTCCCTTGGAGAGCTCAGGGCAGGCAGCACCTGTGCTGACAGAGGGCAGCGTGTCAGGGGCTCCCCCCAGCAGCAATGGCCTCGACAGGGTGGGGCCAGAGGTCATACCTGGGGCTCCTGCTCCTTGACAGGGCTGGGGGGTGCCTCCCAGTCCTTCGGCTCCCAGGCTTCAGGGCCCGTCTGGTGCACTGGCTCTGGGGCCTTTCCTGGCAGCCAGCTTGTCCCTAGGGCAATTTTGGGACTGCTCAGGCCCTGCTTTTTTGCTCCACCCAGAAGCTTGCCAGAGGGGGTAGGTGGGGGGAGTATTTGTGACTCGCTGCTTCCCTTGCTAGCCTTGGGCACTGGGCAAGAAGGCTGGACCCCCACTGAGGGGCCTGTGATCTTCTGAGACCCGAGCAGGACATAGGGTGAGCAGATGTGCCTGCTACGGCTATCAGGGCGAAACGGCCAGTCTGTTAGAAAAGGTTTCAAGGACAAGGGGTGCCTCAGCGGGCCTCGCCAGAAGAGCAGCATTTGCTCTGGAGCTGGCGTGGATGGGGGTGCTTCTCATGGGGGGTGGGCGAGCACCTTGTCTCTGCCCTTCTGGGCATCTGGCCCCAGGCAAGGGTCAGACAGAGCAGGAACAGTCAGGCTGGCTCAGCATTGGGCTGAGGGGACTGAAGAGAAACAGGTACAGACACAGACTGGAAGGGGAGAAAACAAAGACGTAGGGAGCGGGAGGAGGAAGACTCAGAATTTCAGGCAGCTCCAAGTCCCTCTTTCTTCAGAGCCCAAAATGGCCTTCCTGCATCCTCATCTTCAGACTGTGGATGCCTCAGGGAGCTACACAGAAAAACCTAAGCCCTTTATTCATGACAGCATGTTCGGGCTCACACGGGCCTGGGCCTGTACCTCGGCAGATGTGGCACATCTGGTCCTGTGGGCGTGGGTGCCGGCTGCCCGAAGCTGTGAAGACTTGGGTCCCGGTGATGCCCTCACCAGCCCTGCTCCAGCCTTCCGGGGACTCCCTCTACGGAGGAAGTCTGTGTTTAGTGGCCAAAGTGGCTCCTGCCCCTAGTGTAAGGGGTTCCTTTGCACCCCCTATCCAGCACTACTGGGCAAAGCAAGGATCTGAAAATGCCAAGGAGCAGGCACACCCCTCCAGCAATGCCAGGGCTGGAGGACAGTGGAGGACACAGAATAAGGGGGAGGCAACTCCAAGTCACCTGTTTAAACAACTCAACTGAAGAAGCCGCACACAGCAGGAGGGCGTGAGGCAGCATGTTAAGATGATGCGAGCTGGGGTTAAACACATGGTGAGGGATGAGGGCGAAACGGCCAGGAGGGCAGCTGGGGGGTCTCCCCCACAGGGCGGGTCCCTGGGAGTCATCTGGCCTCTCTGAGCCTTCGTTAGCTCCCTGCCGAGCGAGGGCGCTGGACCAGACAGCCGCTCACAGGCCGTGGATCTGTTTTCATAACCCGCTAGTTCTGTGGCCCCGGGAAGACGAGGCGAAAGGGAGAGAATGACCTCGGCTGAGCTGGCACCACAGGGGTTCTGACCTGGTCATGCCGGGTGCCACAGAAATGGTCAGTGCAGGCGGGGACGGAACCCAGCAGCCTCATTTCCACCCAGCGGCTGACTTCCCAGCCAGGCCGCCTCCCTGACAGGAGGACCCGAGTTATAACTCAGAGGGTGCGCGGGAAGTGGCTGGGCACAGCCCTGGGTCTGGGGCATGGAGGGTCCTCCGGGATGAGGATGGAGGAACCAGGGATTTACAGGAGTTATACATCTGAGTTGCGCACAGTGTCTGGAAAGGGGGCTGCAAACCCTGCACGTGTTTTTTAAAAAACTGGGTGGTGAGTGAGCTGATGGGTGGATCAGGAAAGCAGTCTGAAGTGGTAACTAGGTCACCCCAGACCTACCAAGGCCCCGTCAGGAGAGAGTCAAACAAGGCTTAAGGGTGAAAGGTTACCCGAGGGCTGGCTGAGAAAGTAGAGACCTTCCTGGAGGAAACTGATTATCACCTGACAGCTGAGCAGAGAGGGAAGCCACCCCTGCACCTTGGCCCACACCCCGCGATTAGAGCTGGCACAGACTGTACTTGAAAGACCCACACCTCTGGGCTGACAGGACCCCACTAACTCCGGACTTGGGCAAGGTGAGAGGTTGCTTAGGAAGGGGTGGGGGTGGGGAGTGAGCGCCCCCCCCCCAAGTCAAGGGATGGTTAAGATTCCAGGAACAGGGGCCACAGAACTCCCCCTGTTCCACCCTGTGTGGTTATGAGACCCTGAGGCCACGGGCATGTTTGGCTCCAGAGGCCTGTGATTCTGGGTCGCCTTCCAGCACCTAGTACTTACCCTCAAGGTGAGCGCTGCCCTGGTGGCTGCCCGAGCCTGCTGGTCCAGCCAACCCAGCTCCTCAGCAAAGGCGCAGACTGAGCTCTCCAGCCGCAGGTGACTCTGCAGCAGGGCTTGGGCCGCCAACGGGTCCTGCTCGCAGGGTGCCCTCTCCAGCCCGGACCGCTGCGCACACAGCCACGCCGCCGCCTCCGCTGCATCAGCCAAGTACTGCAGGTGGAGAGCAGGCTGGGAGTTTGTGGGGGGCTAGAGGGGTGGGACGCTACTGGTCCAGCCACAGCTGCCAGGTCCCGCTACCTGCTGAAGGAGCAGGGCTGCATGAAACCGGACTCCCCGACCGGCTGCCCAGGCCCGGAGCTGCTGCCACGCGCCCTGCACCGCCTCGGCTTGCTCTCGGGGGTCTGGCTGTATTGGGGGCCCGCGGGCCGCTAGGTCGTAGGCCGTCCGCATTAGAGGGGCTAACACAGCCTGGTGGCTGTGTAACTCAGCTTCCAGAACCTGGGAGAGCAGAAGTGCAGAAGTGAGGGGACAGAGTAGGTGGGCAGGGAGGTGGGGACTTGGGCGACGGCAGGCACCTTGTGTTTCCGCAGGGCCACTGCGCTCTCACTGAGACTCTGGCCCAGGGCCACGTTCTCCATCAGCTCTCTGCGCGTCCTCAGCCAAACTTCCTCCTCCTCACAGCTGTGCAGGAATTCTGCCCTCTGCAGGCTCAGCTCCAGCTGGGCCCTCCTGAGGAAAAACAAGGCTTGCTGAGTGGGGTCAGACACTCCCACTTAGGAGTTTTCCCTGGATGACTCTACATAGAAGACAGAGGCCTTAGCAGTGAGGGTCAGTGAAGAGGAAGTTGCCAAGCCAGCGATCTTTTAACCTGGGCAGGAGGAAATTTGGATCCCAGAAAAGTTCTGCAGAAGGCAGGGCAGTTAGGGTGGGCTCTTACCGGGCCCTGACAAGAGCCCCTAGGCTCTGGTGGAACTGCAGCAGTTCTGGGGCCTTGGCCTGCAGCGCCTCCACACTGACGCCCAGAGAGGAGTCCAGCCCCACAGTCTGGTGGGCAAGGCGGTTCACATGGGCTCTGTGGGCCGAGACCTGGGCCTCCAGCACCTCCTGCCCCTGTAGCAGTGCCGCCACCTCTGCCAGCTGCTGCCCACAGGCTGGGGAACTGGCCAGCACCTGAAAGGGATAAGTGGTCACTGCAATCCTGAAGAGCTGGGTCTCCATGGGTGCCAGCACATCCTGCTGTCCAGGGCCCACCTGCAGCTCCTTGAGCTGGTTGGAGACAACCTCAACCTCCTGCAACAGGCTCAGCACAGCCTGCAGGCCTGCCACCTGTTTCCTCTGCCCTTGGAGACGTTGAAGGAGCTGCTCCCAGCGCTGGGTGATCTCCAACTGCCTGGAGGACAGGAGAATAAGGGTGGTCTCCACGGGGCTGGGGCAGGGATGTTGCCTTGGGGTTTCAGCTAGTGGGGAGACTTGGATGCCCTGGTGGAGCCCAAGCTAGTGGGCAGAGTGTGTGGGCCTGAACAGCATAGCTTGGGGTACATAGGGCATAGCTTGGGGTGCATAGGGCAGGCTGTCCCTACCGCTTAGAAACAGGCAGTGATCCCAGAAGGGCCTGGAGGTTTTGGCCTTCACAGTGCCCCCTAAACTTCTTTTCAGTCCCTTCCTCAGTGGATGGCAACTCCAACCTTCTAGGTACTCAAACTAAAATCTTGTTAAGTCACTTTCTCATACCCAGCATCTGATCTATTGCACCCATGGGTTACCAATCCTCTTGGATTCAGAATTCATTCAGACCCTCACCATTTCTCATCACCTCTATTGCTTCCCCGGCCTGGATGGTAGCCACAGCTGGGTGACTGGTCTCTCTGCTTCTGCCTTTGCCCCTTTAGTCTATACCCTGCCTGGCACCCAGAGTGATCATCATGAAACAAAAGTTAGATTGTGACCCTCCAGTGATTCCCCATCTTTTTCTGAGTAAAATCCAAATAATGGGCCTCCCCAGTCATGCAGCGGGTTGAATGCGGAGCTTTGAAGATCTCCGCAGCTTCTGCAGCGCAGGTTCAATGCCAGCCGGCCAGGGAGATACCCACATGGCATGGCAGACTCACCCGCTGCTCCCCTCAGCAATGTATTTCAGTCAGTCTGCCTGTTCCCTGCTCTGTCTCTGATGAATCCTCTCACCCTCCCACGTCTTTGGCCTGTACCCCAGTTCTTGTATAAAAGTAAATAAATATTTTTTTAAAAATCGGTAAAAAAAAAAATCCAAGTTGTTACTGTGCCCTGGGGGTTTCAGCGTGACCTATGCCCCCATTTTTTGCATGCACCTCCCTGACTTCAACTGTGCCTTGCTCACTTTGGCCAATACTGGCTCCAGGTTATTTTTCAAACAGGCCAGGCATGCGCCCACCTGAGGACACTGCCCCACCTGTTCCCTCTGCTCGTGCAGTCGGTCCCCATGTCCATACGGCCACTGCCCTCACTCCTTTCTGGTCTCTGCTCAAAAGTAACCCTCCTCTGGCCACCAATCTAACCCGCCCCCACCTTTCCCTGTCCGGTCACCTCTCCTGACTTACTCTCCTTTTTTAAAACCATGATCTCACATGCTAGATATTTTTTGTATCTAGCATTTTCCTCAGTAATGTGAAGTTCCATAAAGAGAGGGTTTCTGTTTGTCCTCATCATGCTAAGTCTCTGGCAGCCAGGACTGTGCTTGGGACATAGTAGTCACTCAACAAATGCTTGTTTGGTAAATGAATGAAGATCCAACTACTTTACCAAAGGGGTAAAGTATGGGTGGTGGAATTTCAGGCATCAGTGGGAGCTGGATCTTCTTAAAGGGATACCTGAACCCAAAAATAACCCCTTTTCTCTGTGAACAGGAGTGGACATAGACAAAGACAGAGGTGTAGAAGGAAGGCCTTAGCCTAATTTGGGGGCGGTTCAAGTGCCCGGGTCTCACCTCTGGGCCACGCCGGCCCAGTCATGGTACTGCTCCTGCCGGAGGATGTCGGCTATCTCAGCCAGGGCCTGGAAGCGCCCGTCCTGGGGCAGGACACCTGCCTCCAGCATGCCCAGCCTCTGGGCAGCTGCTTCCACCGTGACTGGGCTGGCCGGCAGGGCTGCAGCCTGGTCCAGCACCTGCTCTGTGTTTGCCAGGAAGTTCTCCCTGAGGGCTGCCTTGCGCTGGAAGCGCCGGGCCAGAGTTTCCAGCCGCTCTAGCTGCAATAGCCTCCGCTGCAGGGCCTGGCTCCGCAAGGCTTCTGCCCGCTCCAGGTCTGCCCAGCGCTGGGACAGCACCACAGGGCCCAGGCCCTCCCGAGGCAGGAAGGGCCTGCGGTTCTGGGCCCGGAGTGCAGTCTGCAGCCGGAAGAGTAGGGCCTCCGCGGCTCCTCGCTGGTGCAGCCGGGGTGGCTTCTCCTGAGCGCGGAAGGAGGCAAAGGCTGCCAGTAGGTGGCGCATGGCTGGCACGGCGTCGGGGAAATCCCTCGCCTCCAGCTGGGCCTGCGTCTTTGCAACCCAGCACAGCAGGTCGGTCGCCAGCTGCTCGTACTGGGCCTGCAGCTCCTCTGTCTCCTGGAGCTGCCGCAGGGTCTGGTGGAGGACATGGGAAGGGCTCAGGCCTGGAATGGGGACGCTCTCCTTTTGGGCACTGAGCCAGGGCAGGGGTTACCGCCAGTTCCCAGCCAGGGTTGCCCAGCTGGGCAGTAACTCCTTCCTGTAGCTGAGGATGCTCTGAAGTGGGGGCCCTCCCAGCCCCGAGAGGAGCAGGTCTGCCTGTATTGCCCACTCAAACTGAGGGTGTGGGGGGCTCCCTCGGTCTTATTTCACCCCATTTGGCCTCATCTCTGGGGGTTGAGGCACATAAGGCTGTTCTTTTTCCGAGCCTGCTCTTCCTCCCCTGAGGTCCCGTCTCCCCTAAAGCAGTTCAGAGCCCTTGGTCTGACTCAGTGCGCCCCATGCTCAGCTGAGACACCAACCCTGAGAGCAGCTGCCCCTCGTCTCAGCCGCACCAGCATGCCCACAGTAAAGGGAAGCCCCAGACCCGGGCTCGGCCCAGCCCAGCCGCTTCAGACACTCAGTTCTCAAAGCCTTTTTAACCCCATGAGGAGTTTAACCACCTGCGAGAAGAAGGGCGGGCAGGGGCTGTAGGGGACGCAGCCCACCCGACTTTCCCTGCTGCCGGGCACTGTGCTCACGCGGCCTGCTGCTGCGCTGGTGCTGCCATCTCCACTTCACAGCCAGAGCACAGCGAGGGGGGGTGACAAGGCCAAGGCCACACAGCTAGGGAGTGGCACAGGCAGGCACCAAACCCAGGTATGCCTGACTCTGGAGCCCAGGCTCACCGCCCCCTCACCTGGACGCCGCTTTCCCTTTATCACCAACCTTAGCGAGTCTCCTCTGGAGAGTCTGCCCCTGGTGCAGGCGGGAGAAGTGGTGGTAGTAGAAGGAGATGTAGGTCATGATGGAGCGCTCATCGGGCTGTGGGGCCGCCATGTCTTCGGGGTCCAGCAGCTGAGCAATGCCCAGTTCCTGCTCAGCCACTCGGAAAGCAAGGCAGAGGTTGTGCAGAGGCCGGTCGGGGTGCAGAGAGTGGTAGTCCAGCAGGTCTGGCCTGGACAGAGAGCAGGCAGGGCTCCTCAGCAGAACAATCTACTGCTTTTGTAAGAGTGTGGTCCCCAGGAGAAGGTGAGGGTGGAGCTGAGCAGGGAGGAGAAGCTGCAGAGGAGACTGAGAAGGGAGGAAGCAGGATGGAGCCAGGAGGAGACCTGGAGGAGGCATGTGGAGCAGAGAGACATGTGAAGAAACTGCGCTTGCCTTTTGGTCCTGGACTGGGTGACACAGATGTGGGTGAGAGACCCGTGGGGAGGTGACAATGGCAGCTTTTATCTTGATTTCGGCTTTGCTCTTTTCCCTCAGACTTGTCTTGTTGTTTCTGACCCTTTTCTGTGGGTCCCTGCCGAAAAGTGCTTTAGAATCGTGGCAGGTTTTTGGGCCTTGCTCTGGGCCAATCCTCTTTGGCTGGACATTTACACACGAGGGGATGGGTAACTCTGGGTGCCAGCTTTAGAAACTCTATTCTTTGTCTTGTCTGTATCGCACACTAACTGTATTAAAGTTCCTTTCCATTGAAGGTCTTATATGTTCTGTCTTAATGCAGCAGATGGCAGAACCTATTTAGAGCAGGCAGGTTTGGGGGTCCTGGGGTGTCCCTCTCCCTGCCCTGTAACACTTTGGTTTAGGTAGACTTGTTAAAAATGCAGACAAGCTCCAATTGGTCATTTACACCAAAAGGCAGTTATACTTGCTGTGAACCAGCTGCCCCCTGCCAGTCCTCTGAGACCCTGGTTTGAGGAATGGGGCTCTGATAGGGGGTAAAGCTGATTGGCTCAGGGGCCAGGCCCCAGGGTTGGGGAAAGCTCCCAAAGAGCAGGCACTTGCCAGGGAGAAAACTAAGAAGAGACAAGAGGGACAGAGAAAGCGGAGAAAGGCAGGTCAAAGGCAAAGCAGGCCAACTCCATGCAATTTCCTAGGACAGGTAGGGAGAGGATGGTCATGGAGCAGGGCCTCAGGTAGCAGCCCTCTGTATTTCTGTGCCCATTCCCGTCCTTAGGGTACAGGGGCGAGAGGGGTGTGGGGGAAGGGGCAGGTTAAGAAGCAAGCCCTGGAGCACCAGACTCAGTGGAGGAGGCCTCTAGGAAGAAGGCTGAGGCCTGCCTCAGGCCAGGTCAGGGCAGGGGATGCTGGGTGTGGTTCCCTCATACATACCTGTGGGCGTGGATGAGCGCCCCAAAGCCAAGCCCGTCGCTCCAGCTGCGGGAGAAGTCAGTGATATTGACGTTGGCATAACTGGCTGTCTTCCGCTGGCACCAGACCAGCAGAGCTTCCTTGGTGGACAGCAGGACTGCACTGGCCCCAAACTCCTCCTGGCAGGACAGGCTGTGGGTCACCATGCAGGGCCAGGGGTTGGGGGGACACAGAACCTGCAGGTCTCAAGGGCCCGGCATGATTTTGATTCGCTCCCCTACCTAAAAGTGGGTGCTGACTCCCCTCTTTTCAGAGAAACTGGTTTTGGGATTTTATCTATGGTGGGTAGAGATTGGGGATGAGAGAAATTGTCTTTCTAAGGAAACCGGGTGCTTAAAAGCTGTCATCTCCAAGCAGCTGGCTTTGAGCTGCACCTGGTGACAACAGCAGCAGTGGCTCCTGTCTCTCTGTCTGCGGCATTGTGCTAAGTCACCCTGGGTGCACACAGTCGCGAACGGCCTGCTCCCCATCCCCCCGTACAGGCTTTCTGCCTCCCAGGCGCCGGCCTGTGCACCGTGGCTCTCCTACCACGCGGCTACTATTATATTCACATCCTGGGATGACATGACCAGGTGCAGGTCCCGCCACTGCTAGGGGGAGGGGCCCCCACCTGAGTGCGAGCCCATCTGTACCACCTCCATGGCTGCCTGAGGGCAGAAGTGCTGTTTCTTCAGGCTGGTGAATGACTCTATCTGGTTCCAATCCCCATCCCTGCTTGTTCCTTTAATACCATCTGTTCTGCCACCCCTGGCCTCCCACTGCCTTCTAGCCCCAGTCCCTGTCCTTCTCAAGGCGGTGTTCTCTCCTTCCATCCACTCCCTCCCTTACCCTCACACCCCAAAGGCTCCCTTCTGCTCCCCCCTTCTTTATTCTCTCCTATGTTCTCCTCCCCACCAATTCCTGTTTATAAACTCAAAATGTGCAAGCACTGCAGCCTGCATTTCCTCCCCTGCCCTTTGGGCCCCAGAGCTTGGGTAGGAAGGACCTAGAGGCAGCAGAGCGGGGAGGGATGGGGTAAGGTGGAGGGGAGGGGGCCCCCAAGGCCTGGGGACCAGCCTCTGGCACAGTGAGGCTACCTGGATGCCCCGAGCAGCTGGGCTGGGCTGGCAGATGCTAACTGGGAGAAATTTGGTGGATGGGCAAGGCAGGGAGTGGGGGCAGCCTGGCCGCAGGCGCTTGCAGGGAGCAGGACCCGCGATGGCTGCAGACAAGCAGCGCCACAGGGAGGAGGGTGGCTGGCCAGCCAGTGAGGGAGACCTGCTGCCCTCCAGGAGAGAGAGGCAGGCACGGCCGGCCCTCCGCGGGCGGAGGAGGGTAGTGTCGTTTGCTGGGCGGGCTCGCTGTCAGAAAGTCACCCGTCCTTTGCTCACACGGGGGCCTTAGGCGCTGTGGACACAGGCGGGCAGGCGCCCTGCTCTCGGGGGCTCACAGCCGCGTGGGGAACTCAAGGGCCCTTCTGGACGGGAGCCGTGTCTGTGACTTCTTCTCACGAGGCCTTCTCCAGGGTGGCTTCCCTAGCCTACTGGAATGCAGCCTTAGGTGATGTTTTGGAAACCATTAAGCTATGAAAATTGATCAGTGTCAGGACTGTATGTTTTTGCTCTTTCTTTTTTTTAAAGATTTATTTATTTATTTATTTATTTATTTATTTATTTATTTATTTATTTATACAAGCACTGGGCACAGTCAGAAGCGCAGGAGGGTGAGAGAATTCACCAGAGCCAGAGCGGGGAGCAGAACAGGCAGAAGGACAGAAGTACACTGCTGAGGGGAGCAGCGGGCGGCAGGAGAGGTCTGCGCGCCATGTGGGACCCTCCTCCGGTGGCCGGGGAGCAGCCAGGGATCGAACCGGCGCTGCGGTTTGAAGCTGCGGGCAGCTTCGCAACCCAGCGCTCAACCGCTGCACCACCGGGGAGGCCCTGTTTTTGCTCTTTCTGACACAATTGTAGGAAAATAAGACATAGAAAGGAAGAATATGGGGGAGCATCTCTTTGGTCTTCAGGATCCTGGGGATGAGGGAACCTCCAGGGTGGGATGCCCTCATATGTTTAATTTCCCCCAATTAGGTACAATGAAACTTACAGGTTTTCAGTACCCATGAGGGAACAATAAATTGGATGTGACAGGCAGGCGCTGGGGAGTCACCCTGACCCCTCACCAGGAAATGACTGTCTCAGAGCAGGTTGAAAGCCCATGAGTCTGGGCCTCCCTGGCGGTGCAGGCGGTTGAATAAGCACAGTGCTATGAAGCTGTTCGCAGCCTCTGCAGCACAGGTGTGATCCCGGCCGGCCGGGGAGCTACCCACATGGCGCAGCAGACCTCTCCCGTCTCGCCCGCTGCTCCCCTCGGCAATGTATGTCAGTCAGTCTGCCTGTTCCATTCCCCGCACTGTCTCTGGTGAATCCTCTCACCCTCCCACACATCTGGCCTATACCCCAGCTCTCATATGCGTGAATAAATAAATCTTTAAAAAAAAAAAAGAAAGCCCATGAGTCTGTTTCTCACTTCAGCATATCACAGTCTCTGACAGTCTGGCTTCCTGGCTATGGCTGAACAGTGGGTACTGCCCGCATGATGCCAAGGATCTACTGCAGGGATCAGAGAAGGCAAGGGGAACAGCCCTGTCCCTAGGGAACTAGGTGAGGCCAGGGCCGGACTGGGCTGGATAACTGGGCCCTGGGCACTGACATACCCTGTCCAGGGAGATGTGAGAGATCTGGAAACGTAGAATGATGACCCAGATCAGTCCCAGGATGAGCGTCTGGTCTCCATCCACGATGTTCTCTGGCCCAATGAAGGGTATTGTCACCTGTGGGAATAGTTGGCTGTGCTCAGCCCTGAGGCCTGCAGGAGGCTGACGGTTAGATGGGAGGGTCCTGGGATCCCTCCTCTAGCCAGGAAACCCCTAAGGCAGAGGCAGGCAGGGCACAGGATTGGTCAAGTGAAGGCTTTCTAAGTGGTTGGGGCTTTGGTCCCAAGCTCACCTGGGTCAAGTTCCAATCTGGTGAAATGGGGTCAACCCTTGGGCTGGCAAGACTCCGCCTATGTAGGCGACAGGTGAACCCAGACCAAGGTCAGTGGTTCAGTTATGGGCCATGGAAACAAGGACACTCGATAGCAAGATGTGTGCTCAAGTGACAACAGCAACTGTTTACCTCCACCTCACACAGTCTCCAGGGACTCCCTGGGTCTCTGACTCATACTCGAATCTCAGTTGTCTTCATCAGTGTTCCATATCCTATTAAAAACCTAGACTCGAGCGGTGGTTCAAGATGGTGATGTAGCAAGTTACTGGATTCAACTCCCATGGACACACCAAATATACAGCTATATATGGACAAATTCTTCTGGAAAAATATCTGAGAAAGAGCTGAACAGCTCCTCCACCCTAAGGGACAAAAGGACATGGGCATCCCTGGTGGTGCAGGGGTTAAGTCTCAGCACTATGAAGCTATCAGCAGTCACTGCAGCACAAGTTCGATCCCCGGCCAGGTGTGGGTTCGATCCCCACCCACATGGTGCAGCAGACCTGTCCTGACTCGCCTGCTGCTCCCCTCAGGGGTGCTTCTGGTCCATCTGCCTGTTCTGCTCCCCACTGTCTCTGGTGAATCCTCTCACCCCTGCACCTCTGGCCTAAATACACCCCAGTTCTTGTATGCATAAATAAAAAAAGTAAATCTTAAAAAGACAGGAGGATGATATCAAAATGGGTTGGTGCAATAGAGATGTGGTCTTGCTGAGAAACGCCCCTCTCCAGATGCAGTGTGCCCAAGTTAGGAAACATCTGACAAATAGGCAGCTATCCTGAGAAATGAGGGTCATGTGCCCCATATCAGGTAATCCATTCCTTCCAATCTGCACTGGAGAGACAGGTTCCCCCAAACACCTAGCTTTTAAAGCCAATGGGGCTTGTGACCAGGAGACCCCAAAGGCAGTGGGGAACAGAGAGTCTGCTCATAAAGGACAAACACACAGACTCACTCATACCAGGACCCAGTGCAAAAGTAGCCATTTGAAAAGCATCCAAGTCATGAAAAAAGACTCATTAGTTAATTCAAAGTATCTCAGAGGCAAGGTTTTGCTGGAACTATGAGGATGGAGCCAGTGGCACACATTATTTTTGTACTTGCATGCCACCTTATGGCACCAGCTTTGGAGAGAGCCATGTTAGCATTCTCCTTATATTACTAGAGCCACTGGAGTCTCCATGCTCTCTCCCCTACTCCCAACACCAGCCTGCTGTGCTGCTGAGTGCAGCCAGGTTATCAACAGTCCCAGCGCTGGCTGTCTTGGCACCACTGAAGCCTGAGGCTCTCTTAGGGAATGCAGGCCAGGGATGCTACCTTTTAAAACATTTAAAAAAAATTTATTGATGAGTCCAGTAACTTGCTGCATCACCATCTTGAACCACCCCTGGAGTCTGAGTGTTGTTTTTTTTTTAAAGATTTATTTGTTTATGCATACAAGAACAAAAGTGGCAATAATAACTAAAACTATAGTAGTAAAAGAGACACAAAAGGATGTAAAATGTGAAATAAAAAACATAAGATCCAGGGGAGGAATGTAGAATTTTAGAATGAGTTCAAAATTAAGTTGCTATTACTTTGAGATAGAATGATATATAGAAAGGATGCTATATGTGAACCTTAGAAAAGAAAGAAAATCTCAGATCAAAATCCCCAATGAAGACAGAAGCAAAAATTCTCAACAAAATATTAGCAAACTGAATTCAATAATACATTGAAGAGGATCATATAAAATGAGCAAAAGCAATTCATTCCAATGATGGAAGGATGGTATATAATATTTGCGAAACAATCATGATATATCACAGCAACAAAATGTAGGAAAAAAATCCTATCAATGAATGCAGAAAAAGCTTTTGACAGCATTGGTGTGATAAAAATCTCTACAAAATGGGCATAGAGGCACTACATAGCTCAATATAACAAAAGTCATATGTGACAAGCCCACAGCTAACATTACATTCAATTATGAAAAGCTGAATGCCTTTCCTCTAAGATTGAGAATAATACAATGATTCTTACTCTCACAGCTTTTATTCAACATAGTCCTGCCCAGAGCAATTGGGCAAGGAAAAAAAAAAAAGGCAAAACAAATTAAGTAATAAATAAAAAGTATTCAAATTGGAAAGGAAGACGTGAAACTGTTACTATTTGCATATGACCTGATTTCATATAGCAGAAAATCCTGAAGAGCCCACCTAAAAAACTGTGAGATCTAATAAGTGAATTCAGTACAGTTGTAGGATACAAAATCAATATACAAAAATTGGCTCTGTGTCTATAACCAGGAATGAAGTATCAGAAAGAAAAATTAAGAAAACAACCCAATTTATGATGCATCAAAAAGAATAAAATATCTAGGGATAAGTGTAATCAAGTAAGTGAAAGACCTGTATAATGAGAATATTAATAAATTGAAGACAAAAAAATAGAAGGAATTCCATGCTCATACACTGCAGGAGTTAATATTGTTAAAACACTGACATTACCCACAGCAATCTACAGGTTCAGTGCAATCTGCACCAAAATTCCAATGGCATTTTCCACAGAAATAAACAACCCCAAAAGTTGCATGGAACCAGAGCCTCCCTGGTGGTGCAAGGGGTTAAGACGCAGCATTATGAAGCTATCCACAGCCACTGCAGCACAAGTTTGATCCCTGGCCAGGGAGGTGACCCACATGGCACAGCAGACCTCTCCTGTCTCACCCGCTGCTCCCCTCAGCAGTGTGTTTTAGTCAATCCACCTGTTCTGCTCCCCACTCTGTCTCTGGTGAATCCTCTCACCCCCCTACATCTCTGGCCTGTACCCCAGGTCTTGTATACACAAATAAATCTTAAAAAAAATTGTATGGACCCACAAAAGATCCCAAACAGCCAAAGTAATTTTGAGAAAGAAGAATAAAGCTAGAGCCTCCCTGGTGGCGCAAGGGGTTAAGATGCAACCTATGAATCTGTCCGCAGCCATTGCAGCATAGGTTCGATCCCCGGCATCATGTTCCCTGATTTCAAATTAGATTACAAAGTTATACTAATTGAAAACTTTTGGTATTAGCATTTAAACAAAGAAACATAGATCAATAAAACAGAAGCAAGCATAGAAAGGAATCTATGCATATACAGCAACTAATTTAGAACAAAAGAGGCAAAAAAATACAATGGGGAAAAGAATCTCTTCAATCAATGATATTGAGAAAACAGGACAGTCACATGCAAAAGAATGAAACTGGACCAGTATCTTACCTTCTACAAAAAAAAAAAAAAAAAAAAAAAAAGACGCAATGATTAAAGACAAGACTGTACAGCTGAAGCCATAAAATTCCTAGAGGGAAAAAACATATGCTCCTTGGCATTGGTGTTAGCAATATTTTTCTGACTCCAAAGACAAGGGCAACAAAAGGGACTATATGAAATTAAAAAGTTTTACACCAAGAAGCAAACCAGCAACAAAAAAGGAAAGCACAATCTACTGAATGGGAGAAGATATTCACAAATCCTGTATCCATAACGGTTAATATCTAAAATATACTAAGAAGTCACACAATTCAATTTTTAAAAATCAGATTTAAAAATAGGCTGAAGAAGTTAATAGACATTTTTCTAAAGAAGACTTACAGATGGCAAACAGGCACAGGGAAAGATACTCAATGTATCATCAGGGAGATGCAAATTGAAACCACTGTGAGTTATCATCTCACGTGTTGGAATCAATATCCTCAAAAGACAAGAAATAAGAAGCACATTAATTCCAAAGAGCACCTGCACCCCTATGTTTAAAGCAGCACTATTTACAATAGCTAAGCTTTGGAAACAACCCAAATACCCAAAAATAGATGACTGGATCAAGAAGATGTGGTCCATATACACCATGGAATATTACTCAGCATTCAAAAAAGATAAACACATGTAGTTTGCAGCAACATGGATGGCGCTGGAAGAGATCATGCTCAGCGAAATAAGCCAGAAAGAAAAAGAAAAATACCGGATGGTCTCACTCAGAGCAGGAATTTAGAAAACCTAAACAAGGAACCAGGAAAAAGACTAATTAATACAAAGTAAAAATCAAAATCAACAAGCAACTATAAACCAGAGACTCACTATGGGGCGGGGTGCAGGCAGGGAGAGGAAAGATTAGGGTCAAAATTAGGGGGGCTGCAATTGTATGGGGAATATAACCAAAATGAAAATGCATACATTGTGCAAAAATGAAAAATGTTGTAAGAATTATACAAAATAAAATATAAAAAAAAAAGAAGTGCAGACACAGATGTGGAGAAAAGGGAACACTGCACATTGCTGGTGGGGATGTAAGTTGGTGCAGCTGCTATACCATGCAGCGTGATGTTTCCTCAAAAATTAAAAATAGAATTATCGGATGATTCAGCCATTTCATTTATGGGTATTTGCTCAAATAAAATGAGGACTCTAATTCAAAAAGTATATGTGCCTTTATGTCCATTGCAGCATTATTTACAATAGCCAAGTTGTGGAAGCCACCCGAGTGTCCCCTGATGGATGATGTGTAAAGTCACAGGGTGCTTAATGGCAGGGGCATACAATGAGAAATGTTTTATTAGGTGTTTTCATTGTTGTGCTAGTGCCATAAGGTGTAATTTCACAAACTGATACAGCAGAATATACACATAGGCTATATAGTGTAGCTACTGGGACCACTGTTGTATATATAGTTGTCATTGATGGAAACATTTTTTATTTAAAAAAATTTTTTTAATATATATTTTTTAAAAGATTTATTTATTTATGTTTATTTATTTATTTATACAAGCATTGGGTACAGTCAGAAGCGCAGGAGGGTGAGAGAATTCACCAGAGCCAGAGCGGGGAGCAGAGCAGGCAGAAGGACCGAAGTACACTGCTGAGGGGAGCAGCGGGCGGCAGGAGAGGTCTGCGCGCCATGTGGGACCCTCCTCCGGTGGCCGGGGAGCAGCCGGGGATTGAACCGGCGCTGCAGAGGCTGCGGGCAGCTTTGCAACCCAGCGCTCAATCGCTGCGCCACCAGGGAGGCCCTAAAAAAATGTTTTTTGACAATCAAAACAACCTTTTTTTTTTCTTTTTCTTTTTTTTTCTCCCTTCTGGCTTGACTTTATTTTTTTCATCTTTAAACAAATTTTTTTTTAATATTTTACATTACAACCCAAATGCCCAAAAATAGATGACTGGATCAAGAAGATGTGGTACATATACACCATGGAATATTACTCAGCAATCAAAAAAGATAAACTCATGCCATTCGTAGCAATGTGGATGGAACTAGAAGTAATTATGCTCAGTGAAATAAGCCAGAGGGACACGACACACAGCTTGGGGACTACAATCCGGACTAAGGTATGGCAAGTTGCAAAGTTGCTTAAGGAAGACTGTACATCATCTATTATAAAGCTCCCCTCATCATGTATACCAACGTCAAGTCATTATGTCGTGTGCCTGACACTAAAATGATGTCGTATGCTGATGATACGTAAATGAAAACAATATATCAGATGGTTTCACTTATAGCAGGAATATAGGGGAACCCAATAAGACATCCGTGTAAAAAAATAATAACAGTACAAAACACAACAAAGCAAAAACGGACAATTATAAATCAGACATGCTGCAGGGGAGGAGGAGGGAGAGGGGTCAGCGGGAGGGAGGGAGGAGCACAGGGGACTGAGGTGATGGTGCACAGGTGCATTGGGGAAGGAAATTCTCTGGGGACTACACCTGAGGGGTGGGGGGAAGCAAATATTGTTTAAAAATGAACAATGATGGAAATGTTTTTTAAAGCAGTGCATGGCAGGGGCCTCCCTGGTGGCGCAGGGGTTAAGACACAACCTATGAAGCTGTCCACAGCCACTGCATCACGAGTTCAATTCCCGGGCAACCAGGGAGCAACCCACATGGCACAGCAGACCTCTCCTGACTCACCCGCTGCGCCCCTCAGCAGTGTATTTCAGTAGATCTGCCTGTTCTTCTCCCCACTCTGTCTCTGGTGAATCCGCTCACCCTCTGAACCTCTGGTCTGTGCCCCAGCTCTTGTATGCATAAATAAATATTAAAAAAAAAAAGCAGTACATGACTATAGTCTGTATACATACCCCCACTGCCCCCACCCCCAACCCTGGACTACTCCTCAGCCATGAAAGAGAACGGAATCTTTTATTTTTAACCACATGCATGGATCCTGAAGGCATTAGACTAAGCTGAATAAGTCACACAGAGGCAAATACATTATTTCACCTATATATGGAATCTAGAAACAACACAGAACTAAAATCATAGAGACCGGAAACAGGCAATAAGTGGAGGTTTGAGGGGTAGGCAAAACGGGTGAAGGGGATGGAGAGATGCAAACTTCCAGTTGCAAAACAAATAAGCTGCGGGGCTGCGACACACAGCTTGGGGACTACAATCCGGACTAAGGTATGGCAAGTTGCAAAGTTGCTTAAGGAAGACAGTACATCATCTATTATAAAGCTCCCCTCATCATGTATACCAACGTCAAGTCATTATGTCGTGTGCCTGACACTAAAATGATGTCGTATGCTGATGATACGTAAATGAAAACAATCAGGTCCTCAATTGGACTCTCTCGGGCCGGGGCCCAGGGCTATGCATGAGAGAAAACTTGGGGCCTGGGTCTCTCTGGGTGCTGCAGTTGAGAAGCGGCTGCCCTGGATCTTGCCACTAGAACGGAAAGGAGCGTGAATCGAGGGGAGAAAGGAATAGAAGAAATGTCAAAGCTGTCCACGACTCTCACCCTCTGGCTCCGCCTTCCTCTTCTGGATCACAGGGCTCCAGGGCCCAGGGACTCTTGTAGTTGGGAGTCAAAGCATAGGCCTGGCGCTCTGTTCTAATGGTGCCTGCTGTCTGGAGCTAGTACCCCCTAGCCATCCACATGGCTGTTTTCTTCTCAAGTTGATTCAGGTGCCACTTTGCAACCTACCCCAGCTGACTTTAAACATTGAAACCCTGAGGGTTATTCCTTTCCCAATCGTGCACGCTTCATCCCTTGCCCTGCTCGGGTGGGGATTTTGCTTTTGCTTTTGCTCCTGATGTCTCCCAAGCTCCAACGTGGCCTACAGTGAGCAATGGGATATATGCATAGAACGAATATTTGCCTTGCCAGAGGCGCTCAGTTCCCCTGGATGCATAGCGGGTCATGACATGTAGCTCGTGAAGGCTCGATCCTTGTCTCCGTTATACCCAGAAGGCCCTGGGGCTCAAACCCTTCCCAAATTCCCAGAGGGGCGTGTCTGGTTCACAGGGCCATTGTCCCTGGGACCAAGTCAGACCTGGCATTCCGGCCGCTGGCAGCTTTCTGTGCTGCTGTGTCCTTGGGGACTGCAGGTCCCTGATTGCTGGCGTCGGTTTCTTACCTCCTTGGTTTCCCTCTAGGATGCCAGGCTCCCAGGGGCTGACTGTTTCCTCCATTCCAGGACAGAATTCCTGGTTCTCGGTATAAACGGCCCCTGCACAGGCCCCTGACAATGTCCACGAGGGTCCCTCCTTATTCCTGGTGCTCCTTTCAGTGCCTGTTTCTTTGGCCTGGCCCTTTAAGGGCTCCTTCCTGCTGGGGGTTCAGCTTCTCTGAGGCTAGACCCTGCACCCCTTCCCCTCCTGTTGCAGCCCCAGCCTGCCTCCTGCAACTCCTCGAGCCTGCTCGCATGGCCACTTCACTGCGGGTCTTGCCCCGCCAATATTTTCCTTATTTTTGAAGTGAAAAGGTTACGAGCACACTAAGATTCTTTCACCTTAGAACCCCGTGAGTCTTTCATGACAGTCAAAGGCATAATTTGGTCCCCCTAGGGACGATGGCGGTTCCCACTCCCCCGGGCGGTGCCCCCTAAGCCAGGGGTTCTGTGCAGAGAGGCGTGGCTTCCTGGACCTCGGTGTCCCAGCTGCTTCCCTGGAACTGGGCCCCAAATCCTGCTCAGAAAGGATGAGCTGGTCCTCCAGCTTGTTCCAGGCTGCCAGCCCAGCACCACGCCCAGAAGCCCGCTCCCCAGTGCCCACCTTGGTCCGGAGGAAGGCCAGGGCCCGGCTGTTGTTTTCCAGAAAGTGCACGCGCATGCGGCCCCGGCTGGGGGGTGGCAGGGGCTCTCCGGAGATGAGCTCCAGCAGCCGCAGCAGGTGGATGCCATCCGCCAGCTCTGCGTACAAGTTGTGGATCTTGATGCCCACCTGGGGGAGGCATGGGGGCGGGGAGCGCGGGGTCAGCCCTGCAGGGCCAGCTTCACCTGTGGGCCCTGACCCTGGGAGGCGCAGCCCCGGAGTTGCAGAGAGGGAGGAACATGAGTCTCAGCTGTGCTTCCAGGTCTAGAGACGTGGCCTCAGCTGGGCTTGGGGGTGGGGCAGTGAAGCCGGAGCTGGGGTCCACTGGCCGGGGAGCTGGAGGGCATGCAAGGGGCTGCAGGGGGCCTGTGGGACGAAACTCACCCGGCTGTGCTGGAAGATGTTGTTGATCCAGTTGGTGAAGGTCTTTTCCTGCATCCGCGTGTGCTGCGCCTGCAGCTTGCGAACGTGGCCCATCTCGTAGGCAGAGTCCATGGTGGCGGCGGCGGGCTGGGCGAGCCGCCCCGGTCTCCCTGGCTGGTTTCCTGCCTCAGGTGCCCTGTAGCCCCAAGAAGCTGCTGGGGGTTTCAGGGCTGACCAGCTTTCAGGCCCGCAGCCTTTTGGGGATGAAGGGCCACTGAACCTTGTCCTAAGCTGGAGAAGTTGGGGGCAAGCGGTGGGGGAGGAGTATGGCTATGGCTGACTCCCTGGGGATGGCTAGGGGGCCCTTCAGCCAGATGTCCCCCCCACCCTGCACTGTGTGGCTTGGGCCTAGCCAGGTAATGTCTTGGTGCTCCTGGCTCCTGCCCTGCACTTGGATGGCTCAGGATCCCTCTTGCGCCACCCCACTTCCCAGATTCTTTTCAGAGCACCTGCCGCTAGATGTTCTGGGCCATGGGGATTGGCTGCTCTCCCTTAATAGGGCAGGTGGGAGGTAAACAGGAAACTGCTCACCTTGGCAATGTCCGGCTGAGGAGACCGGCTAGAGGGATGGAGATGGCAGACTGCAGGGGCTGTGTGGAGAGACCGAGCTAGCAGGAGAGGCTGAGACTGGAGCTGGGACTAGGCCAAGGCCCTCCTCTCAGGCAGGGGTGTCTGCACACAGCCTGCATTGTCCTCCCACCTGCCTCAGGGCGTGGCCCAGACTGGGAGGGGGCGACTCAAGAATGCTCCAGAGCATTGCTCCAGGATCTGCTCCTTCCTCATCCCCATTCTCAGCAAACCCTCCCTGCAGGCACCCAAGACAGAGGCCATGAGATGGTGTCATGTTGGCTCTGAGTGGGGGTGCCATGGGATGCTATCATCTGGGTAAAAGACACAGAATGGTCAGAAGCTTCTGGATCAACTTCTTAGTCTGGGACAGCCCTTCTTCACCTCTCCAGGGCTTTTTGTGAGCCCCCCATGAGCAAGGAGTGTAGGGAGCACCCTGGGTTGTGGCCCACTCATGCTCTCCTGGGGAACACCCCGATGATGGAGGGGAATAGCAGACCCCAGGCTTGGTTTTCCAGACTCTGACAGAAACGCAGTCTGGTCCAGGACTCCAGGGCAGGTGCTCCCTCACGCTAGCAGTGGGAGCAGCTACTTTTTGAAGTGGGCGGCAAGGGCTTGTAACCTGGAGCTGCAAAGACTGTGGAATACAATCTCCCCTGAAGACAAAGATGCGGGGCTAACTCTTTGGAGCTCCATGGTGAGACGCCCAGCACCAGCACCCCCACAGAGCGGCCTTGGAGGGAGGCAAGGGCGGCAGAGGGACCCGAAGTCTCTCTTCCCTTCCCGGAGCAACCTTGAACTGCACCCCAGAGGCAGAGCGAGTTCTAATTCAGGTGGTTTCACAGGTGGTCTGAGTAAACTTGGGTAGGTCGCTAGCCTGAGCTGTATACCTGCAGGTTCATCCACTCAGCAGCCCTGGCAATTCCTAGAGGAGATGCAACACCCCTCAGGGAGGCATCCCTGACAGTCCTCCCTGACAGTCCTCCCGGCCCCCCCCGAATAGAGCGGCGCTACAGCCTGCCCTCCAGAGCTGGGCACCGAACCTGCACAAGTCCCCCTCCTCTCCATTTATATTCCCAGAGCACAGCTCTGCTCAGGCCTGTGAAGATGCCCCACTGCTTGGACAAGACCAGAGCTTTCCCGTCTGCATCTGGGCTTCACCTGTTCTCTCAGCTGAAAATGTCCCTCTATCCCCTGCTGCCCACACTCACCCATCCTATCAGTCCCAGTGAAAATCCTGCTTCTTTTAGGAAGTTTGTTCTCCCCACCTCTCTATCACTCAATTTTCTCCAACCTTTCCACCCCATAAGCTGGGCCCTCCTCCTATTAAGACCCTAGGCCCAGGGCGGCTTGTGTGATGGGACCAGCAGAGGACAGGGGTGCGTGGAGCTGCGTGGAGCTGCGTGGAGCTTCGCACACAGGTCTCAGCAGAGGGTGTGGTATTTGAAGCGACTGAGTGAGGCTGGTCTGTTTCTTCATAGCTCAGCTGCCGCCAGTCACTGCACACACCTGCCTCCTCTTTGGCTGTGACTGTAGCTCCCGAGTCACAATCCCATTGGCTAGTATATAGCTTTGGATTATTTCCATTGCCAGTGACTGAAATCTCAAGTCCAATGGGTTAAAGCAATACGAGGTATTGGCTCGCAGACTGGAAAGTCTGGCAGGAGGGAATTAGGTGTGTCTTGATCTAGCAGCTCAAATGATGCCCCCACAGGACTGGGTTCCCTTTCTTGATGTCTCTTCATCGTCATGCTCCTTGGGGTGGCAGCTGCCAGCCTAATCTTGGCGCCCTGCCCCCAGCAACTCTGGGCATTCCTCTCAGTGCTGCTCATTTTGTTGCACCAAAAAGCGCACAGCTTCATGCTGCATGGTTCAGAGAAGAGACAGCCTCTCTCCTAAGAGCTGAAGTCAAGTCAGGCCTGGCTCACACAGGTTTGCACTGGGCCATGTGTCCTGAACAATTTCTGTGACAAGGGAGACTAAATCCTCTGATTTCAAGTCAATCAGGACCTACCCGGAAAAAAGGGGGTGGCATCTCTTTCACCCAAAGCTCATGGCTCAGACTGAGGGTGGGGAAGTGGTCTGCAAAGGAAATTCCAGGCTGGACCATCCAAAGGCAGGTGGGTGGCAGTGGGAACCCCGTTGTCTACTTTGGGCCGAGCACACCTTGAGGTGCGGCCCCACCTAGCACTGCTGTACCTGCAGGTGCAAGGCCTGCTTTGGTTCTGGACAGAGACCCACTCCTTGGAGAGTGCTCAGTGACGCCCTGTCGCCATTCCCAGAAAGGCCCCACCCCCATGGCCCCCAGTTACTCTCTCAGTTGGGGTTTGAGCTTCTCCTTGGGGCCTGTTCCCAAACCCGGCCTCTGTTCCAAGTAGATGCAGCCTATTTCCTTTTGAAGAAGCCCCATTTTGGGAGCCTTTCACCTAGAGAGGAAGAAGAGTGAGGGGTGAGAGGGGTAGCATGCAGAAGAGGCACACCCTCTCCCCAGCTCTTCTGCCTCGTTTCAGAATGGATCCAGGGGACCCCCGCTTCACTCAGAGACAGTGGGCACTCAGTGACTGGAAAACCAGAGGCAATGGGAGAGCGATTTTTTCCCAGTTTATTGGTCAGTAGATGGTGTCTTTTTTGACATCTCTAAAGATGACAAAAAACCCCTAGCATTGTGTATTAACTGCATTGGCTAATTGACATGTAACCACGACACTCTCTTAAATTAGGCCCATGTTTACCCAAATGAAACTTAGTGGTTATCTGTCTATCCTAAGAACCTTAATCTTCCACAGTATTTTTGGGCCACAGCTTCCATGGAAGAAACAGCCTCTCTTAAACGCCTCCTGTAGAGACACTTGGAGTATAAGGCAGGCGGGTAAAGGGGCAGTGGGAAGGCCCAGGTAGAGGTTCAACCCCACCCCGCGCCTGGCCCCACATGCTGTGACCCACCTGACACCTGGTCCCCGGACAGAGTAAGGGTTCAGCTCCTCAAGGCCCCCCATTCTGAGAGAGGACCCACAGCCCCAGGCCCAAGGGCCGTTGCTGAATAATGACAAGAGTTCCAGAGAACATGGTAGAAGCCAAAGCCAGAAGTGGCCGTGACCCCGGGGCCACCTGAGTGTGTGGGTGAGCCAAGAATCAAGTAGACTCTGGGCTGGCGCAGGGGCTGAAGTAGGTTAGACACCCCCACTGCCAGGGAGCCGGCGACTTAGTGCCGCTTCTTACAGAGCGTTCAGGGGGGCTCCTGAGCAGGCTAACTCTTGGAAGCTGACTTTGGGAGGGGTAGGCTGAAGTTTCCATTATCCCTCTAAACTCAATGGCAGAAGTTTGTGTCATGAGATACTATGTGCTGTGCGGAAAATAGATTCCCAATTCTTAGATTTTCTTCTGTGGCATCATGGAGGGCGCTAACATAGTTTCGTATTTCTAGTTTACCTACTTCCACCACCTGGCATCTGGGAACACCCTGGAAGGGGGTAAGCTGGGGTGGTGTCAAGGCAGGATGGTCAAGCGGAACAGACCCCGGGGGTTCCGCTGTTTGAAGTCGCTACTGCCTGTGTAGGTGCGGGGAGATACGGGGTGTTTAGGAGGCAAACTCAAGTAACTTTGTGCAGATTCCCACTTGGCCACCCCCCACCCCCCAACCAAGTAGTTTTCAGTGTTTTTCTTTCAACCAGCTTTTCATGAATGACTTGATGAGTTAAGATATCAAGAAAAGTAGACCTGATATATTGTTTTAAACAATGCCACCAGGTCTCAGCAGGGAAAGGATCCAGCTGCTAGATGGTCCCCCACCTGAGGGCACCGCAGCAGAGATCACAGTGCCGAGAAGCTTCCATGGAGAAGGCAGAAGCCCCAGTGAGCCGCCCCGCCGAGACAGGAGTCCTCTGTTCCCATGTAGACAGAACCAGGCTGTATCTACACACATTCACACCGACAAGGGTCAAAAAATAACATACTGGGGTAGCACTTACATTTGCATAAATTTATCTTTATATATGACAATTGAGCAGAGTTAACAAGCAGGAGTTAAAAAGTCTGAAAGGAAAAGCAGCAAGCCTTGGCATCTCTAAAGCTTTGGACAGATAAGCTCCTCTCTCAATCTTGCCCTTTGGTGGACTCCACTGTGCTAAGACACTGGGGCATTCACGTTCACAGAACCACCTGCTCATGTCGCAGTCCTGGAATAAATACCCCTCTTCTGTGTGTCTAATTCATTTAAAAGTGCTCATTAAGATTAAAATCCATATTAGGCATCTAGTTCTCTGAAAACTAAATTAATATTTAGAGTAAGCTAGGAAGTGTGAGGGCTGGCATTTGGATAAATACTTCTCTAAAGTAAGAGTTTCTCTTAAGTCTGCAGTTCTGACCCTGATGTCATAGGTGATATCAGGGAAAAACGTGGACTTTATAAGGCTCAGGTGGGACTATATGAATTTTATTTACTTCTGGCGCTGGCAGGGCCCCATGCAATGCAGGCTTCATCAGTCCGGGTGGCCCGTATTGCGTTAATAGGGTGAAGGCACCTGCGTCCCGGAGCTGAAACCTGCTTGGGAGGGTGGCGGTGAGCACTGGCCCCCTCCCGGGCACAGGCACCTGGGTGTCCCCAGAGAGGGTTGCACGGGACGTGGGAGAGACCAGTCAGGAGCCAATGTACGGAAGGTACCCGATCCCGCCTCGTGATGGGCCTTCACTGCACAAACCGAGCTCCCTTTTGAAGAAAGCCTTTTGATGACAGAGTGCATCCTGTTTCTGCACAAAGGCTTTTTATCCTATAAGAAAAAAAAAAACCTAGACATAACGAAAATGCCTGTTTGTACAAAAATAGACTCTTATGCTAGTAGACTGATCCCTTCCAGCCGACAGTCAGAAGAGCTGGCCTCTCCTTCCCATCTCCTTCCCAGGGCCTGGGACGCCACATGCACCAAGACATGTTTTCGCCGAATTCAAATCCTGTAGCCGACCGAGCGGCCTGGGGAGCATGTGGAAGGCCAGAGGGATGAGGATGAAGAACCCGTCTTTCCCTGACTCTAGTTTAGGCATGATAAATAGACTTCGCTACAAATTATCACACAGACCAGTAAGAAAAATGAATCTTCAGATTTTAACATGACGTGAAATGAAGACTAGAAACCTTGCCTGGGGTTAATAAAGGCCGTGAATTCCAAGCCCCGAACCCAATACAATGTTGCTGGGAAGGCCCCCGGGGAGGGGGGTGCCCTGGGAGGGCTGGTCAGTGGGAGCTGGGGCAGGTGCCCTGCTGGCCTGGCACCTGACCTGCTGGGGCCTCCAGGTGGGCGGGACACAGGCCTGGCGCGTCCCCTCAAGCCTGGGCAGCTGTCTTCTCTTTGGCAGTTGGGAGAGACTAGGAGGTCGCTCTGCTCCGCTTTGGCCGCACTCCACATAGAGCAGGAGACACGCAAGGTAACCTTGGCCCACCGCCCGTGCCCTCTGAGGATGGGCAGGGGCTACGGGCTGGTCCACGATGCCGAGCCGACTCAACTGCTCCAGGAGTCCTGCTCGCTCCCCGGGGCTCCCCGTCTCGGTCTCACCAGGTCTCTCAGTGCACCCTGGGCATCTTCCCTTCTCAATACCACTCTCCTTATCGTCCCCTCCCGCCAAGATTTTAACAGAAACCCAGGGAATGGTAGGCATGAAAGGACCTGATCTAGGTTACAGTGCCTGCCCTCCCGCCAGCCTACAGATGGGAGCGCGAGGCCGAGCGGCAGTGCCTCGCCCAAGGCCGCTCAGGAGTCCGTGGCAGAGTGGCCTCAGGCCCGGGTCCCCAACCCCCACCCCGCCCCGCCCCGCCTGCCCTGCGGTGGCCTGCCCCTCAGTCGGCCTTGGGCAGGGACTTCCTGTGAGACGGGGGCACGAGGTGGGGGGGCAGGCTGCTGGGCAGCTCGTAGCCATCCAGCTTGATCTTGATGAGGTGCTTGGCCAGCGCGAACTCCTCCTCGTCCAGCATGCCGTCGCAGTCGCAGTCAGCCAGCTTCCAGATCTTGCCCAGGACGCTGTTGGGCAGCTTGGAGGTCACCATCTCCTTCTTGGCGTTGACGCCCGAGATCTTGCCATTGATGGGAGAGAGGGTGTAGAAGAGCTCGTCGTAGACGGGCTTGTCTTTGGCCACCACCCACTCCTCCTCGTCGGCGCCCTCCTTGGCGCCCTCCCCGTAGCCCTGGTTGAAGGGGCCCTCGGTGGTGCCGTCGAAGGCGCCGCCCTGCACGAGCTGCGTGGGCGTGCTGATCTCCTCCTGGCTGATGAGGTTCATCAGGGACGAGATCTTGTTGCTCAGCATGTTGTCCACAGCCTCGATCAGCTTGGGCTTCAGCGAGTGGAATTTGGTGAAGTCGTAGTTCTCAAGCTGTTCCTGCAAAAGGAGGGACACAGGCGTGGTTACTGCCCTCTCGTCAGGAAGCAAACTGGAGGGGTGGCCGGAGGGAAGTGAAGTCTCCTGAAGGCAGATACCCCATCCCTTGGCTGTTCCAGAGCTCTCTTTGGTGGAGCCCCAACCTCCACTTGCCAGAAACAGGAGAGGCTTTTAGAATAAGAAACAAGATGCCTGGCATGCAACAGTGCCCCACAGCAGCTAATCCCTGCTGGCGGCTGTGTGAGGGACAGCGGCTGGGACTTGGAGAATTTCCTTCACCTGCCTTTAAAATAAATTTTTTTTTAGTGCTTAGAGATTGATCTTTAGGTGATTTTATGTCATGCTTCACAACAACCCTGGAAGTAAGAAGGGCAGGGATATATAAATAACCCCATTTCACAGCCAGTGCGCGTGCTAAAGCCCACGTCTCTCGCCTCTTGACTAGCGCTCATCACGCTGTAGCACGAAGCTGTGACAGAGGCATTTGGGAATCAATTATTTAAGGATGCTTTTCAATCGGTTAAAAAAAATGTAGTCAGGGCACTAAAAGTTCAAGTTAAAACTGGGAAGGGCGTGTAGCGACGGTGCAGTCTGGACGCATAAGTCCAGACGGAGAGCTGAGCGTCCTTGGTTGGGCAGCACATCTGGACTCCACCTCCCAGGACAACGGGCCCCTCAGCAGGATCAGCAGCAGGAGCACAGGCTGGGAGCGGTCCCTGGAGACAGAGCTGCCTGGCCACAGTGGGAGGCGACTGTGGAGGTTACGGAGGCTCTTTGGAGCGCTCTGTGGACACAGTGCATCTTACCTTGGTCTCCTTGGTTACTCATCACCCTTCCATGCAACCAGCCATCAACCATCTCCATCTCCACCCCTCTGTCCGCCCAGCTGCCCTCCCTTTATCCACTTATCCTTTTCCCTGTCTCCCTCCTTCCTGCATCCGTCCATCCAACATTCATTGGCCAGACCTTGTCATGAGGCCTGGGGGTATAAATACAAAAAGCACAGTCACTGCCCTCAGGGAGCTTATGCTGTAATAGAGGAAGGACACTCTAGATTTCCAGTTCCTGTTTACTTTCAAAAAGGGCTTGACTTAGCTTACAGGGAAAAAATAACAAGACATAGGAGAAGGTCATTTGAAAAGGGAGAGCCAACTAATTAAAAAGGAGTGGAAGGGGCCTCCCTGGTGGCGCAGGGGGTTAAGCACAGCGCTGTGAAGCTGTCCGCAGCCTCTGCAGCACAAGTTCAATCCTGGCCAGCCAGGGAGCTACCCACATGGTGCGGCAGACCTCTCCTGTCTCATCCAGCTCCCTTCAGCAGTGTATTTCAGTCAATTTCTGCCAGTTCTGTTCCCCACTCTGTCTCTGTTCCCCACTCTGTCTCCTCTCATCCCCCGCACTTGTGGCCTGTACCCCAATTCTTTTTTTTTAATTTTTTTTTTTTATAGAGGCATGTTATTTATTTATTTATTTGTTTGTTTGTTTGTTTGTTTGTTTATACATGCACTGGGTACAGTCAGAAGCGCGGGAGGGTGAGAGAATTCACCAGAGCCAGAGCGGGAGCAGAGCAGGCAGAAGGACCGAAGTACACTGCTGAGGGGAGCAGCGGGTGGCAGGAGAGGTCTGCGCGCCATGTGGGACCCTCCTCTGGTGGCTGGGGAGCAGCCGGGGATCGAACCGGCACTGCAGAGATCGCGGGCAGCTTCGCAACCCAGCGCTCAACCGCTGCACCACTGGGGAGGCCCCTGTACCCCAATTCTTGTATGCATAAAAAAATAAATCTTTAACAAAGAAAAAGGAGAAGGGAATCATAGTATCAGTTAACTGCTGGTCACATCAATAGCCACAGCTCCTCAGCTGCCCCGGGCTGGGCCCCAGGGCCTCACCCCCTCTCACTGTCTGAGGGGAGAAACCACCTCTATCACAAGAGATGAACTTTCTTTGGTCCTGAACTGAAGTTCCCTAGAGCTTTTCATAAGGGGCCTTGATGATCTAATGAAAAATGTATTCAAGAGCAGTTTTGCCAAATGCAGAAAACTTCATGAACGGGAGGTTTTCTGTCAACTCCACGTGAAATATTTCTTTTTGGACAGTTCTAGAGGGTTAACAAGGGCTCATCCAGGTGTGCAACTTTCTGGAGATGAGGCAGGAGGCTCTCAAGGAAGAGAGGGCCGATCCCTCAGCCCTGGCTGTTCTGGGCAGAAGTAAGGTGACAGACGGGGAAAAACCTTGCGGCTATCATAAACATCATACTTTTATTGTAAAAATTTGAGAAAAACCTGCTAAATAAAAGAAAAAATGTTAATTCACTTATAATCCCATCACCCAGCAGAAACCTGTGCCAACATTTTTGGGTCTACATTTACACACACACACACATACACACACTCTCTTTAACTGAATCAAGACCACATACACACACACACGCACACACACACACACTCTCTTTAACTGAAACAAGACCACACTTTATCAACCCACACTTAAAAAGAAATACTGTGTCATATCTTTCCATGATATCAATTCCTAGACATCTTATTCTTTTTTTTTTTATTTTTTATTTATTTATTTGTTTGCTTGTTTGTTTATACATGCACTGGGTACAGTCAGAAGCGCGGGAGGGTGAGAGAATTCACCAGAGCCAGAGCGGGGAGCAGAGCAGGCAGAAGGACCGAAGTACACTGCTGAGGGGAGCAGCGGGCGGCAGGAGAGGTCTGCGCGCCATGCGGGACCCTCCTCTGGTGGCCGGGGAGCAGCCGGGGATTGATCCAGCACTGCAGAGGCTGCGGGCAGCTTCGCAACCCAGCGCTCAACCGCTGCGCCACCGCGGAGGCCCTAGACATCTTATTCTTAACGGCCACACACTCAGTAGGTGTGCAGCCGGGCCCTTCTTGATCTGCCCCGGGATGTGACAACGGAGTGGCACTTCAGGTTGTTTCCAATGGGAAACCAAGACTGCAGTCTCAGGGTGACAGGTGGGCAGACATTCTCTGAGGGCACGTGGAAGTGGAGCCCTGAGTGTGCGGCGCAGGGGACACAGAGCGAAAGCTAAGCATCCCAGCAGACCTCCAGAGGGGCGCCGCTGCTCGGAGCACACTCTGCGCTGGCGCTGGCCCTCGAGCCACACCGGGCAGGGCCGTGCGGGCCTGACTTCCACCCACACCTTCAGTCTGTGTGCCCCCGTCCTCACTGACAGGCTGAGGTCACCTGAGAGTCACCCCAGCAGTCCAGCACTTTGGGGTCCTGCGGCCACCCTCTCAGCCAGCGCCGGGGACTGAGCAGAGAAAGCCAAGGAGGAGGGGAGCGGGCAGCCCACACAAAAATGCCAGCGCTGCAGGGATAAACAAGTCTGGATTCCCCTGGGTGCACGGACACCTACCCCTGTTCCTCATGAACGAGCCCGAGCTCTGAGCACACACAGAGCCCTGTGTCTGGCGCGGACAAACGAGGGTGGGGACGCCCAAACTGCTCACCCGCCCGCGCGACGCAGATGCCCGCTACAAAGTTCTGGGACACTGGCGAGCGGAAATGGGCACATACTTGCAGGGGTGGAGAGGAAGCAGCGGCAGCAGCCATCCCCGCCCTGGAGGGCACACAGGAACAGACCCTGCACTTTCAGCCCCGGGTGCTGGCCGCTGTGCCCCACCCGGAGTCAGGGCTGCGAGTTAACCCATGGCCACCCCTGCCCCCACGAGGGCGGCTCTAACACAGGAGTTTTTTTTATTGGGGTGAATACATGCTGGGGAATTTAAAGATTCATCAACAGTTGTAGCCATTAAAGCCACCAAGCCCAGAATCCTGGACTGTCCCCTCCAAGAGACAAAGGTCAGCTCACAGCCAGCTCTCCGCTGGCCTGGCTGGGATGCCCACTCACTCACTCCCCGCCCTCACCAGGAGCAGTTTTTGAATCCAGGGGCGAGGGGGCCACATGGGGTTGGCTCTGCTGCTCCCTGCTGCTGAAACACCGCCAACTCATCGGCCGCGGGGCCGAACGCTCAGAGGACAACCGAGTCAGCAATCAGGGTGGCCTTGCTAATGTGCTCCCATCCTGCAGTGTGGACGCGTGGAGGTGGTTAAAGGGTGCAGGGCAGACACAGGCGGCTTCACATCCCCTGCCTCTCCTAGAAAGGGATAAAAGCCTTTAAAACATACTGCCCACAGCTAAGAGTCACCCTGACTAGCTTGGTCCATGAGAGCAGAGGGGAACAGACTCACAGCTGGCAGTGCACGACCCTGAGGTTTGCAAAGATCATTAATAAAGTCATCTTCAAGCTTATGTCCCCACTCGCCACTGCCCCAGCTGCAGCCAGTGCGAGAAGGCTGAACCCTGTGTGGGAGAAGGGTAAACGCTCCACAGACTCAGGGAGGGAGGCAGCCCGACCCACACCCTGACCCCGAGTTTCTTGTGTGACAGCAAACCAGCTGAAGTCTAAGGAGACTGAGCATGCCCAACAGGCTCCAGGCCTGCCTCACCCCTGCAGAGTCCCTGGAGGGACAGGGGCGCGGTGATCAGGGCTGGCCGGCTTCCCAAGGAGGAATTTTCAGCTGTTTCCAGGAGTTTGTCCTGGGAACGGAGGGTCTAACAGTCCTGCAGGAGTCAAGGCTGGGGCGCCTCTGGGAAACTCACTGCCGTAGAGCCTGCTGGTGCAAACATCCACTAAATACTAACCCATTCATTCAGCAGCACTCGCTGAGCACCTGCCACATCCCAGGTGCTGGGATATATATATCTGGAGATATATCTGGAGATATGGGAGCCAACGGGCCCGGGCCACTGTCTCATGGAGTCACAGCCTTATGAGGCAGCGAGACTCTGAACAACAGCGCTGCGTTGTCATAACAAGAAGCCCAAGCCCCAACAAGGGGCTCTGCTGCCAAAAACTTCATTACCAGACAAGGTCAAAATGCAAAGACTGTAACTCAGAATGGATGCCCTCGAGGGGCAAGAATTTTAACTGTTTGCTCCCTGCTTTATTTCAGGGGCCTAGAAGAGTGCCGGGCCATAGCAGGAGAAATTAATATTTCTTGGATAAATGACTAAATGAACACAGCTGAATGGGGCATTTGTTGGGGAGGGGGATTTTTCTCTGTCTCAGGGCACTCAGGTGTTCACTGAGGCCCACCTGGGGAGGGGTCTGGCCATACTAACAAAGGCTGGGGGTTCTTCCCTCACCTGGGTCTCCAGGTGGGGCGGGCAATGTGACTATTTGTTTTCTTCCCTGGAGACTGCCCCTTTGCCTCAGCTCTGGGAGGCCTGGTGTCCTCTGACCTGGCCAGGAGCCACCTGTAAGTCCCCTTCATGGGCTCAGTGGTGCCTTAGGTCCAGGGAGCAGCATGTTTTGGGGGGTGGGCACTGCGGTCACCTCATCAAGTTAACAAGGCACAGAAGCCCCACTGGGCCAACATACTCCCTGTGTATTTCCTTACAGCTCTCACCTCGGTCAAGACACCAATCTCCCCTCAAAGATAGTCAAAGGATGTAAGGAAACAATTATCCTATGGCTTGGTCATGGGATGCACAGTGTAACCCTAGAGTGTGAAAGGGGAACCAGCTCCGGAAGTTGGCTCTAAGAAACCCCAGCAGCCCTCAAATTAGCCAACTTGTGACCAGAAAAGAACCCAACTGATCCTCTGAGTAGGGGAATACCTATTCATTTCTGAAGAAAAAAGATGTTTCTGTACTTATTTTGAAGCCGGCTGAATATTTGACCAGATTGACACTAGCAGATGCACTCACCCTGGGCCCTGCTCTCAAAACAGTAACTAGCCCCTCCTGCTGGAGTGCGTGAGTATAGAAAGTTTACATTAAGAAACCCCTTAGGACTGAAGCTTCTCCTCCTGCTGCCTGCAGGTCTCTGCTGTCACTCTCAACCTTGCCTCCTCCCCTGCCTTTCCCCTGAGGTAGGCAGGCAGCGCACAGGCCCAGACTTCAGCTGCGCATTCACTTCAGCATTTCCTCTCTGTGGATCAGGGCAGAAGACTGGATCAGGGCAGTAACTGGAGGTCTCTAGGGAGCAGCTACGAAGCAGGCATGCTGTTTGTATTTGGAAGTTTCGGTCAAAATCTGAAAACCAGGAGACTTCACATACACATCCAGATTTCCAGCTTCTTGTGAACCATCCAGGGCCCAGATTCCCACTGGGCAGAGCCCAGCAGGCAGGACAGGGTTCCCCAGTGAGGCAGGCATGCACTCCCTACTCTGCCTCCACTGTGGGCCACCTACCAGTTCTCACTGCACTTGTGGTAGAGACATGATTCTTGGAACCCACATCTCTCAAATGTGGGAAAAACCAGGTTGTCAGAGAGGGTACTGGGTTCCTCTCACCTGGCCTGCCTCATGTGCTCAGGTCATCGCCTGGGGGCTGCAGGCATCTGAGCTGGTACCGCCTTCCAGAGAGGACTAAGGCCTCCAGTACAGGCGGGTTCTTGCACTGGACAAGAAGATGGTCCCTCTGGTTCTGTGAGAAGCCTGGGGTAGTGGCCTTGCTCGAGAGGAAGTGTCAGCATTGGTGCGCTCACCTGACACCACCGGAGGCATGCAGGGGGCATTCGTGCTGGTCAGGCCAGGCAGCTGAATGCAGGACCCACTTAAGCTCTTCTGGGGCTGCCTAGACACAACTCCTGGAGACCCTGAAGTCAGGCAAAGGCTGTCCACCACTGACTTTCAAGCAAAATCCTCAGGAAGCATGGTTTACTACATCCAAGGAGGCCCATGGCATCTGACTGGCGCCCCCCCCCCCCCCCACACACACACACAGCAGCAGTGCTACCTGGGCTCATAATCCCACAGTGCCAGGCAGGCCTCTTGAGGCGAGACTTCCAAGGTCACTCATAGCTCTAACTCCTTTAAGGCTCTGATTCCAAAAAATAGGTGTTGCCTCAACAAGAAAAACAACCTTGAGCATAGCTTATGAGGGCAGCTCATCCAGCTAGTTAATTTTACTTCATGAAATGTGTTCCCTTTTGTTTAAATGTTTCAGGAAGCAGATAATTTCTGCTTTACTCACAGGACCCTATCCTCATGGATTCCACCAGCAGGATGAATTCATTGCACTGTCCCCCATGAAACTTTCCTGTGAACCCAGCAACCAGCAACCCAAGGGCGGCGCCTCTCCGACCAGCACCCCCCGCCCCCCAACCCTGCAGTGGGCTTCCAGTACCTGCATTGCCTTGACCTCGGGGAAGTCCCCTGCAGAGATCTGGTATTCTCGCTGCAGCTGAATGTAGATTTCTGGCAACCTGCTGATAAGCTCTCTCTTCTTGTTTTCCTTTCCAAACATACTCGGCATCTCCTTCTTCAGGTGGCTGATGATGTAGGCATGTACCTGAAGGAGTAGATGTCATGTATAACCACACCCGAGGACGAACATGATGGCATCTTACACGCATCCTAACACGTAACAGGCACTCGCGCAGAATCACGGTCCTCAGGACAGGAGGGGAGGAGGGGGAGACGTTACAAGCCGGATTCTAGGTGCGGACAATGTGCCACACATGGACACCTGGAGGGGGCTGTTTGGGGATGTCTGGAAAGTAGGCCCCAAGCTCCCAGAGCTCGCCTGGATGGAAGGTTTGAGAGCTGGAGTAGAGGTGGTGCCAGGTGCGAGGGTGATGAGACCACTGGGGAAAGGGAGCAGAAAAACCCCACCATCCAGGGCCAGGAGGAGCCAGAAGACGACCCTGGAAGGTGAAATGTGACAGAGTAAGGGCTGTGGGAAGACAGATTCAGGAAAGCAGTGGCATCTGCGTTGGGCTTTGAAGAACAGGTAGGCTGTGTGCACGAGGGCAGAGGAGGCGGCCCAGAAAGGGAAGAACAAGGACAGAGATGTGGAGGTGACAAGCGGTGGGGTGTGCTGGGGGCAGGGCCATGTATGTGGTTGCAGCCAGGCTTGGAAAGTGGGGCCGGGGGGCTGCATTAGATCCTGCTAGGAGGGCCCAGGAGCCAGTGGAGGATTTAGAAAGAGTCTTTGCTAACCTGATAATATCGGGCACCAGAAAGGCCACCATGCCAAGAGCTCCCTCCTTTCCAGGTGGGCTGGTGATGCCTGGCTGGGGACAAGGTGTGCAGGAACAATGCCCAGGGGACCCTGTTCTGGGGATGTTCTATGGCCACAGCTGAGTTGTGCCTCTGAGTGGCTATTCTGTGTCTGTAAGGAGCAAGCGGTATGAGGGGCACGTGGGAGGAAAGATCTTGGTTCTGGTGATTAATAGAGGGCCTAAGAGTAGGTTTCACCAAGGCCAGCGCCTGGGAATACCAGGGACAAAACGAGAGAATTGATCTGTGTGGAAACCTGGGCCCAGGAACAGTGAGATGAGAAGTGTCAGGCCCCCCCCACCGCCCGCCCCTGATAGTTTTAAACTCAAGATCTCTACAGAAGCTCCCTCTGGGAGAGGGACCTGGGCACATGAAGGGGAGGCGCCCGGCCCTGAGCATCAGGGGGTCAGCAGGCCTGAGACTCTTCCCTGGGGGTGGGTGCATCCTGCAGGAGGGCTCTGGCAGGCTGCCGCACCCCCTCCTTACTATTTCCACCTTTCCACTGGCTTCTAACTTGAAGACATTAAGAAATGTTCCTCACAAAAGTTTTCTTTGTATTTTCTTTGTATTTCTACAGACTAATTTATAAGTCAAGAAAATAGCTAAAATAAGAAAGGATAAAGAACAGAGCCATGATTAGGAAAGAAAATGACTATGCAGCTATGGAAAATCTTATTAAAGAAAACAGACTTCTACTATAATCTTGTGGGAGAATGGAAATTAAATAAAGGGGGGTGAGCAGATACAGTCATAGTTCAGCCGAGAACCCCGGTATGGACGCACAGTCCCAAACACGGCTGAGATCTGCGCACGGCGCCAAGTGCCCAGTGGCTGGAGGGCCAGGCACCTAAGGGCCCCTCTACCCAGAGGGCACTTTCACACACGCTTCTGTTGTGCTCGCAGCTCCTGCTGAGGGCAATTGGGGAGAGAGGATTTTAAACCTTGTGTGACTAGTGAACTTGTTTACTTATTTTTCAAAGGAAACAAAATATTTACATGGTCCTTCAAAATAACTACAGAAACCCAAAGTTTGGGAATCCTTTCTTTAGAACAATGCGCCGTGACTGCACTTCTGTAAGATGACTCAGTGGGAAGATGAGAAATTTCCTTGGAGGGTGAAAGCATGGCTTGATTTGAGTGGGCAGGGGTTCCAGGACTGCACAGGACTCTGAGGGGTGCCATACTTGCCTCCCGCTCACAAGGGCTTCGTACTGAGAACCCCTTCCCAGAGGCCAGGCCTGGGGAGGCTGCAGGTCCCTGCTCAGGGGAAGCTGACTCCTCACCCCACCTGGCCTCCTAGGAGTGGAACCCTGTTCCTGAACACTGCTTGGTACCCAGGGGCCTGCTTTACCTGGACTGATACGCATCTGCCACCGCTCTCCACTCACCGTCTGGCACCTACTTCCTCGGTGCAATCTTCGTTGTGTTCACTGGCTGATGCCTAAGGCTGCTGGATAATGGGCTGCTCTTGGACAAGACGCCTCCAGTGTCCTCACGTAACCCGGGCAGTTCTTGTGCCAGGTCTCAACTCCCTCCTCCCACCTGGCTGGTGCAATCTGAGTCATGACCCTCAGGTGACCTGCTCATGCTGCAAGCTGCTCTCGGCCTCAGCCTCTACTTCCAGGAAGATCCACTGGCCTGGCCTGTGGAAGGCGCCTGTTATGCTGTCTGCATGGCTGTCCCCTCTGCCCCACGCTGGACATCCTGAGACAGATGGGCTCTGCCTCTAAGAAGCATATCAACTTATTATTATTTTTTTTTATAGAGGCATGTTTTTTTTATTTATTTATCTATCTATCTATTTATTTATTTATTTATTTTTTTAATACAAGCACTGGGTACAGTCAGAAGCGCGGGAGGGTGAGAGAATTCACCAGAGCCAGAGCCGGGAGCAGAGCAGGCAGAAGGACCGAAGTACACTGCTGAGGGGAGCAGCGGGCGGCAGGAGAGGTCTGCGCGCCATGTGGGACCCTCCTCCGGTGGCCGGGGAGCAGCCGGGGATCGAACCGGCGCTGCAGAGGCTGCAGGCAACTTCGCAACCCAGCGCTCAACCGCTGCGCCACCGGGGAGGCCCAGAAGCATATCAATTTATGATTGCAGTTCTTCGAATCATGGAATATTAAATCTGGAAGGGACTCCTTGAATTTCCTTGAACTCCTGGTTCCAGGAAACTCCTATGACTGACTCAAGGTTACACAGTCAATGAGGCAGGCGATGCAGCACAGCATTCAACTGCCTCCTTCCTGTCCTTATGGGGTTAATTGCGTTCTGTGTTGTATGAATGAAAAATCTTACTGAAACTGATGAAAATATGAAATTCAAAATTAACTGTGCCCCACAGAACAGCAGCATGGAAAATTTGATTTGAGGTTTGGCATCTGATTTGTTCCCAGGGAACAATCCCCAGAGAAGCTTTGAAAGGTCATTTTCCAAACATACAAGAAGGGCTACATTAAGGCACACAAAGCACAGTGGAGAACACAAAGGCTGAGGGTGAAGGCTGCAATTTTCTGCAGGATGGCACCTTGTCATTTCTGAGGACTCTTGGTAAACAGAGGGAATGGCCCAAATGGCTGAAATCCCCAGTCAGCTTCAAAAGCTCACTCCTGCCTTTGTGTGGCACAGACGTCTCTCCAAATAAATGGCCAGACTGAGACCTGTGATGGTCTTTGCAGAGGAGGTGGAAATAGTCTAGGACTTTTCGTTACTTCTAATACGTGACAGCTCACCAAGAAGAGGAAGAGGAGAGAGAAGGGAGGCAGAAGCAGGCCCCACCACACTGTGGCCACTGAGCAACCCCAGGTGAGTTGTCTGATGCCTCAGCTTGCTCATCTGCAAAATGGACCCAGGCACTGATTCACAGGGTTGATTCACGGGAATCAAAGGAGATCGTGGATCTGAATGTACTTTGTTCACTGAACAAGGAGTAAAAATGTTACTATTGATCAATGGCTAGAGACTCAGTCGGTGGGGCAGGAATGGCAGAGACTGCTCATGGCGGAATAATTATGAACTTCATATATTTGAATGATGTGATGAATTTGGGTTCCAAGTGCTTCTTTCACAAGCAAATGATGTTGAACCCTGGGGACTTTTGAACATTCTTATTTTGTCCAATTCATCCTTTTCCTTGTGTGAAACTGGAAAAGCCCCAAATCACCCAAAGTGGGTACTAGGGGTAAAATCAAAGGGATGACAGTGTCATCTATTCTCTGGGCCAATAACTCAGTAAGCAGAAAGAGGCCCTCTCCTTTAAATGAACACAAATTTGGGCCTCGTCGGTGGTGCAGCGGTTGAGCACTGGGCTGCGAAGCTGTCCACAGCTTCTGCAGCGCCGGTTCGATCCCTGGCCCCTGGCAAGGGTCCCACATGGCGCGCAGACCTCTCCAGCCGCGTCCACTGCTCCCCTCAGCAGTGTATTTCATCAGTCTCCCATCTCTGCTCCCCGCTCTGGCTCTGGTGAATTCTCTCACCCTCCTGCGCTTCTGACTGTACCCAGTGCTTGTATAAAATAAATAAATAAATCTTAAAAAAAAAAAAAAAGAACACAAATTTATACACAGTTCACATAAACGCTCTGGGATGATCTCATTAATTATGTCCCAAGAGAAGTGTATATAAGACATCCAAGAGTGAGAAGCATGTTCTCAGAGTGCTACTGGATACCATCCCACTGGATGTCGAAGGCCTCCCCAGGTAGTTAGAGGTATGGAAATGCTCATGGAATCTGGATACTGGGGAACAGTTTAAGGGGAGCCATACCAGGAAAACAGTTCTACACTGTACAACCTCATCTGCAAGCTTAACACCATGAGCTGGAGAACTTCGCATGCTCAGCTGGAAACTTGTACTGCACATTTAAGGTTGGGTGATCAGCACATTTTAAAAGTGTGCTTATAAAAAATTGTTAATAATGACCTGAAAGATGAACCCGTGGGACAGGGAGAGCGTGAGAAGGCAAGGGACAGAGGAAAGCAACTGACTGATTCCCACTCGGGCAGGATTGCTATTCTGCTGATCTGGAAGAGCCTTAAAGGGGACTGGAGGGGGCCGCCCAGCCCTCTGCGGTCAGCCTTCAAGACGACAGACTTCCTACCTTGCCTCAAGCCCTGACATGTGCTTCCACAGCAGCTAGGGCTGCCAACTGAGCTGGTTTTAAAAGTCCCGTGGCAGGCTGGGCATTTAAGGGCTGTCAGCAGCCCCTGCAGGACGAGTCTCACACCCGCAGCCTTAGCCTGGGTCCATTTGGTGAAATTCAAGACGTCTCGCTTTTCCAGAGCAGGAACTGACAGCGCAAACAGACCGGAAAGGCAGGCCCCGTGCGCGGCATGTGACTACGGGGAGAACACGCTTTGAAGATAAACGAAATTCCTCAGAACTCTAGTGAACCTCCCAAAACACTGACTTTTCCTCCTCATTTTCAGCTGTTTCTTCCTCAAATGTTGACTCATTTTTTGTAGAGCCAAGAGCTCCACATGGGCGGGACACTCCTATTTCTGGGCACTGTTCTCAAAGGGTGGGGCCTGAGGGTGACCTCGCCTTGCTTTTCACTTCTGTTCCTTTAGACTGTAAGTGCTCTTTCTTGGGACTTGCAGGAGCCTGGCATCATTACATTGGCTATTTTAGGTATGGCTGAATGAAACTAAATGATATTTTCTAAACCCCTTTTTGGGGCTTCCCCCCAAAATTTGCTCTAAAAAATCATGAAATGAAACTTGACTGGCACCTCAGATTGTAACTTCATAAAGGATGTCTACTGATACATTAAGATGTGATCTTTAAGACTAAGCATGCTTACTACTCCCCCCGCCCCCAACTCTAAAGGTCTTCTGTTGCTTCAGAGTTGTGGGGGAAAAAATAAAGTAGAGGAACCATGAATCTTTGGTAAGAGTGCCGCTTTTATGACATCTTGAGTTTGATTATTGTAGCACTTGGCAGGTCATTCACAATGCACTCGTTTTATTTCTGGTAGGCCGGAATTCTGCCTGATGACGGGGTTCTATAAATAGACACACTCCACACCCAACTCAGACCTGACACCTGTTTGATGCTATCTGAAAATATATCCTTATAAAATGTCAGCTTGATAAGCCTCTAAACTTTGTGGAGTTTCTGTGGATGGAGAATTTTGTAGAATAAATAGAATAATAGACTAATGCAGGAAACAAAGACCCAGTAAGGAGCAACTGGGTCTGCTGTCCACTCTGGATTTCAGGTGAATGTTATCCAGACCCAGGAGTCAGACAGACTGGGGTATGAATCTCTATTTTGCAACTCACAGGCTGTGAGGCCTTGAGTAAGTCACCTCACCTTACTGACCTCCATTTCTGAGATCAGGATCACACAAAATAACTCATATCACGCAAGCTGTAGCATATCTGGAAAATGGCTGACCCACAGGTAGGGCTAGTTTACAGAAGGAAAACTGGGTCAAGAGAAACAAAGATTAATAAACCAAAAATGAAGGCGCATTTTATGAACTATAAGCACTACAAAGAGAACAACTCAGACGGCTCCTGTCCATTTAAGCAACCGGTCACAAGTGGCCACAGAACTGCTGATGACGAAGGCAGGCTCAGTGGCTCAGGTGGTTGTGCTGAGCTTTGCTTCTTATCCACAGTCAGCTTCCTGCCCGCTCCAGCACGGTGCTGCCCCAGGAGCACACTGGCACCGAGAAGCTCAGGCTGAAAACAACCATACTGCAAACATTTTCTTTCATGAAAAGGAACAAGCCAGAAACTATTCTTAGGAAGGAAAAAAGACCAGCCTTTTTTCCTAGAAGTAAGCTCAGCAAGTTGCCCACCCGCTGACCCCCACACCCACACAAGGGCCTGCATTATTCCCAGCCAGAGTACAGAGCTGCACTCTGTGCCTCCCTGACCCCAGGCTCCGCTGGCCCGGTCAGAAGCCCCAATGCTCAAGGACAGCAGGGAAGTGCCATGCGGCCGGCCCTCTAGTGAACTCGCTGCTCTTTATAACATGTAAGGCTGAGTACGGGTGTGTCTTGATCACTAGGCCCTCAGCAATGACTGGTAAATTTAAAATGTCCCTAGGCATTCAAGAGTTTGGCATATCTTGAAATCTGCAAAGATGATGACATGATTTACTAGCCTTGGTGATGAGAACATAGTGGGTGGCGTATACTCAGAAGGTTAATTTCGGCTCTACCATCCGGAGAAGAGAAACACCACAAGCCAAGGGGTCCCTGAATGGGCAGAAACAGGGTTCCTGCCTTCGGGCATTAGACCCAGGACAAGCAGGAGAGAGAAGTCATTTCAGGAGAGCTGCAAGTAAGTGGACTTACAAACCGGTTGGCACAACTGCTTTATAGAACTGGGACAAAGGCAGCAGTCGCTCCGGAAAGGAAGCATCTTGTACCAGGAAGAAAGGAGAAGGAGCAGTGACTCACAGGCGCGCTGGTGACTGCGGATTAGATTAGCTGAGCAATATGGGAGGGGTGCATGAGCACCGCTGGGAGTCAAGCAGAGAGGAAAAGAGCAGGGGGAGGCATGATACACAGGTCCCTGGCAGCAGGGAGGCGTTTTTCTTGCCAGAGGAGAGAGGCTGCTGTGAGCACAGCAGCCTGGGACAGAGGCTGCAGGGGTGATGAGGAGGTGTTAAAGACTGCTCCCCTCACTGCTGATGTCAGCCTCAGTGAAATCGTCTGTCTTTCCTCTGCAGAGTAGCATTCTCATACTCCAACTGGCACACAGCTCACCATTCTATAGTGGGGGGTTTGGAGCCCAGCACCTTCCTCCTAAGTTCTGGCTCAGGAGTACTGAGCAGCTATACACTGAATCAGACTGTATGAGTGGTGGTGGACCCCAGAAGGCTGGCCTGCTAGGCTCCAAGGCCAGACTAGGAGCTACTCACTGGGCAGTAAGAGGAAGTGGGCGGGGACATGGGTTCTTTACCACCAGAAGACAAAGGGGAAGTGAGCTGGCCTCGCTTCCTGACCAGGGTACCAGTGGATGTGGAGAGGCAGGCCTGAGAACTGATTTTAGCTAAAGTGATGAGGCCGAAGCAGCAGGCCAGACTGGGAGCCAGGAGGACTGTCTTTTACTCCTGGATGTGTCACTAATGGATCAGGTGACTCTGGCAAAAGCACTTATCATCCTTGTCCTTGTAAAATAAATGAGTCAGGACAGACCTGGTTCTTGTAAAATAAGTGAGTCAGTGACTGAATATTAGAATCACCTTAGGAGCTTCACACATGCACAAGTACACACAGGGACATGCATCCAGGCACCTGAATCAGAATCTCTGGGGCAGGGTCTGAGAATTTACATTAGTTAAAGCTCTGGGCACTCCTGATGATCACTGGCACTAGACATGCTCTGGAGGCACTGCCAGCATTAGGGGGCAATGACTTGATGAAAAGTACATGTATATTTTAATGGACTTTTAAAAAAATGTTTTTATTTATTTTGGGTACAAGAACTGGGATATAGGCCAGAGGTGAGGGGGGGGGTGAGAGAATTCACCAGAAAGAGTGGGGAGCAGAACAGGCAGATTGACTGAAGTCCACTGCTGAGGGGAGCAGTGGGCGAGACAGGAGAGGCCTGCTGTGCCATGTGGGTCTGCTCCGTGGCTGGGGATTGAACTCTCAGTGATAGAGCTGAGATTTAACCCCTAGGCCACGAGGGAGGCCCTGTACATGAATTTTTAAAGGATAATTTTTTTCTATTCTTTTTCTTAGAGAAGTCACATGCTTTTCTCTCTTCAGAGATGTGACAGAATTGTCTGTCCTACTTAAGAAGCGTCAACAGACGCCTGCTCATCCCTGTTGGGCACACTTCTGGGGCTGTGGAAGGGTGAGTGTGAGGTGGGGAAGTGGGAGCCCTGGGATGCTCCCAGGGTATGACCCTCAAGCCAACACAATCAGCAGGCGAGGCTGAGCCAGCTTCCTGCTGGGACTCCTCTAGGACATCAGCTTCTGTGCCTTAGGCAAAGGATGACCATGGGGACATCTCAGCAGCCCACCAGCCCCACCAATGTCACCTGTCCAAGCGGCCACATTCCCATTGTCCACTCACAACAGCAGGTTCCAGGTGGTAAGGGCACTGACCCCTCCCTGTGTGCTTGAGGCCACACCAAGCTCTAAGCGTGGCGATACTGAATCCTCACAAGAACCCTGTCACAGGCTCCATTTTATGGGTTAGAAAAAATGTGGAAGGGCTGTCATTTGCCACAAAGCTGAGAGCCAGAATTAAAGAGGAATACTGATTGTGAGATTCTCTTCTAACTTATTCCATGTTCCATTTCCTCAGGCTCCTGATGTGGAGCCTCCCCACGCCCAGTCTTCCTAAGAGGGGCGAGAGCAGGAGGGTTTCCTGCCCGAGGCCTCCTGGGGCATCTTCCCACTCACCTTGGCCAGTCTTGCTCGCTTGATGAGGTCATTGAGTTTGCGAACAGCTGCCTTCTGGGGCAGGCTCTGGATGTCTCTGAAGAGGTCCTGGGCCTCGGCCTCAAAGAGTCGGCGGTTGTCAGTGTTCTGCAGCGGCTGTGCCCAGAAGGAGCCGATATAGACCCTCAGCACCTCAGGCGTGTTGATGACCTTGCCCAGGGACCACATGAGGGCCCCATAGACGCGCATCAGCTGCTGCGTGTCCACCTGGTCGGCCTTGTTCAGCACGACGCGGATCTTGTCATCCTGGCCTCGAAAGGCCTTGATGGCCTCTGAGAACTCATCGGAGATGTCTAGTTTGTGAGCATCGAAGAGCAGGATGATCCTGTCCACCCGCTCGGCGAACCACTGTAGGACCTGGCAGAAGTCATACCCTGGGTGGAGAGAAGAACGCATCAGTGTGGTCATTGCTCAAGAGACATGGCCGCTGCGAGGGCTCGGGGCCATCTGGCTCTCCTGCAGCTGCCTGGGAAGAGAGTCCCAGCTCTAGGCTGGAGACAGCGGAGGCTTCATGGCCTGAAAATCATTTCCAGTGGACCCGTGGGCTGGATGCACTGAGTCAGTGCTAGGGTCCCAGGAGAAAGGGTGCCAGTAAGAAAGTCTCTTACTTCACTTACAGTCCCTCAGATCAACGGCAACACTGATCAAAGTCTCTATAAAAACCACAGGCCATGGGTGTAAAGTTCTTACTTCTGTCAAAGCCTCACTTTTCTGAAAGAACCAGCAATAGAGAAGGAAGAAAACCTGGACGCCATGTGGAGTCCCCTGGGGTGTCCAGGAAACACAATGGAAGAGGGATCGCCTTCTGTGAACCCAACATTTTAAGTGTTAGGGTCAAAGGGACCTGGCCAAAACTGTGACAAGCATTTATCACTGGAGCTATTTATATCTTAAGCATGTTAAAAATACTTAGAAAAAATCTGTCTGACAGCCGTTCTGTAAAATGGTCTCTTGCCAGTACTTAAAAAAAAAAAAAAGGCTCAGCCTACGACAAATTCTGTTTAGTTCGCCTTGGCTCTGTACCACTGGGCCCCGAACTGCGCAGCTAGATAAACACTCCTCTCAGCCTGTGGTCAAGGCTTTCAGGCATTTCTCCAGGGAGGCCGGCTCCCAGGAACAGCAAGCAAGAGGAGGCCACCCCCATGTGGTTCCTCTACACTCTCAGTCTGATTGGCTGTGGAATCAAAGGCTCAGTGCTGCCCCATCAGAGCAGAGATGGTGCCTTTTGTGACTCCCACACAGCTGATTTTAGATCTCAAAAACTTCCAAACATAAATGAAAGTCTAGAGAATAATACAATGAATGCTGATTACCTCCTACTTTTTTTTTTTTTTTTACCTCCTACTTTTAATAAATTTTCACAATGGTCTTAGGTACTTTTTTCCCCCACTACTCTTATTTAATGTAATGTTTTGAAATCCATCCATGTTGTTACATGTATTAGTAGTTTGTCCCTTTAATGCTGATTAGGGTTCCAGTGCATGAATATACATTTTCTTGCTTAGGTACTTTTATAAATGTAAGTGTAGTTTATTTATGAAGTCAAATACTATAGAGCAGTGAGGATGAACTGGATTCTCATTTGCCAACACAAGTAAATCTCAAAAAGATTGGTGAGTAAAAAATCCATTTCAAAAGAGATAGCAGCACTGTTTACAATAGCTAAGCTCTGGAAACAGCCCAAATGCCCAAAAATAGATGACTGGATCAAGAAGATGTGGTCCATATACACCATGGAATATTACTCAGCATTCAAAAAAGATAAACACATGCCATTTGCAGCAACATGGATGGCGCTGGAAGGGATCATGCTCAGTGAAATACGAAAGAAAAAGAAAAATACCGGATGGTCTCACTCATAGCAGGAATCTAGAAACCTTAAATAAGGGACCAGGAAAAAGAATAACTATAAGAAAGTGAAAATCAAAATCAACAAACAACTATGAATCAGAGACACTCTATGAGGGGTGGGGTGGCAGGGAGGGGAGGGATTGGGGTCAAAATAGGGGGTCGCAATTGTATGGGGAATATAAAAATAAAATTTATAATTAAAAAAAAAAACAAAAAACCAAACAAACAAAGCCAATACTCAACAGACTCTGGATGCATATTATGACACACACAAAAACATTAACACTAATTCTGGGGTACCGGTTGACTTCAGGGGTGGAGGGAGTGAGGGATTTAAGGTAGATGAGGAGGTGTCTAGAGAAGAATCCAACAGGCAAAAATAAAGGGGGTCTTTAAGTACTGCGTGTCACCGATTGCGCCTCTATGGCGATGGTGCACGGGTGAATAGGTGATAAGAATTTTGCAGGGACTACACCTGAAAGGAGAAACCATGTATTGTACAAAAAGGAAGAACAATGTAAAATATATATAAAATAAATAAATAAAAATAAAGGGGAGGGTCCATGGACTAAAGTTGCCATGAATTTGAAGAACAGGTGTAAGGGCAGTAGTTGAACAACAAACTGGATTCAGGTGCATTTTTAACAAAGACAGTAGATTCAGAGATTCTGACACCCCTGGACACCCCCTCCCAAGGCCTTCCTCAACCTCCTCCCCAGAGGAACCCACGGCCCAAATGTGTTTATGGTCATGTCTGTATGCTTCCAGTTTGTGCTTTTTCTTCTCTATTCTGTTTCACTGTGGCGCTCCTTGATTTCTTGGGGACAAGGAGGACAAAGGCAGTTCTCATAACATGGCCAGAACTTTATTTTCATGACTGCAGCCAGTTTAGTACAGAGGAAAGACCTACTGAACGAGTCTCCCAGGGACCATACCAGGGGTATCGTAAGATTTAGAGTCAAGATTGCACTGAGTTCTGTCCCTGGAAGGCCAGAAAAACCTGCTGCCCCAGGCAATAGCAGGTGGTTCTGTCGTCCAGACTGTACAGGCTGCCCTCAGGTGTCAGCTCCTCAGCAAGGGGTAGGGGGCGGGGGATGAAGGCACTGTGCCTCAGGGAAACAAGGAGGCGCTTTGTAAACACCCACCATCTGCATTGGACTTGCTTTTCCAGTGGGGATTTTCTTCTTATTTCCCTGACCCAGACTTGGTCTCCTTTGTGACCTAAATTGGGTAACTGAAGGCTTAGAAACAGATGAAAGAAGATGCTCTATTGGGGATACAAATTATATTTTGCTGAACATCCTTTCTGTTTGGGGAGGGGGTGCCTCGTGGGCCATCAAAGCTATAGGTGTGGCAGAGTCCTTGCCCCATTTGTTAGCAGGTTGGGGTGAGGGGAGAGATCCACAATCAGAAAAGCATCTCCTTCCACCAGGACAGGGTGCTGAATCTTGAGGAGGATGAGATAGGAACAGGGAAACTGAGAATCCATTGATGGCACAAATCGTTGAGGATTTAGTGGTGGTGGTTTCCTAACCAGCTATTGAAAGTAGTTCTCTGACCTTCCTACCAATTCTGTGAACAACCTCATCTCTGAAAAAACCCTCTTCTGTTTATGTTAGCCTGAATTAGCTTTTTTGGTGTGCTACCAAGAACCACGATTGGCAAATAATTTTTCCCACGTTTAAACATTCTGAACTCTGGATGCTTTTTACAATCAGAGTCCAAAGACACTTGCCACCCCCACAGCTGTCACCACGGGTGTAAACTCAGTTACGCAGGCACACCCCTTCCTTCAAGAGCCACTTGGGTCAGGGGTTGGCCTGTATAGTATCACAGGTGCTGAGAGTGAGATATGAGTGTTAATTCTGGTTGGCAAAACAAAATAAAATACACTTAGTTTATCTTTATTCAAAAAATTTACCAACAGATGGCGAGATGTTAATCTTAGAAATGAGGAAACAATTTGAATCCGCTTATTTGAAGATGGATTTTACAACGTAAGAAAGCTCTCCTTTTTTTAGCTCATTGCTGGGCCAGGCAAGCCTTTCCCTCTGGTTTAGGACCCAGGATCTAGCCCAAGTCCTGTCACTGTCCTAACACCTGGGTGAACCTGGATTAAGTCATATATTATGTAACTACTTTAAGCTCCTATTTTCCTCACTGTTAAAATTGGTTATTGAGTCATATGAGAAAATGCTTTAAATATACTCAATACAATGCTGTGACTTCTTAAATTTTTATTTTATTTATTTTTTTAAACTTTTTTTTTTATAGAGGCATGTTTTTTTTTTTAATAATTTATTTATTTGTTTGTTTGTTCGTTTGTTTCGTTTATACATGCACTGGGTACAGTCAGAAGCGCGGGAGGGTGAGAGAATTCACCAGAGCCAGAGCAGGGAGCAGAGCAGGCAGAAGGACCGAAGTACACTGCTGAGGGGAGCAGCGGGCGGCAGGAGAGGTCTGCGCACCATGTGGGACCCTTCTCTGGTGGCCGGGGAGCAGCCGGGAATCGAACCGGCGTTGCAGAGGCTGCGGGCAGCTTCACAACCCAGCGCTCAACCGCTGCGCCACCGGGGAGGCCCAACTTCTTAAATTTTTAATAAGTGTAAACTATTATCAATTTTGTCTCCTTCCCCTCCATGGGTAAACTTCCTAAAGTTGGCTCCAGTGCCACTCATTAATTTTAAGAAACTTCAACCCAGTCTCTTCTGAGTTTCAAAAGCCTTTTCTTTTTTTTCTATTTTTAAAGATTTATTTATTTATGCATACAAGAACTGGGGTGCGGGCCAGAGGTGCAGGGGATGAGAGGATTCACCAGACACAGAGTAGGGAGCAGAACAGGCAGATCTACTGAATTACACAGCTGAGGGGAGCCGTGTGTGAAACAGGAGAGATCTGTTGTGCCATGTGGGTCACCTCCTTGGCCAGGCAGGGGAATCAAACTCGTGCTGCAGTGGCTGGCGACAGCTTGATAGCGTGTGTTTAACCCCTGCGCCACCAGGGAGGCCTATCAAGAACCTTTTTCTTGCTCTCCTCTCATACCACTCTGCACAGGGTATTATAATCAGATGAATGCACAGGTAGGCTTGGCCCCAGGCTGCCTCGGCTTTCCTCCTGTTCCATGACTTACTAGTTCTGTGACCTTGGGGAAGTTATTTAACAACTCTGTGCCTCATTCCCTCATCTGTAAAATGAGCCTAATGCTAATGTCTACATACACAGGAAACTGTGCAGTTAATATATGTGAAGCATTTAGATACATCTTGGTACCTAGAAAACTCTGCAAAATGTTACCTACTCGTTATTTTCAGAATCTTTGATCCAGTGTTTGGTGCAGGTGGGGATGCGATAAATGTTTGTTGTAGGATGCCTGGCCAGGGCCAAATTTCTTAAAATTAATTAGGGTAAAGGTGACAATACAATGATGCTGGAGCCAAGTCAAGAACGAGTGCCGGTAAAAAGCCAATGGAGACTGAATAGAGAACTACATGTATTTATAAATAGAGCTAGTGCATGCACAAAG